GAGTAGAGGATGAGATGTACAAAATTTGAGAACTCACTGTCACAGGCTCTAATAGCGTTGTATACTTGACACCGAAACTTTTCAGTCTTGAGTTTTGACGAAGAACACCAGCACAACAACACAATAATATTAGCGACGACACATTTTAATAACGTTTCAAAAACATTGGCCGTAGAAAAATGGAAACAATTACGCACTCTAACGATACCACGGGAAAAAGAAACACTACACAATAAAAATATATTATACAATACGCGGACAAGTTTAACAATCGCGAGTCGCAACCGAAGTCCGGCGAAAAATGAGCGAGGGCCGCGGAATCACGGAGCTTCGAAAGTTCAAAGCCGTCTACGTCGGAACAATGCACCAATAGACGCGTTTCTTTCTAATGACCGTTACGTCCTAGCGCAACCGGATTGGCTACTGAGAAAATCTCGTTGGGCTAATCGCAGTGCCGCTCTGTAGCCAGGAGACACGATGCCCCCGTGAAACTTTTCATTTTGGTCAGTTAAAGCAGTTACCTATACAAAGTGTCCCCACTGTTTTCCCAATAATATAATATCTCTGTTAGTATCTAATACTGACTTAGTATTGAAGTACAATTTGAACCGACGGAACAGGCACAAATCGTATCACGGATACCACGGTACGATTATACCAAGATTAACTCATACCCCTAGTACCGAAATCCCAGAGTACATCTAACTCCTAAAATTATGTAACGGAGGTACCTATAACTTTTCCAGGCTAATCATATCACTCACGGATAGGTAACAAAATCCTAGATTCTAGAATATAATATATAGGTAATTCCGTCTATTCTCGTCAAAATGTATACATGTGATAATTGTGATGCGAAATAATCAATGATATATCATTGAATGGTTGTAAACAAATCATTTATAATCTATTTATTATCAGAGCCGGTGGAAGGAGGGGGAGAACTGGGCACCCGCCCGGAGCCTCACGCTTAATGGGGCCTAGCATTTTCATATGAAACATTAATATTTTCATGTTAGTTTTACTATGATTTATCATATTTTGTTTTTATTATTGTACCTATATCTGAAATACTTATCTCGCAAATTAATTCTATTCATGTGCCTACTGTCGGATGTACATTTCATGAATATCTAAATTATTTACAACTAAATAATTATAATAAATCATAATAATATAGTCTTGATAAGAAATAATCTCGAATTGATTGGTAATCGTAGATTTTGTCCAATGTTTGTCTTTTAATTGATAAACACACGAATGAAACCGAATAACGAGTACACGATTTTATTTTCTTTCCAACTGTCGCGGTTATCGCTTGTCAAAATCACGGGAGTATTACAATGAATTATTATTTATTATAATATTATAACCATTGCTTGAATTTTTTATTTTAGGGGGGGGTTAGAGAAAACAGCTCCTCTACTTTAGTTTTCCCAGTTCGAGCACTGATAATAATAGATATAGATATTGCAATATTATTATAATACGGGATATTAACAGTTGTCAGAAAATTGATAAGAGATTTTTTTCTGATTATGTTTGAAATACTGCCAACGTTGAAAAACAAAATGTTTGTACGAACATTTTCATTATCCAAAAAAAAAAAATCAATAATGTAATTATTTTTTGTGCGTCGATTTTCTTTTCAGAATAATTTATATAAATTATAATATTTTTTTTTTTACAATGGAGCCTTTGATTAATCATGATTACATGTTGCCAGGTTAGGATTTATCTAGCAAATTTTTTCTCATCTATCCGTGCAACTACAAAGACATTAATTTACGCGTATTTAAGAATAATAATCAATTTACATTTTTACAGCAAGTAGTTGATGATATTATTGAAAATAATACTGGCTTCATTATTCGTAAACTAACAACTGAATTAATTTGTGACGATTGCACTAAAGTTTTAACTCGAACCCATTCTGAATATGGATCATTAACAACCATAAATAACCAAAGTGGATTAACTGTTCAATAGTGAAAACGGAATTCATTATAAAAGGTTTACGAGCATTTAGCGTTAAATTATTGCATAGGCAAATTGTTTTTTTTTCACGTTCATAACACCCCTAATAAAAAAATTATTGTATCTCTATCCTTATCAATTTACCGACAACTACCATGTACCCTCACATCTATATCATTTTGTTGTCAAACTTTTTTTTGGTACCTACCTGGGTAGTTTTTACCAAACTAGTTTTTTTTTTTTTTTACTGAAATAAATATGGTTTACTGAGTATTTAATCCAATGATTTAACTTTCAGTGTAGCCAATTATTTGTATTTATTTATGTACCTACTTAAATACTCTAATACTCTATTAAATCAACCTTCGAGCGCTCGCGTATTTTGACGTTACGATGTTACGTCTTTACTCTTTTGACGCTGCTTATTTATACCATACATTATTCAGAAAAAAAACCCGTTTTTGACGAGTATTTTTCTAAATTTTTCTAAATTTTGAACACTAGACACAAATACAATGACAATTGTCTCTATTTTTAAGAAAAATTCAACAAAAGCGCATAATATTACAAGTAAAACTTCGTTATATCCTGTAATAATAATATTTAACTATTACCATTGATTATAAATGGTATTTATAATCAATGCTATTACTATTTAATATTTATAATCTATTTGGTGTGCTATATAGGTAATATGTAAATTTATTCGTTTATTGTTATACCTAATGCAATTTATTATTATCATGATGATTACAGTCAAAAGTGAAGGGAAAAATGTTGAACCCAATCCAAATGTTAACCGAATCACGCTTAATACGTATATGGTAACTCATTATTCACGTACATATAAGCACTAAGTAGGTAACAGATTTTTTTTAGCATCAAAAGTTTATAGTATCCTAATATAAAATAATATACCACTCGACTTCCAACTATTAGTTCTACAATACGACCAATAAAATAATACAATACGATTCCAAAATTATATTATACTTACACTTACACTGTAGAATATAATAAAGTAAATGTTTATTAATTATATTTATACTAAGGTATTTATACTATACCTATTTTAATATATTTACTAAATTAATTTTAATTTCTGAGTGGAGTGAAGAATTTGTTGGTTTTACAATGACGTTTATTTTTTATTTTTTTTTCTGTAAATAACTTTTGTTCTAGACATTTTGCTCTAATTTCCAAGTGTAGCACCTTTTCCGAAAGGAAATTTTATCCGGGATGGTACTATAGAGAGGTCATTTTCCAAGTGGTTTTCATAATTGTTGAGAAAAACGGGAAAGTGTACTTACGAAATTAATTATTTTCAATTTTGTTAGATATTTATATCTATATATAGTTATTTAGATATTTGAAATGTGGACTAAAAATTTATACTTGTCTTTTCTAGATGTGGTAAAATTTTCAAAACATTTTAGCCATAGTTGATCTATGGAGACAAGTTTTTTACGTAATTTTTATTCCGTAGGTACTCTGTGGATAAAATTGTTAGGCCCAACAGAAATGCTTGAAAATTTAACAGGTTCATTATAAGTCATACTTTATTGTCAAAAAAAATTGGTTGTAATGTAGAATTTTTATATTAAATTTAAAACTGTAAATATATTATACAGCGTTTATAAAAATGTATAACATTATTATGTAAAATACTTTAGACATCAAAAAACGATTAATTCTGTCAGTGGCGAAATATTATAAGGAACAAAATCAATTTTTTGTCAATTTTGATTAGTGTTATTTCTGATCGAAAACCTAAGTTGAACATATTAAAATAATTAAACTGGGACGCTACGTTGCTGTCAACAATGTTTTATTAACATAATAATATCTGTAGCAACGATAAACCATTGCTGATGACAAAACGATTCTAAGCGGAGTTCAGTTAATATTGTTGCTTTTTCAACAACATATATATATATATATATTTCATATTATGGTAAAATGATTACAGAAATATGCGTTTCCCTGACAATGATTGTTTAAAAAAGAATAAAATAATAAAAACTTAATAATAACAAAAAGTAAATAAAAACAGTTGAGAATATTTCCTTTTAGAAATGGTGCTATACTTGATAATCGGAGTTCACTTTTTGGTAGTGTTCACATGAAAAAAATATAATAAACGTCTTTATAAAACCAATACATTCTTAGCTAAATTCAGAAACCAAAATAACATAAAATAATCTATAATATTTATGGTAATACTCTATGATGTGACTCAACCAAAATTGAATTAAAAATTCCATAAGTCATAGTCATAGATGAACGCCAAATGATTCACGGTATTCTTATTTTTGAGTGAATCCATACCATTTTGTTAATGTAAAATTTCAAGAAAATTTTTAAAATATTTTTAAATTGCTCAGTTGTTTTTATTTTTCGTACAAAAATAGTGGGCGACTTGGAATATGCATTGTTTATTAATAACATAATTTTTTGTTATATATATTTAATTTTGTAATTTTGTGGTTAAAATTAATTTTCCCTTAACAAAGAAACTGCAAAGAGCAAAAACTGCAACTAATAAGAACAAGTATTATTTAATAATAAATAGTTTTAAATAAATGTTAAATTATTTTTCAATTAATAAAAATTTGGCTTATAACACTTAAAAGTAAAATAACAATAATAATTATATTGTTCTAAGTGTCCTTTACAAATGATTAAATGTAATCTACATTTGAAAATATAAATCTTCTAAATCACTCGAAACCTTGGGTTTCTCTTTATATGACATTTTTTTACTTAATTCAACTATTAATAATGAATCTGTTACAGTAACTAAAAGTTCCAAATTGTTCCATGTCACCCTAATTGACAGAAGCCAATTTTCTATTATATTTTTTACAATTTTTCAAAAAAAAAATATCTTTGAAAAAATTCTCAGTCTAATAAACAAACTAAAAAGATAATCTTCAACAAAACTCTTATGTAGGTGATTATAAACTATTACATAATTATATTTCTTTAAATATAAAACATATTTATAATCCGTTATATATATAGAAAAATAATAATTACAAGATATCCTCATTTAAACGTTGTCAAAGGAAAGGATAAAGTCAAAAAGCATTAAAATAAACCATAACATATTATAAGTCACATGAATAACTTTATTTCACTACTTCAGCTACCAACATAAATGTAATTTGAGTCTGTTTGTTTTATATATATATTAATTTCTAAACTGTTATTATTCTAAAATATTGCATATTTGTTGTTTCTTGATATTTTTGAAAATTAATTTCTAAATTACTGCCACAGGAGACTGAAACAGAATAAAATTATTACTAGTGTTAAAAAAAACATAATATATTATATAAATTAAATTACAATAAGTATTTTAAGATATGGCGTGTTTAAAAATTAATTTGCAGATATTCAAAATAATGTTTTAAGAGAAGTACATAGTCAAATGTTTAATTATTTAGGTTTATTTTTACTTTGTAACAGTGACAGAAATGTATATCAATATTTATAATAAATAAACTTAATTATACAAAAAGACATACACTTTACACTATAGGTGAGAAGTTGGAAAGGTAGGATTTAGAGGGGAATTTTAATTTATATTTGTACCCAACGATAAATCATTATTAACGAAAAATGATTCTGAACAAAGTTTCTTTAATGTATGTAAATTTTCCTGTTAGTGACCTACTTAAAGTACCACCTAGACGAAATTTCCTTTCAGAAAATATGCTTCACTTGAAAATCGGCAAAAAATTTCTGGTAGAAAGATTGTTCACAGATAGGTAACAAAAAAAAAAAAAAAAATAAATGCCATTATAAAATCAATACATTCCATGTTACGCTCCAAATTTAAATAATGAACATTACAAGTAAAATATTAAAAAATTGTATCAATTTTCTTAAAATAAAACATAATATTTATCATAAAATCTATTTGAAAATTGTTACATAAAAGTAAATTTTAAATTTTAAACAAAAATTAAAAAAATTAAATAATAATTAAAATAAAATCATTAGTTATTGTAAAATAAACAATTGTTTTTATTGTGAGTTAGTTCTGAATTATAGTTTTACAATATTTTTAATTATATTTGTTAATAAAACAATTATTTATATTGGTAATAACTTTTCAGTAAGTGTAAATAATTATTGAGAATATTTCAATACTATTTTAGAGAATTTTTGTAAATACATATAATGTACTTTTCAATATTATAATGTTTTTTTATTGTAGTACTAGCTTTTTGTATTATATACAAAAAACATACATATTCACCATCATATATTTCTCATATTTCAGTAGACTGTAAACTGTTAATATGGTTTTAAATTAGTTTAAAATTCAAAATAATTAACAATTATGACGTAAGTGCATATTATATAATTGTCTCTATCATTTAATACTTTAAATATTTGTATATCTTTGATTTAGTTGCTTGCTTTTATATTTTATCAAACTGTATTATACATTAAGTCTACAAATATTAATTATTGTTACCTACATTATATATGTTTAAGTTAGTTTCATAAGTCTAAAATTGTAAAAAAAAAGTTAAATTTAAATTATTATTTGAATGTAATATTTTTCTTATTATAAATTGTGAACTCATGGGCCCCCACACGAACCTGTTCAGTGGGGCCCATTATCTTTTCAAAGAAATAAACAATAATAATTATAATAATAACAATAATAATAAATACAGATATTTACACACAGAAATATAAGTACATATTGAATTATATTGAAATATTCTATTATATCTCTTCATTATCATGGTTGATCTACAATTTATTTTACAATGATTAATTTTAATAATGTTATAATAATAATTTATTTCTGGGCCCTTCATACATAAGGTATGAATAATGGAAAAGATATGGGATAGTTTAATAATAATATCTAATAAATGAAAATATTAAGTTACCTCATAAGTCCAAATTCTGGGCCGCCAAGTTCGGGTCCTTTTTTAAAACCTTTTAATTTACAAAAAAAAATAAATAAATTAAGTCTATCTGTAAAAAATATGTTTTAATTAATTAAAAAATAATCAAGTATTATTTAAATATTAATGCCCAGTTGCCCAGAGCTCGAGTTACTGGTGGAAAAACTAAGTTTGTAATTCCAGTAGGCATATGGTATTGTTTCTGTAGGATGGAGGAATTCATTTTATACTTGACAATAACATTTTGAAAAAATTTGGAATAAGTTAATAATAGGCTTGACTTCTTGACTGAGGAAGTTAAACATGAAGGAAAGAGACTTAAGTATTAGATAGAAAACTGAGTAAGAGGTGATTGGATTAAGAATAATAAGACAGCCGATGTATGCAAGGTGAGAGATGAAGTTAGATGGAAGTTTAAAGCGAGGTAGGCGACTCCAAATAGTTGGGATAAAGGCGCAGAAGAAGATTGAAAAAATAAAAGAAACAATAGAAAGATAGTATTTAAATATTTCAGCGCTAAAATCATAATTAATAAAATAAAAGTATAAAACTATAAAACAAATTATAAACAGGTATATGAATTCAATGCATTAAGACATTTTATAAAAGCTTTGTTCATTGTAACAAAAGTGTACTTTTATACAATATAAATTTTACACTATTGTGTTGTTTTAACATCTACACATTTTATGATGTGAGTAATGTATTTCTTATCAAAGGTGTACATTTTGTTTATTCCCAATGAACATAGCTAAATATATTAATTGTATTGCTTGCTCATAAAATTAAGACATACCCATATATATAACAAAAGGAATGAAGGCGAAATGGTAGGATGTTTTCATCAATTCAGTGACCGACTCTAGTCGAGCTTTTACTCCGGACCTTAATAATCCCATTATTGTAAATTAAGTGAACTGTTAAGTTTAATATTATATAATAGATACCTAGTGTAATTAAAATATAAGTATTGAAAGAAATTATACTATAAAATAAAATGGACTGTTCCTCAACTCCTCATGGCAGATTTGAGTGAATTGATTACAAAAAAAAAGGTTGATAACAAGTTGATAAGCCGTCAATATCAAACTACAGATTAGATAATTGTGATCAAACATTTTATTCCGGATAGGCATTAGGTGTAATGATTAATTTTGTCTAAGTCATTTGATTTAAACGTTAATAGTTATTTATTTATTTTGTATTATTATTAATTATTTATTCGTATTAATTTACGATTAAAAATGTCTGATGATGAAATGGAAAAATTTGAAATCACAGACTATGATTTGGACAACGAGTTTAACATGCACAGGCCCCAAAAACGATTGACTAAACATCAAGCAATTTATGGTAATAAAGAAAATCAAGAATCTAAAATATAAAATAACCATTCGTTTTAATAAATAGTATCAAGAAAACTGATATTTTAAGATTAATGATTTGCTCAATGGTTTAAAATGGCATTTATAACTGAATACTTAAATAGAAAAACTTGAATTTTTAAAAATATTTCATATTATTTCATGTGTTTTATTAATTAGGAATTTGGGCTGACGAAGAAGATAGAAATGATATTGACGATGAACCTACAGGATTTGGAGGCCGTAGAAATAAAGAAAAAAAATATAAACAGAACTATACTGCTCCAGTTTCATTTGTATCCGGAGGTATTCAACAACCTGATAAAAACAAAAAAGAGATTAAAACTAAAGAAAAAAATTCCGAACCCGAAAATTTAGATGACAACATATCTAGGTTTGAAAACTTTGAATATTTATTAAAGAAATATAATTTATATGTTATTTTATTGTGACATTAATATTTGTATTTAGTGAAGATGAAAAACCCATGTTCAATTATGATATTGATCAAGAACTGGCAGGTTTACGAAAAAAACAATCTAATGTTAATCCAAGACTTATGAATAAAGGATTGGGAGATTGGGAAAAACATACAAAAGGAATCGGTGCAAAATTATTGCTTGGAGTAATTTATAATTAGGTATTATTTTTATAAATTAAAATTCAATTCATAATTGTTTCTTTTTCAGATGGGTTACCAACCTGGTCATGGTTTAGGAAAGAAATTACAGGGCATTACAGCCCCAATTGAAGCAAATTTAAGAAAAGGAAGAGGAGCAATTGGTAATTTATTTTTGTAAATTAATAGATATGATTATGTATACTTATATAACAATTTTTTTAGGTGCATATGGTCCTGAATCTAAAAGCAAACCAATGAAAATAGATGGTGAACGTACATTAGAGAAGACAAAAGATAATAAAGTTTCTCATGGGTGGAGAAAAGCCTTAAAAGCCGAAAAAATGCAATATATTTATAAAACAGTTGAGGATGTAATTGAAGAAAGCAAACATCCTGGACAAAGAAAAAGAGAATTCAAGTATAAATCATGGATTTTTAGTTCATATAATTTAAATTGTATTCATACAATGTATATATTATTAATTATTTATATAGTGAATTAAGTCGAGTTAAAGTAATTGACATGACTGGTCCAGAACAAAGGATATTATCTGGATATCATGCAATATCTGGTGTTAAAAAACCAATTGATCAATGGGAAGTACGAAAAGATAAAAAATTTTTAAATTTTGATCTACCTGAAATGATACACAATCTCAATCTTTTAGTTGAAATAGCTGAGCAGGTAAAAAAAATTGTTTTTAAACTTAAATGATTGAATATTTAAATATTATAATCCAAGTACTGATTACAAATTATATACTCAGCTGGTTTTACTACTAATTTAGTTTTATTTAATTCAAAATTATTGTGTACTCACAATAATTAGGAACCCACCAAATTAGGTAAAGGGATTGGAAGTGGTGATTTTCTGACTTTATCTTACACATGTGCAATAGAGTGTTTCATAATTTTTTTGTTTATCAGATGTTCTTATTGTGATATTGTGTTCCTTAGAGCTTAATAATGTTCCCAATTTTTTTTTTTTTTTTATGTAAAAATAATAATATTTATGGAGATATCATTAGATCAAAAATTATCAGAAGAAAAAAAAATATTTTATATTTAAAAATAAATATATATTAATATTTAATGTATAAAAAATATTTTAAAATTAAATAATGTAAATTTGATCCCTTATTTAGACCTTTAACAGTAAATTTTGATAAATCAACCCTTTTAACCACCCTTAAATATAATTTTTAGGGGTTGAAAATATTTCTAACTTATTCTTCATTTAGTTATTAAGAGAATAATTATACTTGTATTGTGAGTTACACTTGATATAACTTCAAATAAAATTATTCAGAATTATTATGGAAAAGTATTGGATAAATATGAAAGAAAGAAATTTTAATATCAATTTGATATCATAAATTACTTTATGATATTTATTTAGTTTTAAAATGGAAAATTGTTTGAAATCTATTTTTTTTTTATTTTAATGATTATTGGCATTATCACTACAAGGATGAATAACCGGTTGCATTGTATGACGTATGTGTTATTATTATGAATCAGGATTCGGTTATTTGCCCATTTTAGTATGAATTCCAAAAAAAAAAGTTTAAAAAATCTTTTTTTAATGTATATTAAAGTGTAAAGTGTACTGTGTTTGGTTAGTATTAACTTCCAATATTTTATTATATTATTATAGAATATTATAACAAATAATCAAGAACTTTGTAATTATGAAGATCGTTTAATTGCCATTGAACGTGAATCTATTAAGTTAGAAGAAAGTATAAAAGAAAAAGATAAATCAATTGAATCTCTTGAAAAAATTATGGGTACTATGAAAATGTTGAATGATGCATTGAAAAATAATGTGTTAGATAGTAATGAAGCTATAAAATGTTTAACAGAAATGAAAGTAAGTAAAAATAATTTTACAAAAGTAAACACTTAAAACATATTATTTGAATAATTTTTAATTACCTATTTAGAACAATTATTACGCGGAATATCGACTAAATGGTGGATCAGTTTTAGCATTATTAATTTCACAAAAATTGATTAAAGAAAAACTATCAACGTGGGATCCATTACAAGATCCAACAATGCCTTTTGAAGAACTCAATAAGTGGAAACAACTATTAACATTAAATGATTCATATGTTATTGGTTTTCAATCTAGTGATGAATTCCAAACATTAATATGGCAAGAATGGATACCTCAAGTACAAAAAGCATGCGGGTATATATATATATTCTATTCTCTATAGGATATAAGGAATTTTTTTATCTATTAAACTCAATGTTTCAAATAAATTATTAAAATATGTGATTTACTGACTGTACATACATATAATAATGAAACCATAATAGTATTATAATATTGTTATATTATAAAAAAAATTAATAAAAAAAAAATACAGAAAATAATTGTATTTTTAAATAATAATAATAGCACTATAAAAAAATTATATAATATAAAATAATAATATCACCTATAATATTTGCATATTAAGTTTGTTTTAAGTCAAAAAACCTTAGCAAAAATTAAACTGTTTTAATGTCCCTCAAAAATGCAATGAATGAATTTAGATAAATTCCAACAATAATGGTCTAAATAAAACTAAAGGTAAAAAAACTAATTCTAAAATTTGTCAGTTTGAGTTTACTATTAGACGTGTTTATGTTTTCTTAGTGAAAACATTTATTCCCATATCATACACTGTGTGTGGTCTGACATTCTTTTTTTTTTGCACCAAAGAGCAGGACAAAACCTCTGCGATCATGTTTTCTAAATTTATCATTTCACTACTACACTAATGGCATGGTAATGTTTTTTTGGTGGTGTTTAATAAACTGTATTTCCTTAAAAACGCAGTGGCATTCTCTTCAGTGTTGGCGATAGTTAAATATAAATAAAAATCTTTTAATTGCATGATAAATCACACCTAAACAATAAACACAGTAGGTATGGATACACAAATTATAAGCCTATAAAAAGCATTTTGATTTTGTAAAACATCTAGCATGCATATTCCAACTATCTGCTGAGAGTTAAACCATATAACGACTTTTCTAAACAGGTGTTATAATATTAATCATAAAATAATAGCCTGCTCATCTGTGGCCAATCTAAAAAAATGGCTAATTATTGGAAGGAATTTGAATGAAAATATTAACCTAGTGTTTTAATAAAATTGTTCTTTATTAGGCGGTGGGAATGTCGAAATTATAACAGTATGTTGAAACTTGTTGAACAATCAGCTAAATTGATACCAAATGAAATTATTAATACAGTTCTTGAGAATATGATTTTACCGAAAATTCAATTGGAAGTGGAACAATGGGATCCATTAACTGATCTTGTTCCAATTCATTTGTGGATTCATCCGTGGTTACCATATTTAAGTAAATTGATATTTAATATTTTAGTTGATTTTAACAATAACTATAATATTTTAAGGGTGATTATTTTATCATTAAACATTCATTATCTCTGAAAGTAGTTAACTTTTTTCAAAATCTGTTTTATAGACAATTTTAGAAATAAGCAGTTCTACAATTTTGCATTTAAATTATGTTTTGTCACCCTAATTTTTGGGTAAAAATCATTCTATAAATAGATTGAGTATTAATTGTTGAAATTTTTAATTTATGTCAATCCATTGACAAGATATTCCATTTTTAAGTTTAGGTTAGGAGAGAGTAGAAGAGCATCATTGTAGCACGGGTCATAACGTTTTAATAATGCACTACTTCTCTCTTTTGACCCAAACTTAAAAGTGGAATATCTCGTCAATGGATTGACATAAATTAAAAATTTTTAAACTAACATTTATTTTAACTAATACTCCATATATTTAAGGCATTTTCAATATAGTGCACTCGTTATAGGAAAATCAAAAGTAAGTAGTCGTTTCACCCCAAAAATAAGGATGACAAAAAAAATAATAATGTAACATTTTAGAACACTTTGTTTCTTAAGTTTTCAAAAAAATATTCATTATTTTTTGAATTATGGGTGTTATCAATAAAAGAATCACCCAGATAGTACGCAAAATAAAATTATAAATGTACCCAGGTCAATATTTTGAAACAACTGTCTATCCAACTTTAAGACAAAAATTAAGTGTAGCACTAAATGCTTGGCATCCATCTGACAATTCTGCTAAATTGATGCTCCAACCATGGATAAATGTTTTTCAGAAAGGCTACATGGATGCTTTTCTAATTAAAAATATTATTCCTAAATTACAAGGTGCTCTAGATGCTTTTATAATCAACCCACATCATCAACAGTTAGGTAACATTTTCATTATTTTAAGTGTTTTATTTACTATACACAACTTTTGTTATTGAGAATCCTGTTATATATTTTTTGTTTTTACATTTAGAAAACTGGAATTGGGTGATTGCATGGTCAGATTTATTACCATTGCCCACACTAGTGGACTTACTGGACCAACACTTTTTCCCAAAATGGCTTAAAACACTTACAATGTGGATAAATATGAACCCTAATCATGAACAAATTGGTAACTGGTATACGGGATGGAAGTCTTTAATGCCTCCTATTATTATTGAACATCCAACAATTAAAAATCGGTTTCATTCTGCTTTGGAAATAATGAGCCGTGCAGTTGGAGGGCCTTCTATTCCACTACCGCCTCCACCTACAATTCATGTATATATATATATATAATATAATATATTGTATTATTTTATATGAACAAAAACCATTTTATAATACTATTTAGTATAATTATTAATTAATATTAATCATGATATTCACTTTTAGGGTGGTCTAGCTGAAGCTGTACGTACTGCTACACAGATGCCTCATGGTTTTAAAGAATTAGTGCAAAAGCGTTGTGAAGAACGTGGAATTTTGTGGATGCCTCTTTCTGGTCGATTTAGAGAAGCTAAACAAGTATACAGATGTGGAGCTAGGCTTCAAGCATATATAGATCGTGGAGTTCTATTTGTTAGCCATGATGGTGCACATTTTGCCCCTATGTCTGTTCAGTCAATGTTAGAACTATGTCGATAAAATAATATATGTATCAATTTTTAATTGCTGTACCATCAATTTTTAATACAATTTTATTATTAATTTTTAATTTCTTTTGTATAAAATGTGTATAATATACATATTTTAGATTCTAAGCATAGCAATAAATGTATTTATTTCACTATAATTTGTTATAGATTTATTAGCTTTATTATACTGTGTTTTCTGTTTTATTTTTTAAGAACTTTTTAAATAGAAACTTGCTTTGATCATCAACTTCAGGCGTGGTTTCTGGTAACAAATTTTATTCTGAGTCGGGAGATCCTTTTTTGATTTTTATTATAGTTCTTTGAATAATTAGAGAAAAACAGGAAAATGCTCACAAAAACAGTTTTTCTTATTTATGATTTTTTTTTTTTTTGTAATGAAGTTGAAAATAATTGTAGAGACTTAGAATTTTCAACAAAGCGTATTAACTCTTTCCAACTTGGGAAACTATGTTTGATCTGTTACAAGATATAAAATTGTTTTGTATAAATTTAAGGAGAAGAAAAAAATATGACAATTTAACTTGATGGCCACCATACGGTATACATTGTGATCAAAAAGAAGTTAAGCGTTATGTAGTAATATTTACAAACACTTAGTCTTTGAATTTTAGTTAAAATTGTTAAAGTTATAGGATTTCAAAAAGTGATTGACTGATATTCGCTAAGAATTGTTAATGGTTACTAATGAATAATAATGTATAAAACAAATTACTCTATATTATAATCTACCTACCCACCTACTATAGTAGTATATTTATCAACAGTATCAGATTTAAATAACAGTAAGATTCTTAATTCTTAATTATTGGTTTTACCATGATATGTACTTTTAGATTCAGAATGTAATGAGGGATCTATAGGTTAAATCATCGATTTTAGTATATTCTAAAATCAATGATTTTAATATGATGTGATTTTTTTTTTCTGAACAACTTTTTTACAGGAAAACTTACTCCGAACTCCGAAGTGTTAAGTGTAGTACCATTTCTGAAAGGTAATTTTCATTAACTGGTGCATTAAAGAGGTCCATATATTAAATTCTAAGGGGTTTTTCAAATTAATTGTGAAAACTCAAAAGAAAATTATAGGTAAAACAGCAAATATTAATACCACGACATTACTGATTTAATTTTTTAAATGTAATTCAATTTAACATATTTGTAGGCTTGAAATTTTGACAGAAAACTTACACCGGTTGTTACAGACAGAGGTACCATGGGATTACCTATTCTGATTACCTCCCACAGGGAGGATGGTATTGTCCACTATAAAGTAACTTCTTCCACCATACAGAAACAATACCATAAGCCTACTGGAATTACTCACCTGATCTTTCCACTAGTAAGAGTTTGGGGTTGTTGAAGTTTATAGTATGTGTTCTTAATTATAATGTACACATATCATAATAAAACTAATAGATTTCTCGCTACACACCAAATCTAATGAATACTTACCTAATGGTTCTAATACATTGAAAGGTAAAATAGGTATCTACCTACTAAAGTAGGTACTTTTATACAAGGTGATTTTTTTTATCAAGAACCAAAAATTATCTCTGAATTTTTTAAGTGAATTCGAATTCTGTTTGTTTTAATCATTATAGAATCATTAAAGCTTTATTTTAAAACAGTTTTTAATATTCGAACCTTACTCCATATACTTGTCCTACTTGTACTAGTATATTTATCCTATGACTACCATTAGAGAGATATAATATTATCCGGGCTCTTTAACTACCATAGGGCCATAGGGGGACAGGGTTCAGATTGTATACGAAAATCGTGAACGTTTACGCCCAACTACTTTTTGAACAATGTCACCGACACCTCACCGGTTACCGTACAAAATTTCTCTGGTCGTTATCGGTTATAATTTTAAGGGGAAATGTTTACCGGTAATACATTCCGACTTTCTTGTACCCGTGGTACTACTCTATGGGTCCTTTTCGTGGCTTAATATACACTTATATTGTCATTCTACGCTTCCGTAGCAGGCTGTCAGAACAATGATGAGAAATTTTTAAATTGAATATTGATAACCAGTAACCTTTTTGGTTATAATATTTCATAGAGTAATTATTTAACTGAAATGCCAATGAATAAAATTCCTGTTTCATAGCCTCCCGTGTTATCATTTAGATCATGATCTCAGTAGAAAGAAGTCCGTGCATTAAATTTATTGTGAATTTATAAATTCTAAAATGTTATTATGTTATAATTAATACTTTGTATAACATTGTAATATTTCTACGTTGATATTTAATAATAGATCGGGCGATAAAATCATCGAAACTTAGTTGGTACGTTATGCTATTTTTTTTTGAGTTAATTAGTACGTTTATACGATGACGTTAAAACAGTTTGAAATGAAATCGTTTTAATATGTATTAAAACGGTTAAGCTTAATATCGATTACAACCGTTCGTAATATATCCATATCCATATTAAATCGGTTTAGTGTACGAACATTTTGTAAACCGATTTAAATTTAATTGTTTCTTACATGACTTAAATTTTGTTCCAAGAGATACAATAATATTTATCTGAGAAATTGATAGTATACTCTGTGATTGTAATTTTGAATCATGTTTATGAACTTACTTTACTTTATGGATAATATTATAATTTAATGAATACCTTAAATGATTATTTATTCTCGTTTATTACAAAATATTTCACTTATTTTTCTTTATTACGAAATCGAGATTAAAAATACGCGTAATGCTATTAACCCGTAATAATAATAACGATCGATAATTTCTTAAGTTATCTAACGCGAGCATTTTAATTTTGAAAACGGTTTGATGTTTTCAAACCGATTTAAAGTGTTTACACGATAAGAATAAGTTTTAATTTCAAACCGTTTTGAGGCCATCGTGTAACCGTACTAAATGTTATGTAGAATATATGAATAAACATTAAACTTTGGTCTTGACCAGTGTACGCCAGAAACTCTACAGAATGGCGAAACGTAATCGCCGTGACGAAACCATGGAACATCTGTGCACCAACAAAAATAATGAAGATGCCGGATATTCGGGATGCAAAGAGACTGCCGTTAAAACGACGGGTGGAATCAGTAACGCAGAAACCGGCGAGTCTTCGGATTGGGAGGAGTTCGTCGAAGAGAAGTTTATACACGTCGTCTTAGACAGTGTTGAAGATACGGCTACCATCAATGTAAACAGCAGTGTCCAGGTGAAAGCCTTGGAGACCGATTCTCCCATATTAGAGATCGACAATAAGGTACCTATTTACAATTTTTTTTTCTCATTATTAATTTAGGTACATAAATATTTCCATTTTTTTATTTGGATAATTTATGTTTATAGATTTTTCATTTTAACGAATGGAAGTATATACCAGGTACAGCCATGTTTTTTGAACAAAAGAGTGAAGTGAAAACAATTGATCCATTATACGATAATAGATGTGGAATTGATTTAGAATATATCGGATCTACTCGCAAGTGCTTAGAAATGACGAAAAAAGAAACTGTTTTGTAATGCATCAAGTTAGTAACCAATAGTTATCAATAGTATCTTCATAAATATTTTTATTTAATACTTAAGTTGATATGTAATATTCTCATTTAATTTGTATACTATGTATAAATATAATATTTTATAACTAAATAATTGTGAAGAATACTTTAATTGTATTATAATATTTTAATTTTGACTTTTTATTAGGTATACATATTAAAAATGTATACTCAGAATAATTCTTACTACATTTTATAATTATTTTTACTTTTTTAGTTGAAACTATTTTGTGTTATAAGGAGTGGTTTTAGTACTTATAAATACATAATATTGAACTTTGATTAGAGTAATTTGCTTTATTAATTAAAAATCTTTTTAGTACAATACTTATTTTATTCAGGGGCATATTTTAGGAGGAGGAAGCGTTTACCCCCATTGATCTTAATTTATGTAACTGTTTAATATTGTAGTATATTGATTTTAAATAGGTGTGATATAATGAAAAATAAAATTATTACTAATTATCAGAGTAATATGGTTGAAAATATTATGTCTATTATGATAAGCAGATTTAGCCTAAGAGTAGCTACCAAGTTACTACTTGGTAGCTACTCTTTTCAAGCTCTCATTTCTTGTATGGGTATATGTATTTTTTGTTTACGCACATATGCTTATTGCAGCTGTTATTATAGATTCTAATAAATATTAAAACAAATTTAAAAAGTTATAAGCAAATAAGGTCAACCATAGAACAACATATATTATATAAATATGCCTGGATCAGGTTCAATGAATTGCGTCCAAAAAATAAAATGTTAATACAGAACTAGATGAATTGGGTCCCTAAAATTGTTTTTTAATTTATATGTATAATAAATTCATAGAATACATATTCAAAACTTGCATTACAACAGATGCAAGTTTCCCTACAAATTTCTGGGTCAAATTTGCACCAATGACAAATCGAACAACAACAACAGTGAGGCATTTCACTCTAAATTAAATTATTTATTTATCTATTTAGTCATCCAAATATTCACAGCTTTATTGATGTTTTAAAAAATATCCAGTCTGAAACATACATAAAAATATGATGTAATGGATAAAGAAAATCCTGTCAAATTGTCGAAAAAGAAAATGATATTCGAGAAAAAATTATTGAATATAATAATAAATTGTCCAGATTTGAATACATCAAAACCGTTTTATTTAAATGTGTGCCTTTTTAAAATATATAATACTCTTTTATAATTTTAATTTTTTTCACATAAATGAATTATTGACCAACAAATTACCTATTATACATAATAGACGTAATTTACCAAGTACTAAATTACAACAGGGATGTAATTCACTCAACGCTGCCCAGATATGTTCTCTCCCTTAATTATCAATAGTTAAAAAATGGAAAAAACATACTTCGCACATGGGTGAGCAAGTTAGAAGTTGGAAAGGTGGAGAAGAAATGTAATATATATATATGTATGCAACAATTAATCAAACGATTCTGAGCAAAGTTTGGTTAATAGTGTTGCTTAGTCAACAATACATTTGTTTTATTATGGTAAAATAATTAAAATAAATAAATATAGTAACCACTCTAGTCAGATTTCCTTTTAGAAAGTGCTATCATTGTAAATCTGAGCAAAATTGTTGGTAGAAGTCAACAGAAAAAAAAAACATTTCTATCTAAACCAATACATTTCTCACTATGCTCAGAATCTAAATTGTAATTAAATTGTTCAGCTTTATTAAATATAGCATTTAATATTGTATACATTTACAAAATAATGTGTATAACACACATAATAACAAAATTATTACTACTTAATATTTTTCATAAATAAATTTGACAAATTTTTGATTAATTAATAGAAAAACATTGATTAGATTTTCAATGGTGAAAACATGAATAAACATGAAGACCTATCAATGTTATTAGTTAGCCAACTAAAACCTAGTTGTAATTAAAAACTAAGTATTTTTAACTGTATAAACAAGAGAGGATTCAGCTCCCTACAAAAATTGTTGCATAATATGCACAATTGAAAATTTTCATTATTTAAACTACTTAAATTGGTTGTAAGAATAATTATTTCCTCTGCATCATATGAAAGATCCACAATGCAAATGTGGCTCTCATACGATCAATATAACTGACTGTATTTGGGCTTGTGATAGTATAGTCCTTAGTTAGTAAAAATTAGTGTCAATTCACAGTATTGATCTATGTTTTGATTTCAATTGTGCGGGTGTTCATTTAAATAAATAAATAAATGAATATTTTTGCTTTATTTAATAAAATGATTTGTTGGATATGGATGAAAAGCAGAAAGCATGTTTAGCAATTATATTAGCTTTTTCTGTCCCAAATAAACAAAAACCTTGGGTGAACTCTGTTAATTCCTCAAATATCTACAATGATGGTACATATATATCGTCTGCTCCAGCTCCACTTCTTTTTAAGTCATTTATTTTCTTTAACTCTTTTTGAAAGTTACTTCTTAAGATTTTTATTTACTTCGTCAATAGTAGCATCAGATTTCAAACTATAAATAGTAAGTAGTTGTTCATAAATAGCTTTTTTTTTATCCCGTTTAGTGTACTCCATACTACGCACATCCCATAATTATGGCAACTGTTTGTATTAAGCAATAAAATCACGTAGGATTTGTTTATCTGTACTCAAATCACTCATACCCGTATTTTGACTTTCGTAACCCATGATTGTGAAAAATGTATTGAAGAACTGTCAATATCTTTATTAGTAAATAAATACTGACGACTCGATATCCAAATTTGTCATCAGTCATCAGTATCGTTTTTTCATACTGACAATACATCAGTATTCACATTATAAGATCAGTAATATTGATCGTGTGAGGGCCGCAAAAGAATTAATATTTTTACAGGGTGTCTCACAAAGATTTACCCATTGTAATATCTCCAGAGATAATAAAGATGATTAAATTCTGTTTTATTTATTTTTTCTCATATTACTCACAGGGTTAAGGACTGCAAATTTATACATTTTAATTCACTTTTTATATTTTGATGAAAAAATAACTTCATTTTATTATATTAATTTTGAAGTTTCAACTTTGTATTATTTTCATTAAATTTGTGATTTTTATGCTTCAATATTTTAAGAATAAACTTTATAAAATCTTCAATTTTTTCAAAAATAAAATTTAAATCAATTTTTTACCAAAATATAAAAAATTAGTTGAAAAAGATATTTTTAATTTTTATTCCTGAGAATAACATATATATATATATATATGTATGTATGTATAAAAAAAACAAAACAAAATGTGATAATCTTTATTATTTCCGGAGGTATTACAATGGGTATATATTATCTTTGTGGGACACCATGTATTGTATAAGATCAAAAATGAATCAAGCTAATTTTTTTCTTTGTCTTCATAAATATTCTAGATATTCTAAATATATACACTAAATAAAATAATTTTAGAATTATAGTTTTAAAATTATATGTATTAAGAATTAAGATATAACTTAATTTTTATTTATTGTGATTATTAATGATTGTAAATAATATAAATTGGTTAATAGGGTGTGAGGCAAATACCCCCATGAAAATACACATTCAAAATGTATGGTCGTTAGAGCTCCATCAACAAACTGTACTACTCTACACCTATACTGTATGAATAATAAAAATTATAGAATTATAGAAGATAGTTTTTTGCAAAATAATTAAGTAATATAATATTGTTTTACTAGACGAGTTCATAAACCATTACTTAAAAATATAAGAATAATCAAGGATTTCCAAGTAGTCGAAAAATAAATAAGTGAACACTTCAAAATATTATTGGTATGTTGTATTTCTGAAAATTTTATAATAATGATGATGTAAAAAATAATAATTATACAGTTAGTAAAAATTCAACACTTTTAAAAATTGAATTTATAATTTTTCGGAAACAATTTCTTGATCGCTATTAATTAAAGTGATGTACTTCTCTAACTGTTGAGCTTTAAGCTTACACCAAATTATTGGATCGGTTAATCCAATAATACGAGACGCTGCTAAAGCTGCTCCTTCTTCTTCCCGTACAGTTACACAACCTAAACCTAAAAAAGGAAAACAAATATATTATATATTTAATAAAAATACTTCAGAGTTGAAATATAAATTGTTAAAATTATTTTTATTACCAGAAGGAACATTTAATGATGACCAGATATCTTGATTAACATTACTGGCATTTAAAGGTGGGCAGTTTATTACTGGCAAATTAGTATAGCCAGCAATTACTGGACCTAAGCCATTACTACGGCCAGCCACAGCCACTATGACAACTGGAATATTTAAACCTGAAATACATATTTTTTTTTTAAAAAAAAAGCCATACAATAATAATGAATAATACACTACCTTCATAACTGTCAATCATTTTCAAAACATATTCAGTACTCTTATGGGCAGATGCAATTCTGATTTCAGTTTTTATGCCTATATTACTTATATAATGTGCAATTTTTTCACCAAAATTTTTATCACTGCCTGATCCCATAACAATTACAATCTAAACATACACATTACAATTTTTAAACATTGGTTATAATTTATTTAGTCTACAAATGAAATTTGTCTAGGAACTGAAAAAAGTATACCAAGCCGCTTGATGGTTGAGCCAAACTTTGAACTTGTTCAGCAACCCATTGGAAATTTTTCTTAATAGTTACCATTGCATCAGCTGTAACAATACTCAAATTTCTGTATACTTGTTTGTCTACCATTAATCTTTTGTCTCCACTTGGCCATATTCTCCATGAATCATTGTCAATAACATCTGCTACCAATATTTTCCCTAGAATGTATTGAATCATAAACTAATAATACATATTATTATAAATAAAGTGAAAATTAATTTAATTAACTCCTAATTATAATTTACCTTTAGAGTTAACACCAAATTCAATTTTCATATCTACTAAAGCAACATTTTTAGAAGCCCACAATTTTTCAAGCACTTCAAATACACAGATAGTTGTTTTTCTCATTATCTCATATTCAGCACTTCCAATAACAATATTTCCAATTTTAAATTCAGCAGACAGTAATTGTTGTTCAGACCATTGGGGGTCATTATTTTTGTCATCCTATTAAAAAAATCCCAAACCACCAACAAATTTAGTTTTTTTTTAAAATTTTATTGTTAATATCTAACATCTTAAGACATTTACTTTCATGTTGTTAAACTCAATTTTAAGAGAATGTGCTACCCGTATGCGCTTTCTTACAATTTGGATTCAGCAAGGATAACATTGTGTTGGTTTTTCATTATTTTAATTTTCAAACAAGATCGAGATAAAAGTATTATTAAACTGATATTTCACATGCTCTTAAAAATTATAAAAAAATCAGAATATTATGGAGATGTATTGACTGCGTCACAGGTATAATTACTCCACATTACTTTTACAGTTCACTACCCGTCACTGGCTAACCACTTCTTTATAGAGATCTTGTCCTAAAACCGTTAACTTGGCAACATTGAATTGGTACATGTATAAGGATAAGCCTTGATAGTCCAAAAACGTCACCATAGTCTAACGTAATGGACGTTTTTCGATGGATGCACTAGTATGGCGTTTATTTTTACACTCGCACGCTTAACGAGGAAAATAAAATGATACCGAAAAAAGGAATCGTATGCTATTTTCGACAAGTTTCGTTGTGCACGTAAAGAAAAAAAAAACCCCCAATAATATCGAGTCATTTTCGTTCTCATAATAGGGGATTCGAGTTGTGTTGCACACATACCTATTTATATAACGAAAGAAAATACGAGTGTAATCACAAAACATTCCGTCACAATCACGTTTTCACAACGCATTGCGTTACATAATTACGCGAGCAAAATTTAAAAAACAGATAATCGTCGAAAAATATCTATGCATGGGGTCCTAGACAGGTAGGCGGGGACGCCGACAATATTATTCGCCTGAATGGCAGATGTGCGGCAACTCCGATCGGTTTGACTGGGATGGCGGTCATTGGCACGGAAATGAGAATCTTCGATACACATCGAAAAGAACTTGTTACTCGTGATCGCGAGAATAATATTATTGGGAACAAACAGACCGAGACGGTTTGGACATGCCGTCAGAGGAATCGAGCAGCGAGGATCGTATGTAATGGAAATAAACTTGGGAGGAAAGAGAGCGAGACAAAAACGGAAAAAAAGATGGGTTGGATGCCGATCGCGAACGGTACAAGTCCGGCGGGTGCATGCGAGGACGGTGTGGGTGATCGGGTCAAGTGGAACTCTAGGGCGAGGGTGACAGACTTCGAAAATAGTCGAGATGAAGGAAGGCGAAGAATGCTATTGGTAAGTTGGGCTTTGTGGATGGACCCCCCCCCCCCCCCNCCCCCACACACACACACACACACTCCCCACGTTAAAAGAACCTGTCTGCTGTTTTTCCGGGGCCGTCGGTGTTAACCATTCGAAATTCGAACGCACGACATAAATTATCGGTATCGGTATGGTCGACGATTAGGTGGTGTAGCGAGACCGGTACCACTCGGTAATCACTGATCGGTATTGAGTATAGTACTGTCAACGCCCATTTATTATTAATACGAATGAGCACTACGATTCAACGGGGATGGCCGTTCGGAATAAATAGACGTCACAAAGTAGTGGCGGGAAATAGCTGGAGGACCAGAAGTAACGCGGCTCAATGATGTTCGACTAATAACGTGCACGGGTAGATACCACGAGATTCTATTGAAACACGACACCCGCCGTTTCCGCTATTGTGTACGTACCTTGAAAAAAGTCTCCACCAACGGTTTGGTGAATCTATAACCTTCTTTTACGCCCGGATTGCGTTTCAGAAAAGATCCCGTTGCAATGCGCCGAGAAACCCATTCGATTGGTATCATATTACATTTTTGGCTAATAAACGTATTGTCGGACGAAGCGCTTTTCGAAACAAACGCCGTCTGTACGCCTAGAACGAAACGTTAAAACGACGAGTTTACCATAACATTTGAATACATTTAGTAGGTGCGATGAATAAGCGTACAAAGATTGTGTCGGTACCTACCCAAGTCTTGTAAAATCTTAAATATCGCCGTCGTGGTCTCTGTGGATATGACGCCCTTGTTTTCCATTTCGTTTTCTCTGATGCCATCCCAAGCGGTTATTTTGTCTCTGCTCACCATCAATACATTTTCCGTGCCGGGAATATCGTACACGATTTTTGTCTTTCCTTCTATGATTATTTCTCCTATACTGACACCTGGGACACCACACGGTCGAAAAAGAATTAATTTCGTATGAATCAAAATTGAAATTATAATAACAGCGCTCGGTTGTAATTACCAGAAATTTGGGGTTTGTTCATTTTTCGGAAAGCGTCACTGTACTATATAGCAGGCGTTTAGATATATCTGTTGGACAGAAGACAACAATTTATTATCGAACGATCGAGTATATAACGTCGAGTCGCCTGACGGGCACTGGGCATTATTAATGATCAATTAATAATATCAATTGATCCCGCCAATTTCCGCCGAACAATATCGGCGATGGTGATAGTGTAAATGTACTAACCTAAAAAAAAATCGTTTTAAGCACCCACAACCAGTTTGGCGGCTTATTGGAATTACAAAAACAAAAAAAAAAAAAAAAAACGTGCTACAGAACAGTGTAATCGCCCGGAGGAATTTTGAGTTTTCGAGTGTTTTAACGAATCGAATCGGACGGCGGTCACTACGCGTAGAGATATTACTATTGTATTGCGCCTGCCGGTAATATTTAATACATTTTGCTCGTTTTCTATTTAAGAACAAGGTACGTTTTTACATTTTATCTGTTTAAATTAAAACGTTATTTTTTTTTTTTTTTATCTTAAATTAACAATTGTAACAAGAGATAAGCGTTGTTCGGACGCCAATTTTCGTTTTCCAGATAAACTTCGATATAAGTAATCTTAAGTTCACGACCTAAAGATGAACGCCATTGATTATTTTATAAATAATACGTTTAGGTACTTAGCAAATTTTAACGATTCATAACCTAATCGGGTCAATGGTACACATATTATAACTGCTTAATAGTAATATCTTTATTATAATTAAATAAATACATTTTATGGTTGATTGTTTCATCATCTAATGTATGTGGATATTTAAATTTTTCATATACCTTTAAGTACTATAATTTATTTATTGTTTCACTCATAGTGATATGTAATATTGTATAAAACTGAATTACTTGGACGTTTTTACAAGTAAAGAGGTACTTAATAATATTTAAATTGTAAACATGATTATTATATTAATTATTATTGAAATTAATTATACTTAACAATTTATTACTGACCTGTTATAATAATTATGCGATACTAGTACAAACGTACAATTTACTAGTTACTATATAATATGTGTAATATCATATTTATTATATTTAAAATATGTTTTTATTTTATTTAGGAACAAACATGTCTATTGTTGAAGAAGATGATAGGCAATTACGCCATGAATGTGGTGTATTCGGTTGTATTGCCTCTAAGCCATGGCCGACAGATGTAGACGTAACCCAAGTCATTTGTCTCGGATTGTTAGCATTGCAACATCGGTAATTTTATTCTTTAATTTCAAATCTATTTTGTACACAAGTCATAAAATTCAAAAAGAGTTAATTATTCATATTTTTAATGTATCAGTTGATAAAATATAGTTAAGAAATTTGGAAATATAATCTTATTCTCTCATTTAATATAATATAATTTGAGGCGTATTTAGGATTTTCTCAGGATTATGGAAAATATAATATGTGAATTAATTTTTGGTTGCTTCACATTACCTTTTATGTGTTATAGTGCAATAGGTCTAATATTAAAAAAAAAGAGGGATAGACACCCCTATAAATGTGCCCTTTGACTTATGTATCATTTTTTTTCTTCATACATATTACATTTATGTACACGATAATAAGCTTGTATACCTTTCCCTCGTCATTCCATTTTATAAATAAGCTCAATATTTTGTTTTCATTCATTTTTTATCAATGATTAAAATTCAAATTTGTATAGAGGCCAAGAAAGTGCTGGTATTGCTATGAGTGAAGGCGACAATCATTCTCATTTTAATGTCAAAAAAGGCATGGGTTTGGTCAGTAATATATTCAATGAAGACACAATAAAAAAACTCAAAGGTAACACATGTTTACTTACTTTTGGTGTCCTGAAACAAAATACAATTTCTGGATTAATAATATGACTAATATTACTCTAATCAGAATAATTTTTTTGATTGCAATGATTTATTGTTGCATATAACATACAAATCAAATTACATTGTATATCCTACTTTCCAAACAAATCACCTATAACAGTAGCCTAATTTTGAGTTGTATCAACTTTTTAATATTAGAACTGATCAATTGTAGTAGTTAAGCTGCAATGTTTAACCTTATAAAAAAAAAAAAAAAATTATGATAAATTTACCTATTATACATTTTAAGTACTTGGACATTATAGTAACAGTGCTGTATGCTATCTATGCACACTTTCTAATTACCTTATGAAAAATCATACCTACCATTTTAAATTCATTAATATTTTATCAAAAAATTGTTCTAAGTAGTATATTTTATGATTTATAGTATCACATACTTTATTAATAGAGTTAATTTTTTCGTAATACTGTTATGGTAACAACACAATTTTAAAAAATTCACAAATTTTTTGGCTTTATAAAAAATATGTTTATATTAATCACCAAAAGTATTAATTTTTAAAAAATTGCAATAATAATCATGACACTTAAGTAAATAACATAACTGTTCTAATAATTTTTCTAAGTTGAGGTTATACAAATTAAACCAAAATCTTTTATTGTTTATAATTTAATGTCTCTTAATAATGGAGTACTTCAAAATTATTTATTTTTCTTACTTTAGATAAAATCAAACTAATAGATATTATACACGCAACACCATTTTCAATGTAACAGTAGATAAAATGTCTTATCTAGATGGCATACAGTACCACTGTATTTTAGATTCTTTAAATTCTAAAATTTGATTCTTATTAAATTTACATATTTTATGATAAAAAATAACAAAACTATCAATTATGTTTGTTATATATTTATAATGCTGTGTTTTTGTCAGACAAAGATTTTATCATTTTTTCATTTACATATAACTCATATATTAATACAATATTAGTAAACCAAAATAATTGTTTTTTTTTTTTATAGATTTCGAAAATAATAACTTAAAATTCTTTTTAAAGAACTCTCACCACTTTTAGGGATATCTTTAATCATATTCATCCAATTTTGGATAACATTTAAATGTGTACCTCTATGTACATTCTAAATAATGACCATTTAAGTATACCTATGTATGTAAATACAAAAATATGGTTTAATGAAAGAGAAAGGCAGTTCTCCTACTAGTGCAAGACTATTTTAAAAAGAACAAGGTAGTGTCGTATATGAGAATTTCGACAATTATTCAAAATATTGTATATAGGTTTATAATTTGATCGCCTTTTCCACCATATTTTTATTTATTTTTTTGTAAAATAATGAAACTGAGCTTGTCGAGTCACATGCTATGGTTGAATTGTTTATGTGAGAAAAATCCTATTTATAAACGTTAGTTAAACAAATGGGATTAAAATAGCCAGTTTTGTTAGTTGTATTGTGCCAGTGGAAGGTGATGCCTAAGTATTAGAATTTAATTATAATTGTGTTAAACTATTTAGGTAATCTTGGAATTGGGCATACAAGGTATTCCACAAGTGCTGGTTCTGAAGAAGTTAACTGTCAGCCATTTGTTGTTCATTCTGCTCATGGTGCTTTAGCAGTTGCTCATAATGGTGAATTATTTAATGCTGGAAAATTAAGGCGTATGGTAAACACTAAATTAATTTTAATTTTAACCCTGAGTATATTTTTGGAGAAGGATTTTCATATAGATATGAAAAAGTAGTATCATGTAAAACCTTATTAAAAACTAAAAAGTGACTAAGAAATGCCTATTAAAATTCATTAAAGTTGGCCATAAATAATTAACATTCTTAAGTTAACAATTTTAGTTGCCTTATTTGAAAATGTTAACAATTTAGTAGTGATCATTTGTTTTGTAAGCACTAATATTATATATTTATAATATGTTGAGTCAAGTGTTCTTCAATCATTAATACATATTTTGTGTTCAATGAAATTGATTCAATGTACTATTTATATTATAAACTATTAAATTATTTTGAAATAATTGAACATTAAGTATGGCATTTTAAATCAAATATAATATCAATATTTTTAAAGAATACTAATTATATGTTTGTATCATATTTAGGTATTAGCTAGAGGTGTTGGTCTTTCTACTCATTCAGATAGTGAACTAATTACACAAGCTCTTTGTTTGAACCCACCTGATATTGAAATTGATGGCCCAGATTGGCCAGCTCGTATTAGACATTTTATGGAACTCACCAAATTGTCTTATTCAATAGTAATAATGGAAAAAGGTAGAATATTTGGAGTGCGTGACCCATATGGCAATAGACCTCTCTGTATTGGCAAATTAATGTCATTAACTGATCCCGATAAAGGTACAATTTTTTTATAGAATTATAATATATAATTATTTTCTACCGCATATGTACCTGCCATTTTATATTTTTGTTAAACAGAGGAAGGGTGGGTTGTGTCATCTGAATCCTGTGGTTTCCTTTCAATGGGTGCTAAATATGTAAGAGATGTTTATCCGGGAGAAATTGTAGAATTAACAGACGAAGGTTTTCATACTGTATCCATAATGGGACGTCCGCATAATCGCCCTCAAGCATTTTGTATTTTTGAATATGTATATTTTGCAAGGCCTGATAGTATATATGAAGGTAAAAATTACATTTATTTGTTTAATTTCTAATATATTATAAAAATTATGTTAAATTACTAATACATTTTTTAAACAACAAAATATAAATTTAATGCAGGACAAATGGTTTATTCAGTACGGTTGAGGAGTGGAATTGTATTAGCTAGAGAAAGTTTTGTTGAAGCTGATATTGTTAGTTCAGTTCCAGAATCTGGAACTGCCGCTGCTCATGGATTTTCAATGGCAGTAAGTACTTTAAGATTTTTAAATTATACATAACAGATTTAAGAATAGTATTACTCATATTCTTATTCTAAAAACTGTAACATAAAATTTAAAAACCTTGTAATTTTGTACTTCAAAATATTGGTTATTTAATTAAATTAACATTTTCAGTCTAATATTCCATTTTCGGAAGTTTTGTACAAAAATCGATATGTGGGCCGAACATTCATTCAACCAAATGCTCGATTAAGAAGGTTAGGTGTTGCTAAAAAATTTGGAGCTATTGTTGAGAATGTTGCCGGCAAACGAATTATTCTAATTGATGATTCCATTGTAAGAGGAACTACAATAGGACCAATTATCAAGTTACTGAGAGATGCAGGAGCTAAAGAAGTACATATAAGAGTGGCTTCTCCTCCTCTTAAGTTTACTTGTAATATGGGAATTAACATACCGACTAAAACTGAACTTATTGCTAACAAACTTACCATTGAACAGTTAGCTAAACACGTTGGTGAGTATATTAGTTAAATTAGTTAAAAATTAAATATTAGTTAAAAGTAATTTTCAGAGCAGGTTTTAAATCAAGTATTGAGTTATTTTTATTAGAGTGATGAATTATTTAAATTTGGTTTGTAAGGCTAAATGATTGATAATTTCTTACATTAATCAAGATGTGTTTTTTATACTGGTTTGTAGGCATTTTGCCAGAGCACATTGTTGATTATTATTGATCGCCATATTCTCCACGCATGTCTTGTCTATTTTAATCTTCTAAATAGGAGTTTCTTTTGTAATGCTAGGGTATCAAAAAAGCTCTTGGAGTTAATCATCTTTACACGGACTGAAAATCCTTAGAATTTTCCTTTTGAAAACACCTAATCTTATTTCCTTTTTTACCTAAGAAGCCATGTTTCAAGCCATGAAGAACCACTGGGCATATCAATGTTTTATATACAGGGTGATTTCACTAAGCGTGCTCATCCCATTTTTTTGGTTAAATTTTGCATATATTCAAATTCTGATTTTTTAAATTTTTAAGTGTAGTTAAAGCCAATATTTTTGAATACTTAGATTTTTATTTTCAAAACATTTAAACAGTATTCTGGTATAACAACTTTAGTTTTTCAAATGAAAAACTATTATAAAAACTCCATAAATAGATGGAATATTATTTAAATAAATTTTAACACCAAAATGTATATATAAGGTGTCCCACAAGTATTCGACAAATGCAAAAACTTTTGTTCTATTCAATATTTTTGAAAAACTTTTTTCTTAAATAATTAGTATGCCCCAGGGCTACAGTTTATATGTAAATATTCTTTTTTATGGGCAGGGGGATTTATAATTAAAAATTTAACTATAATTTTTTTTAAAAAATTCAAAATAGCCATTTTGTAAAATAGATTTTTAGGAAATTTTTTGTTGGTTGAAACTTTTGTTAAATTATGGTCTTATTTTCTTCTTAGATTTTTTGAAAATTTGAATAATTTTATTTTCAATCATAATAATGTTGTTTATCTACATAAATTACCATTGTTGATTGATTGAAACTATAATACGATAATATTATTGAATGATTTTAACTCATGGATAAGAAAATCCCAACTAATAACTGAATAACCAACAATAGGTAATATTCACATTTGCAAAAATTTCAAAAATTATAGAAAATAAAAACATACTTTACAAAAATTTTCTAAAATCTATTATTTTACAAAATGGCTATTTTGAATTTTTTTTATTTTAAGTCCTCCCCCTAAAAAAAAATGTTCATATATAAACTATAGTGTTGAGGTATACTAATTATTTAAAAAAAATTTACATCAAAATTGAATAGAACAAAAGTTATTGCATTTGTCGAATTCTCGTAGGACACTGTGTGATATAGCTTTGAATAATTTTGTCGAACCATAGTAGCAGCTATTACATTTCCACACCTTATAACAAGTAGAGATACTGTGGGACCATTCTGATCTCCTTACAGGGGGACTATAAAAGTACTATATCCAATCAATAATAACTTAAAATATATTTTTACAGGAGCTGATACTATTGCTTATTTATCAGTTGATGGCCTTAAAGAAGCAGTAAAAGAAAAAATGCCAACCAAAAATGCGCCTGAAGTTGGGCATTGTACAGCATGTCTTACTGGAGAATACCCCGAAGAATTAACTTTCTGAATAGCATAATTGTAACTCAGGACATTGCTAAGTTTTTCAAATTGAGATACTGATAACTTGAATAAAATATTATTTATAAGATCTGTCTTCCAAGTATCTATTATTTATCTTTATACTTTTATAATTTTTTTTTTTTTTTTACATATGAATACATTTTATTAAATACTTACATTGTAAAGTTTATTACAATTAACTATTAATGAATTATTTCATTAAAAAAAAAAAAAAAGATGCTTAATTTTTTTATGTTTTCAATATTGTTTGTTTATAAATTTATTATTGTAATAATTATATTATTTTAAATAAAAATAAGATTTTTTTTTTAAAAATTATGTTTAGTTATTTCATTGTATATTATTTACTATTTAATATTTTATTAAACATAGATAATAATTGTTCAAATTACAATTGCTGCTCACAATACTTAGCAGGACATACCAATCTACTCAATGCTACTAAAAGTTTTGCTAATTATCATAAACGATTTTATAAAAAGTATTAAAATTAAATTGGTAAATTGGGTCTCTTATATAAATTAAATAACAATATCAACAATATCTTAAAAAAATAATTAACTGGAATATTATCTAATAATGTAAATATTAAAATGATACAAACTTAATAAAATCTAATCATTTCTTTATTCTTGTAATGCTAAATTTTTTCTCTTAATACATATATATATATGAGTGATTTAATTTATCTAATGTTTATGTTTTGTTATAAATGAGCAGTGGTAACCCTTGATGAAATTTTTCATCATACACTTTTAAAACTTCAACAAGAGCCACAGATACAATCAAATACCTATTCAATTGTCTCTATCAAAAGTGATAGGTTGTATTTATAGTTGTTAGGTGACTTAATGCTGACATAATCATAAGCTTTACCAACTTGTAATTATCACTAAATAGATACTTGTATAATTTTCTCTGGTTGAAAAGGATATTGATATGAATGGTCATTAAGTGTTTACTCATTGGAATCTATTTTAGGATTCTATACACTTTAGTTCCTTGATTGATTTAATCTATAGCTGTGTGCGCCTTTGTAAGTTGTAAAAGTTATAATTACTGATATGTATGCTAGTGATTGTGCAATATATAAAAGTCAAATTTTTAGTATTTAACGAATGTTTTTTTTTTTTTATTATTCTAAATTAAAACGATAAAATAAGATACTTTACTATTAAAACCGCTATCAGTATTTCTTTTTTTTTGACGAAAATATTTTACTTATTTTAGTTTTTGTTGTAGATAGATATTCATAAACCTGTTCAAGTGTAACTTAAACCTATCAGTAAAAATCTCATTGCCAATATTTTGAGCCACAATGTCAATTATACATTTTTCAGTTTTTTCAAATTTATCATCAGCATTATTAATGTTTTCATTAAATAAATCATATATTTCTTCAAAAATCAACATAAATATAAAATTTAATGGTAATAATATTTTAGTACATTTTAGAATTAAAATGTTTGTAAACAAATATCTTTCAACAATGAAATGTGATTTGTTATAGTTAAGTATGTTTTATTTTAAATGAAAACTAATTTACTATTTTATAACAAATTAATTTTAAATAGATCTACACATTTTGAAAATCTAAAACCATTTTTAAATGGTTGACTAATGAGTATATTGCCATACCGATAAATGAAATTAACCAATTGACTATTAAATATTTTTGTTTAAAGGTATTGACTTGTTATTATCAATACTATTGTCATCTGATGTTGAACTTGTATTATTTACTAATTCAGGAACCATTTCATTATTTTCAAATACTTGCAGATCAATTATTTCAAGTATATTTTCAATTGTATCGCAAGTATTTGAAAATAATGAAATGGTTCCTGAATTAGTGAATGGTAATAAATTGAGGATACATGGCTTTTGCCATATATCCTCAATTGTCTGATTTAATAGATCTATACATTTGATTTAATGTCAATTTTAAATTTGTTCAAAACATATTCAATTATATACTTTAAAAATATACCTAATTGTAAAAATAAAAAGCATTTCAAATTAATTTAGAATAGGTACCTATCTATAAAAAAAACTCCAGTACTTATGACATCAAACCTATAACTGTATGTGGTTCAGCGGGTTCTATTAAACCTATATTGTCTTAACATGTTGACTGCAGATGTGTTTTCGCAGTTCTATGCCACCCACAGCCCATTATAGATAGTTCTAAACAAATTTTTAGTTTTACGTTCATATAATTTTACTGAACGACTGAACAAAATATTTAAAATAAAATGGCTGTACAATTATTTTTTTCATATTTGAAATTTAATAATATAATATTTTATAACATACCTAATATATTGCCTAATTTACTTTGGGCATTATACATAATATCAACCCATGTTTGTCTGTGTTTTAAGGGATAAACTATAAAGCACTTGCCCCGATTTGCGCCAATGAGACGCAGTATGTAAAATTGGCTAAGAGCGTCATAGATGTGAGTAATGTCACTGAGTAAATTAATAGCTTTAATAGTATCTAAAACATACAACCTATCAACAACGCATACAACATTAGATTTCGATAAATACCTTAAGTAGGTACTTATACAAACAAACAATAAATAAGTAGAGCTACCTCTATTTTTTTTATGATTTTAAAGAATTGTCATTCCTCTCAATGAGTAACTATAATTAAAAAAATCCACAACACCTAATTCAATTTTTTAAAATCATAGAAATGATAATAATGAAATTTAATGAATTTATATGATAATAATAAATACAATTTAAAAAAAATTGAAAAATATAGTTTATTAAAATGTAAATTAAAATAATATTATAATTCTTTTGATCTTGTACAATATATAAAAGTAAACATAATCAAGCGTAGGAAAGTACCTACCTACATAAACGTATAGGTACAAAATACATGTTTTTAATTATAGGAATTTTAATAATTATATTTTATGTCAGAAATCGATAACGTTATCGAAATTACTCTTCGTAGCTTTATTTGTATGTTCTAGTTTCCAATGAAGTTAATTACAAAAAAATGCGCTTTAATATTATTATATTACGAGAGAATATAAAAAATCAGAACAAAATAACAACGCAACGTTATCAATTCCTGTAATTAAAATTATTTGTGACTAAATTTTACAATACCCATATGAATATGATGCAACGATTTCAAAAAACCAATATTAAAAATACAAAATATCATTGAAAAATTTAAGAATAATAAATAATTTTTCTGTATAGAAGCAAAGCATATGTTAGCCCTGGTTATGCTTCGTCTAAAAATAAAAATACGTTAAATTACGAATTTGCATTAACTCGTATTATTATTATATAGTTTTCACCAGTTTTCAGTGTCATGTTTTTGGATCTTCAGACCTTCCTAATCTCTATAACGGTCAAAAGTTGACCGTTGATTCTTGATGGTCAATTGGAATGGGTTCAGCGAAAATTCTTAATTTCAGAGTTCCAACTTTCTGTTCCGGATACTCTTTCCCTTTCCGTATTCCTTTTAGCCAATGCAGTGATTTAACTAATCGCCCTATTGTCCGTACGATGAAACTCGCCAACGGGGAGGACCCACTATTCCTTAGTCCGTAGCGTAAAACTATTATCTGTTTAAATCTTAAATATTGTAAATTTTCTTGTTTAATTATTGTGTAATTCTGTACAATGTAGTAACGGGCTCGTCCCGTTTTAAATAATAATAATAAAAAAAAAAAAAGTGAATATAACATTAGGTATTATCATACATAATATCGTAGATACACAATAAATATTTAGGTACGGTGGATATGAGTTAAAACGGGCGCAATTGAATTGGCGCCCAAAGCCAGATGCCCAAACAGATACCATTAGTCGGTATTTTTACCCGATGAATTGATTCCCTCGGCTTTTATTTCGTAAATACATTGGTTGATACTACTAAATCTGAATATAATACACTAGTGCCGTAATTCCGAATTTGTTATAAATAAAAAAAATATTTTAAAATCAAACTTCGCGTAGCAATAGATTAATCACGCACAAATTCCGGCACTTGCGTCGTGCGCACTTTCAATTGAAATACATTTTTAAAACCGCGCCTTGTTGAACATTTTGTTTGGAATCGATTCAACAGCGCATTTTTTAGGGGCCATTTCAATGATCGACTGGATAATATTTACCTGCCGTTGGGAACCAATTCAATGGTCGCCGCTAATGTTATACTGTCGCTGAAATTAACCCTTTATGACCGCAAGATATCCACAGATATTATTACCATTGTGTAACATGATATATGTATATTGTATTGTATTAAGTATTGATTATAGGTATACCCGTATTTTATGCAATACGTGTAAATATAAATAGGTATAAAATAAATATATTTATAAGTTATAACGAATAATTAAAGTAGGCATGTAACAGGCGTAGCTGTAACGGTTTACAAGTTCATGTAACCCTCCTACAGCTGTTCATCGGCCACGAATCCTACATTTTGCGCACCGTTTTCCGCAGTTTTCGTTGTTATCGTCGGTTTTCTGAAATTCAAAAATCGTTTATCAATTTTTTTTGTACACATAAAAAAAAAAAAAAAAAAAAAAATGTTTTTAAATCATATATGTATCACTTATGTATTTATATGTTTACTAGAAGCTTTTCGACCTTTCCGGAATTAACTTAATGCGTTCAATTAATGGGCGCCCGTTAAGAAGCTTCCTGTTGACCTTTCCGGGAATATCCTATTTTGGTCCTCAAATCACTTTCTTTACGCCCTTCCCCTTTGAATTGCCACTGTATCACTGTAATATGTTGGTACGAAATCGTCCGTTATTTTCTAACGCACCCCTAGTGACATTTTCAAAAATCCAGGTACACACGTTTCATAATTTCTAACCAAAAAGTCAGGTTTATATCATCAGAGGCATTGTTAATGGTGGATTCCTAGGCATCGAAAAGGATTATATAATATATTACATTTACGACAACCTTTTACAAATACTTCGTTGTATGTATCCGTTTGTTCATAACACATTATACATTTTTTTCAAGAACAGTGACTTTTTCTTTGTTTGAAACATTGTTTTCCGAAATGACGTTATTCTAGGATTGTGATAGGTTTCGTCAAGTTGTTTGGAAATATTAGATTTTTGCAGTGTAATACTAAGTTCTAGGGATTTGATTAATTTTATAAGTTCGTCAGTCTTACGCTATCAGACTTATTCGGAACCTGCGTGTTGTAAGGACAGCTCGAACACTCCGAGGATTCCAATAACTAAAAACCTGCCCTTGACAACGCAGATCATTTAACATCCATTTTTACGTATACACTATAATATAGATTATAGAAATATAGGGAGGTACATTTCAACACGCTCGAACATTTTTTTTATCAACAGTGATATGTATATACCCCGCACGATAATCCGTACAGTACTAACGCGCGTTATACGTACGTTTTGAGTCCAAAAAGTTCACCGTCCTCGATAGTCTCCGGTAATTGAACTCCTTTCGTTTCCGGCAATAAAAGACACAGGACGGCGCCAACCAATGGAACTGTGCCGAACACCATCGGTGGCAAGTACACGTTCAATACTCCCTGCAAACGGCAGTAAAAAAAACCGGACTCAAAAAAAAAAGATAAACATATAATAGACACAGCTCTAAGATGTTGAATAAAATACTTGTAATGTAATACTGAAGTTAAAAAAATATATATATATATATTTATGTATAAGAATCATAGTACAATAGGTTCTAATAATTATTTTTTAAAAATAAAGGCTTCAAAATATTGAGCAAAACAAAATGTTAATGTATTTGCTTGATCTACGTTGGACACTCTGTATAGTTCTCATTTTGTAATAGCAGGTTTTAAGTTGGGTTGACATTCCTGGTACTGTCACAAGTAAAAAAAAAAAATGATCAGAATCAATACTAAATCCGTTGAAAATAAGCCGAAGTACTGTTATAGCTGTGTGCGGGGATGAATTGCAACGCTGTGGAATTTGAAATAGTAGAACTATTAATGGACTTCCCATTTTGCGTCCAAAAAGTTATTAGGCCATGACATAAGAAACGTTTAAAAAATTATAATATAACATGCTGGCTAATTTATAACTGTCGTTTACAAATATACCACCCCTATTTTGTCTACGGACACGGTTAGTGTTAATATTTTATGTATATATGTGTTCGCAGTCATGCAGCACACGATTTTTAGTAATCGATTTTGCGTACTAGTGATGATACGAACGGCGCTATAATGGAACCGATCCTTGCACACATGGATGCGGACCCGACGCCGACGTTACGCACTACCGTCGGAAATAGCTCTCCACTGAACAGATATATGGTCGGGAAAGCTATGGACGATCCGACTATGCCCAGTGACGCCAAAATAAACTTGAAGTGTTCCACCTCCGAGTCTGTAAACGTTATAAACGTCATATTAATAATTACCATATCGTGACGACAACAATGGACATCACAGGATTCGTTTACCTATACGTTACACAAAGTGCGCAACGAGTGTATTGTAATCTTCATAGACCCGTGTTCATAAATCAAAACAGAGGAGGGCTTACCTCCTCCCACCGACAATTTCAATAGCCCCCGCTAACTTTTTCTGTTATATTTTTTTGACATTAATTGAATTGAATATTTTTAAAGGCGTATTACAAATGAATAAATAATAATACTGTAATATTTATGCGCGCGTAATACGCCTAATGTATATTTCATTTTAAATGATCATACGTACACAGTCAAAATTGTAGTCTATCCTATACCCAATACTTATTTTAAAACTGATCTTAGCGTCGCGTTAATTTTTTCTTCCCGGAAAATATAGCATTTGGAAATCGGATGGATCACTTTGCAGGGATATATATACATATATGTATACGTATAGTCCGATCCGTATAACAATTATCAACCCGTGTATAGAAATGTTGTACAAAACTCACTTTGCGGTAAAAACGTGATCAGTATACACGCCACGGCGGTGACCAGATTGGCCGACAGTAACGTGTTTCTTCTGCCGAACTTTTCCATCAGATATATGCACAGAAATGCCCCCGGTAATTCGATGAATCCGGAAGACGCGACGTTGACGAATATGTTGCCGCCGATCTCGCCCATGTACTGCGCAAGACCGTAGAAACACAGACCGCATACAAACCAGTTGAAGAACACTGCCAGGGTCTTTTTCCTCAGGTTGGCGGTCCGGAACAAGTCGAATAGGTTGCCCTTGTTTTCTCCGACAGTATTTCGCGGTTGGTTGTTCAGCGCCTTCTCGAAATCGCCGTCCAACTTCCGGTTGTTTTGTTTCGCTCCGGTGATCAATATTTTCCGCGCTTGTTTTTCTTTTCCTACCGCCAACAGCCATCGCGGGCTTTCCGGAATTACCCTGCGGATTTTTTCACATTATTATTATTCCGCGGTCGTCTTTTACTTTAGTACTTATTTGTCGTGCTCGCGATACTACTGCACCGCATGTCGCGCGATAACCGTATACCGTTTTTATACACAAAGACAGCCAATGCAATTTAAATTTATATTCAAAATTATGATACTCACCACCAGTAAGTGAAGAAAAATAAGGCGGGCAGCGTAATGGCCAGTTGGAACTGTCTCCAATCTCTTATCATATACGAAATGAGAGCCAGACTCATATGTCCTAAATTGAAAGGGATATGATGCAATGTGCTTACCACAGTTCGCCATTTCCCACCAACCACTTCCATGGCTGTAATTCAAAAATTAGCTGTAATTCGGTTATTTTCAAACTAGGTCTGTATATAATAAATTGGAATTTAACACATATTAATTATCGATCCCTACTACATCCTACTACTTATAATTGATAAAACAATTCTGAAAGACATTATTTGGAAATATTATATTATGTTTGGAAATGTTTCGTCTAATCTAATTGTTTTTTTTTTAATATTTATAGATACTAGAAATACTGAATTCAAAAATGTCAAGTTATGATGGGTACTATTTTAAATTTATAAATTCTAATATTAATCACTTTTCATTAACATCTACATGATAAAATTTCGCAAACGTTTTACAATGGACCTATACTTCTTTTGTCTCTAAACATTTCAAATTGAAGAAAAATTTTGTTGAATTTCGGATCTAGATGCCCACGAAAACAGAATCAAAAATAGTAGAATTTGTACAGCCATAAATTTGTCCAGTATTCCTATTCGATTTTTTCCGGGCTTTCTCAATTAACATTAAAACTTCTTTGAAAGTCAAAAAATTACCTCCTTAATTTACTTACTAGATTCGAAATTCTACAAAAAAGCTCTTTTATAATTTGGAAATTGGAAAAAGATGTGTTGTAGAAAAGTTTTTTACAGATACAAATAAAAGTATAAACAAAATAGCACAAATCATACTGAAACGCTGCGCTGCGTTCAGAATCTAAAACGGCGAGAATTCAAATTTTTTGTTTAAGAAAATCAGTGTATACGATTAATTATCTTAATTGGGTATTTACTATTTTTGTATTTTTCGGAACTATTAAGTATTATTCTTTAGGCATGGATATAATGCAAATTACACACTCGATTGCGAATGATCTTTATCACTTTAAAGTTTTAAGTTTAAACAGATAAAACATAATTTTTAAATAACAATAATGTTTATTTTATAATACCTATACCACTGTATATCAGTCATAAATATTTATAATCGCATATTAAGACCACAGACTATTAAGGCCTATAGAAGTATAGGTGATGGATGGCTCACCGCTCTTGATAGCCTAAGTATAGGATATGGATAATGTTACTCTTACTGTTTTATATGAAAGTTATGTATAATGTTATATTAAACATACTTATAATTTATATTAATTATACACATTATTAAAGTATATGACATGACGTGCCTATACAAACAGTGAGATTTTTAAAACATCAATTTATTATAATGATGATTATAACGCTTAAATCAGTTATTCAAAATTAACGATTCATTATTATTTTTTAAAACCTTCAAATGATTAATCAAAAAATTATAAAAAATATACATAAAATATATTTCAGAGTTGAATGCATTTATTTATTTTTACCTCGCCATAAAATTACTAAAAAAGTTAAAATAATTCCTAGGTTTAACCCACTGTATATAGATATTTTAGATAATTATAGTTTTACTTTTACGGAATTTAAGTATAAATTATTATTGTATATAGATAGGTTCTGCTCGGATGTGGTACGAATAGTGGTTTACCACTAAATTATTTGCCATTATTTTTCTGTATTTATGGTCAATTACTCAAACAAAATGTTTTTCTGCATATTCAAGGTTGTTTTGCATTTAATTTAAATGAAATTAAAATCGAATGTGCACTATATTTATGTTTATATTACTCGTATTATCTATGAATAATATTGTTTAATACCTATATTTAAAAATCATTATTACAATTATTATAGATATATTTCGTAATTTGCGTTCATGTAATAGATATTAATTTTATAAAATTGAATTTTGGTAGGTAAACAGTGGAGTTTTAAGTAGGTACACTAGTTTTTACAACAGGAAATGATTCAATAAATTACAAAAATTGCAGCTAAAATACTTACTCAAAACGAAGCTACTAATCATTAGACCTCCAATGGCCAATGCGGTCAAGAATCTAAGTGGTAGGAACAATGCATACCATGGAGCTAATGACGTACCCACTCCGGCAACAAGTAATAACACAATAGCGAACATCATTGGTATTTTCCTACCAAATCTATAAACAAATATTAAAAATATTAATTATATCATTATTGAACAAATTTTAAAGTACATTAAGATGGTGTTGTTCACAAGCATACTAATGCAGCAACTCTAAAATACTCATTTAAGGCAACGAAACTATGACGTTCAATTTTATTATGCAACTTTGGATACGATTTATAAATCCGTGGGACTGCTTCATTTTTAATATGGCCAGTATTTTATTTTATTTTATTATTTTTTTAATAATCTGTTCATACTTTTCTATTTGAAAAACGATTTGTTCAAAATATAATTTACTTTCAATAATCTATAAAGTTGATTTCAATAATTATATAAGTTGTTTTGTGTAAATATTTGTGAAATATATAATTACTGCTCCGCTATACCTTTATACAAAATGTATCGTATACATCGTATTCCTACCTGCCATCAACCGTTTATTTAACCGTTTAAGTTAACTATTATCTATATATATATATATATATATATATCGTTACATTTTCTGGTCGAGATTTAAAATAGAAGCAGTCCCACGGATTTATAAATTGTATCCAAAGTTGCATAAAATTGAACGTCATAGTTTCGTTAGTTGCTGTAGTCACGAACCAGTAAATTATGGAAATTACATAATGTACGTACTTGTCAGAAAACATACCGAACAACACGTTTCCAATTAGCACTCCAAACATAAACACCGACTGTGAAATGTTGGCCAGTTGAAACCTGCCACATACCAAGTCCCACTGAAATGCATAATAAAACCAAAAAAAAAAATGAACAAAAAGAATACGGACATACTTCGCACGTGGATGGGTCACTGTTGTGGGTGAGAATTGGGAAGGTAGAAAGGAAATTGAATGTATATCTGTACGCAATAATTAACAATTGCAAACTAAAAACGATTCTGAACGGATTTCGGTTAATAGTGTTGCTTTTTCAACAATATATTATGTTATAATATAGTAAAATAATTAAATATGAATTATATATTTTCTTTAATAATATTTGTTTAATATTGTACCTATTTTCCAGTTTTCCGATGTTTTTCCAGATTTTTCCATTTATTATGAAAAAAGTTGGGAATATTAAAATATTACCTTCCTAAAATACTGCCCCAGCTAGATTTCCTTTCAAAAAAAGTGCTATATTTGAAAATTGGAGGAAAATTTCTTGTAGAAAAGTTTTTCATAGAAAAAAAAAAAAATATCTACATCATTATAAAACTAATACGTCCCTTGCTCCGTTCCAAATCTAAAAAGATGATAATAATATAAAAACTGTGAAAAACCGTTGTAATAAGAAGATTATTGCAACGGTTTTTTCCTTCAAATAGCCGAGTATGTATGGTATACACTTAAAGGAAACACATAAACAACAGCTTGTCGCTATGTATTTATTTGTGTGCGTGTGTGCTAACCTCTGTGATTATAGTCTCATGAAATATAGATCTGTCGTAGATGAACTTTTGACATGGTTCAATATTGTGTGTTAGTGGATCACGGAAACTGCATCTGTCAGTATTGTTTAAAAGAGCGGTTTTGTTGTCGACGTCACACTGGAAAGACGACTTAGCCCCCAAAAATATAATGGCTAATTGGTGCCAGGCGATCGGGAACTTCAACAGAGACAGGGCGAAAGTTATCCAAAACTGCCACCATCCGAAATCTCCCAAAGCGTTTTGTACTGGGTCACCAATTTTGGTGACGGCCGACATTTTATTAGTGTTATGTTCTTTACTTTCGCAGCTAACATCCGTATTTTCTTTTTTTGTATCTTCTGTCACTGTAAAAGATAAAAATTGAATGATCAATATCGTTACACATTTTCAAAGCTAGACAAAAACCAACAATCTGACATACTTCACACTATTGATAGGCAACTGTTGTAGAAGGGAAGTTTGGAAGGTAGGATAAATACCTAGTGTGATTTATGGGTCTCATATGTACACTATGATCAAAGATTACAAACGAAAACCAATTAAGAGGAAAGTTCAGTTAATCAAATAATAGAAACCTTTATTGTATAAATATTTCCGTCCCCGGCGTTTTTTCTCAGTTTTTCCTGATTATTAGGAAATTAACTAAAAATGACTTCCTCAGTGCACCAATTACATACAATTTGCTATCAGATATCATTTGTTTAGTTGATGATCGATGTAAGTTTTTGGGTATAATAATTGTTAACTAATACAAACAAAAAGCACGTATCATTGTAAAACACTAAAACCAATTAATTCATCACTGCGCTTAGAATATAAAATCTAAAAGATTTCGTTAATTAATGTTAATACATTAGTGGTTAATATGGGAGTGGAGGGGAACGAAGTATCCCTTTTTATTTAAGGTAAAATTATCAGTTCCCTTTAGTTTAGGTATTTGAAGTGCGAGAGGACGCTTTACCTATTGTCACTGTGACATTTTTAACGCAATTTTAAAAATTCCAATTAGTTTTACATAAAATAAATTATTTTATACCTATTAGATAATACATAGGTAATCAGACACTGTTTACTTTATTTTACTGAGTACTAAGCAGGCATATGCATATGATAATATTTGAGGTGGGGTGCACTTTATTTTTAAATCCTTTTGGTTGGTACCAGATAATATTCGTAGTTATACCGTCTTGTAGATATAAATTTAAGTATCCGGTTTTCAATTTTGATTTTGATTGAATATTTTAAATGTGCAAGTAATATTTTACTCATTTTTTATGTTTAAGTATTATAGGATATAATAATAATCATATTTTATTAAAGTTTATAAATAATTAATCTTAATTATTGTTTATACAGTATAAGTGAATAGTTTATATCATACATGCATTGTACATTGTGTACGTTATGCATTTTATTACACTGCCCAAAAATTAAGCACAATGACTAACAAATCGTTTTTAATATTATTTTAATACGAGGACGTTGAGTATTAATAATATTTCACCCGGGTACTGAAGTTTCAAAACCGATTAAATTATATATCTTAACAGATTACTTATCATGACAATTTGTAAAACCATTAATAATATACCACAATTAAAATTTACACTTTAAACTGTTAGGTCAATGCTGTTAGGTAGGTTGTAGGTGTTCAATAATAACAATAATAATAACACCTACGTAATAATTTCTTTTAATTGTTGTAACTTTGTGAGTTTATTATTTAATTTATAATATACAATGTCTACAAAAGTTTTTTTTAAATTCTTCTGTATAAACAAAACATTAAAGCACTGTAAAATGTTTTACAAGGTAAAGTTAAAATTTCAATTATTGAATTTGTTTTTTCAATGTAATATAACTATCATCATTCTGTGAAACGAGAAACTTCTGTTTCATTAAATTCCTTCCCTATTGTTAAAGTAGTCGTTTACCATCCTCCATTAGAAATAAGTTTAAAAATTAAATTGAACAATAATAATTATACTTCAAATGAAGAAATCAAATTCAATTTGTACAATGCAGATTATAATTTAGCTAATTTTAAACAAAATATTTTCGATTCATTTGCTTTAAATTCACAAACTCGCGTCATATACACAAACCGACTTTTAAAAAAGCGTTTTACTGCGTAGATAACAATATACTTATTAAAAATTTATAATCCTCTCTTATCATGGCTATCTTCTTTTCTTGAGAATAGAATACAAACAGTAAAATACGGCAAATAGATATCTAGCTCATGTAATTAACGTTGAGTTAGGTGTACCATGGGGTGACCATTTATAACCAATTTTGTTTCTACTCTTTATAAACGATATTACTTCTATATTTAAATATTCTAACGTATTATTCGGCTGATGACACAAATATATTTAAAACAATTACTTCTGAATTTGATGCGTTACATTTACAGTCAGATTTATTTAGTTTTCAAGAATAGTGCATTAATAATAGAATTGAACTTAATATGGATAAATGTCATTTCTGTTACGTATAGAAATATAAATATGAATTTTAATTATACATTGTTTCATTCTACGTTTGAACGCAAAACTATTATAAATGATTCAGGTATTTTCTTTGACAGAAAACTAAACTTTAATTTTCACATTGATAAATTAAGAAACTCCGCATTATCAAAATTAGGATTTTTAAAACGAAATCGCTCAGAATTTAATAATCAAATTGCTATAAAATATATATATATATTTCTCACTTGTACTATCCTAACTTGAATACACTATTCTTATTTGGACACCAGTTAATAATAATAATAAATCTCAAACATTAGAAGCAATTTAAATTTCATTTTTAAGATTTATCTTCTTCAAATGCTGTGTACAAAGATTTCCTTATTCTTCATACGATGGCGCTTTAAATTTCTTTAATATATCTACTTAAAAAAATTCGCAGAAACTATTTAAATTTCATGTTTATATTTAAATTACTAAATAATAATATAGACTGTCCTCAAATCTTAACAAATTTAATTTTAGGATTTATAATAAAAACACGAGAAATAAAGAAATATTTTTATTTAATCCATCATGTTCAAACTAATTATTTATTATTACCGCCGGTTAATACATTAATGACTCTAGGAAGTTCCACTAATTTAGATTAATTGTTTTGTAAATCAGGAGATGTTAAAACTACTTTTAATATATAGCTTAAGAACTTATTCATAAATACACTATTGAATTACATAAGATTTATATTATATTACATAGTTTGGTTAATGTTAATAATTATATTTAAAATTTATGTTCAAGCCATTGTTTGTATATTATATCATTTTCAGATAAATTATTGTTATATGTTAAACTGCTAATTTTATTGTAAATTTGCAATGTGTAAATGGAGTTATCGCCGTATAAATAAATAAAACATATAATATATAGGTATTGACAGTTGAAAATTGCGTAGTGTTTTTACCCGGATTGTATACAGTTAGATATTTACTTACAAGGTATGAGCGTTTAGTACTTACTATTATCATTAGAATATCAATATTGTGGCACCTAATCAATACTCGTACGTATTAAAATACGTTTTACAACGATGTTCAATCTGCCATCGTCTGTTGGGATGATACGATTATTCTCATAAGATTACTGTTAACTTAAACTATTATACAGCGTAGGTGTTATATAACTTTACCCTTTACCGATTAGTTAACAGTTATGTAATATACAGATTATAGATTTAGATAGTCTGTAGGAATAGAATGCACTCTACAATTGTATGTCGCATAAATAATAACAAAATTAGAACATTTAATTAGTATTAAGAAACATCAATTTAATATTTATTATAAGACTAAAAAAATTGAAGTGATCTAAATTAAATTAAATTGTATTTTCAATAAGTAAAATATTATTAAATTATAATTTTGTTAACTATATTATAGTCAGGGTTGGATCACCGGGGGGGGGGCTTAAGGAAGCAATAGTATCCAGTAATCGATTTTATAAATATTATTGAAGACGAATAAGACGAGAATTACTTTTACTTTCAATTTTTACTATAAAAATTATGGCAGTAATGATGTAATTTTTAAACTTTATTTTGAGAATGTGTTTTGCTGATAATAATTCCGATTTTTTTAAATAATAAATGTATTAAATTCAAAATCTATTAGCATCAGAATTATCACTGTCCTCTTAACAAATAATGTAAATAAATTGAGTACTTATTTGATATTGAACGTTTTATGATATTTAATTTTATAATAAATACGAAAATAAGTATAATATGTGTGTAGTATACTACAAGTATAATAAACTACATATTTTTAATTCAAAAATGTAATAAAAGACACGAGGACTTACCTATATTTATAAAGATACTAACATATAATTTAGATAACAAAATATTTTAAATTTGTGTTGTATACAGCGAAGTCATACCTTAATTGTTTTATATGAAAATAAAACTTTAATGAATAAAAAGAAAAGCAATTACTTATTTTTTGATATGATAATTAAATTTGTTACAAATATATTGAATTATATGGAATGTATCCTTTATTTATACAAAAATTACCTGCTATAAATTTAAAAATATAATCAAACAATTTTTTAAATTAGAATATATTTTTTATGAAACATATTTTAAACGCAAGTTGTTTATAATAAAAATGTTTTGTTCTCAGCCCTAAAAACAATTATAAAACTTGTGTCAATCCATTACACTAAAATATAGGTAGGTAGGTAGGTAGGTATATGATTAGCTAAGAATATAATTACGTTTATATTATATTTTTTTCAGTATTAATGCCATTATAGTACCTATGTACGTTTACATTACGTTAAATACGTTATGACATATTCTTCTCAGTATTTACTTTATACTTGTTTAATAAGAAAATAATATTGTATTGTCATATAAATTTATTAAATAGGTATATTAGATTAAAAAAAAATATTGTATTACTATTATGTACCCATGTGGTAATTTTCCTATCTAAAACGATGTACGTAGGCAAACACGATATTTTTCTTTTCGTATTGAGATTACATCATCATTTTCAGAAAAAAAATACAATCAAATAAAAGTAATTATTAAGTAGGTATAAGAAATATTTTTTATTGTATACGAATCTTTATAATGTAATAGTGAAAGGAGCAAAATTTCTATTCATCATTTGCGTTTACGCAAACGTATATAAACAAAAATAAATTTAGTTCAGTAAAAGGTGATAATAATAAGCTAATAGTATTTTAGATTATGAACGTAGTAAGAATTTTATTGGTTTATTTCCTATGACATGTGCTTTTTTTTTTGTCAGTCAGCTAATTTTTTTCTAGAATTCTTAATCCAATTTTCAAGTACGAATATATATATAGTGTGTTTTCTGAAAGCTAATTTTATTTAATTGGTTTATTAAGGAGTCCTTTTTGATCACTGATTTTCCATGCAGTTTTCTTAATAATTCGGAAACACTTCGAAAAATTAGGACAATTTACGGCAATAATAGGTTTTTAATTTTTTGTAATCGTAGAGATCTGAAATAATCACAGAATACTTAATATTATACTTTTAGATTCTGAACGGAGCGAGAAATGTATTGGTTTTACGATGACGTTTATTTTTTCTTTTATCTGTAAATAACTTTTATATAAGAAATCTTGTTCTGATTTTTAAGTGGTTTTTATAATAATTGGGAAAAACCGTAGGAAAAACGGGAAAATTTACTAAATTTATTATTTTCAATTTTGTTTTTTTTTTTTTGAGATTCAGTAAAAAATATTCGTAAAAACTTGAAAATTTAGACACAACACATATATTTGTGTTTTATAGATGTGGTAACATTTTAACCATTTTTGAACTATTAATAGACATTTTAATTTTACGAGTTTTTTTACATCATTTTTATTCGGTAGTTACTTACTCTGTGAATACAATTGTTAGACTAAACACAAATGCTTGGAAATTCAATAGAAAGTTCATTATAAGCCGTATTTTGTGGTAGAAAAAAAAATTGAGTTTAATGTAGTATTTTTTTTATAAAAGTTTTAATACCAAATTTCGACGAAAATTGTAAATATTACGACCTTTTAAAACATGAATAACGAAGCCCCGCTCAGAATCCTTTTTCGTTAGCAATGGTTAACCGTCACTTACAGATAGACATTAAAGTCCCATCTATATTCCACATTCCCAACTTCTCACCTACAACATTGGTTCGCCCATCGTGTGAAGTATGTCCGTCTTTTTTTAGACGTGTTATCATTCTGATGGTTTTTGAGATGCTTAAAGACATTTGAAATTGTCTAGTTTTTATTTGGTTTTGGGTCGATCTACAATTGTTTTGATCAAGCAGAGATGCTTGAAAATTTAACACAAGATTCATCATAAGTTACCAAAAAAGAAGAAAATACCGATTTCATCCTAAAAGACATGTATGTTATTAGAGTACCAGAGTACTCACGTATTTGATTTCTAAATAAAATGTCATATATATTTTTTAAGCACAATTATTATTATAAAAACCAAATTTCAATAACGATCACGTTGCCTCCCAGCTGATAGCTCTGAGTGTTTTATTGTATTATATTGTGAAAGTAAGAACGTATTATACGTATATATTATAATAAAACAATGCAACCAAACTTATTATATTCTTATCCTACACCTATTATTTATTAGTCCTATGGTGTTCTATTACGTAAATTCTTTACATTTAATACTGCATCACGTCTATCATTCAGATCGAAACATACATGGTTGGACTTTATTACAATTTATTTCGCGTACCAATGGTTTACCGCCTTATGCGTCTCGGTCAAATATCATTTTTAAACGACACAAGTAGACCAATTAAATAAACAAATACACATGGTTTACGTACGGACAAAATCGCATACCTAATTCGTTTAATAGGTAACCTATTTTACTTACCTATTTTATTGTTTTGATTTTAAAATAGCATTATTTATCTATTATTATCGCAACCATTAAAAAATGAAACATTATTTTCTGTAAAACGTATCACCCATCAGCTAAAAAGTTTCGAATAACTAAATATTGTACATTGAAATATTATGCTAAACAGTTGTAAACTTAAATAATGAAATCTGAGCTCTAAAAAGAATGCGTCAGCGTCATATCATTATATTATGTCCTTATTCACTATTTCATATATTTCTGTATGCTATGCAATGTCTTGTTTGTATACACGATTATTTATGATTACTCACAATAAACGATTTGGAAATAAGTGAAATATTTAAAAAAAATATACGGTATTATATGTAGATATGAAATATATTCATATCGGCATGATAATATTCGACATCTATTAACGAATAATAATGATGATTACAGAGGTTTTTTTTATTGAGGGTACTTACTGGATATGAACCTTGTTATACACTGCTAAAATATCAGTATCCGTTTAAAAACTATATTTATATGTGTTACGTGCGGCCCGCGAGAAGTATCAACACAATGTTGTCCTTGATGGATTTATCGAGGAAAACCGCGGGCACGTTAGTTAACGACGATTATTAACTGTATTGAACAAATGTTGGTGTATGATATGATAATTTGTCTTATTTATCGGTTGTTTTACAGGCGCATCGCGCGCGCACACACACACGCACACACACACACATACTTGTTGAAACCGGACGTTTACAGCGTGCGACTATAGAGCGCGACAGTGCTACGCAATGTTTTACATCAAACATTTGACTTTGTCTCGTTATTAGTGATATTATGCGGTACGCGCGTAATGTGTGTGTGACTCGTCGCGAATTTTACGCGCGCGACAAAATAATAATAAGAAACCTTAAAATCATTATTACATTATTTTCGATCGCCGAATTAATTCACCGAATTTCGAGTTTTTTCCAAGGTTTAGCACGAGTACGTATTACACGCATACAATATTGTATATATTATTTTGATAAAAAAAAAAAAAAATCCATAATAAACGAATAATAATAATGAAAAAAAAAAAAAAACAACAACAACGACGACGACGACGACTAGATGTACCACAATAACAATAGTGCAAACTGTACGTACGCCCGCGCGCGTGTGTGCGTGCGTGTGTAGTAAATGAATACCGCATAAAAGATCGGGGCTATAGACTTTATGTACTTCAATTTTCCGTGCACGTTGTGATGAAAGGGATTAACGCTGTTACACGTATACGCACGCATACACGCGATAGAAAAAAAAAAAAAAATAAAAAAAATAAATAATAAAAAGACTCGTACAACACGAAAATATAATAGAACGCACCGGCGGCGGCGGCGGCGGCGATGCAGACCTTGCGGTTCGTTTAAATAGGTGTACGCACACATCATTGAAATTTTCATCGCAGTGCCGGTACGCGCGCGCGACACCTCCGTGCGCTATTAAAATGTTTGCACGGCCTTGGGCGCATGTTTCCATACGCGCGCGGACCGATATTTTCGTTTTCCGCCGAACACGCGATTGTTCGTACGGACGCACGGTTCGTACGCAAAATCAATTGTTATTTTATCTGGTACACGTAATCAACCCGCGGTTTTCGGTTTTCCGGAAATTGCGTACGGATAACGGGCACCGGCTGTTTACGTATTTAGACATGTGAAACGGCCGGCGGCGGCGTGCCCGGGAATTTTCAATGGTGGGAGGGGATGTGATAGATGGGAAATCGCGAACAAACAGTGAAACCGTCCGCTCTACACAACTCGACTACGGGGAATTTGTAATTTTTAAAAGCCGGATCCTGAAAAAAAAAAAGAAAAGAAAAAAGACTACTCATATTTTGTTGTATTTTTAAGCCAATGGGGGGAGGGAGGATATAACCCCTAAACTCCCCTCCCACCCTGCGCACGTCGCTGAAAACGACGTATACGCTACGTGCATCGGCCATCGCGACCTGCAACGTTCAATTAGATCTAGCGGACACAACGATTTCTCGTCCCGCGATGTTATTATTATTATAATATTATAACATGAGATCGGTGTCGGTTTAACAACTCAACAACGACCGCGACCGCCGCGGTTATGTCGGTGGCCCTCGAGAAAACCCCTCGCCGAAACGGATGCGACGTGACCTGCAGTGGCGTATTTACGGGGGGAGGGGAGGAGGAGGGACGAGGGGAATTAGGGAGACATAATATCTCTCCTAAACTTTTATTTCAATATACCTATACATCTATATAACACATACTGTGTACTCGTGTATTTACGGAACTATTTATTTTTCAAATTTAAATTCGTTTACTCTTTAGCCGGAAGAATCGACAATTCAACGTGTGCCCTAATATCTTTAATATAGATATAATTGTTAATATAATATCGAGGAAACGTTAACATTTTCTCGTTAAAAACGAAACATTATTACAATATATCCGAACCATTCATGAAGTATGAAGGTTAGATTATTATAGTACCAAAATAGTAGTAAATTAATTAATAATAATTTTACGGACGTAACTATTATACCTATTATTGTTATTCGATTTCAATGATAATTTTAGGACAAATTGAATAATAAATTACGCACAATACTGCAATATGAATTAAATATTTTTTTTTTCATTTTTTTTTTTTTAGCCTGCGTGGGTACACGTTATACAATATGGTACAAATACAATACATCCTTCTTTGGCAAAATCCTAAATACGACACTGGAATAGACGTACCTATAAAAACCCGAACTGACGAAAAATGAAAAAAAAAAAAATAACGAGTCTATTTATTTATGAAATATATTTTCATGTAAAAATAATCAGACACGTGACATGGTTACCTGAAAACCTGAAAAACTGAAAACCGACATAATAACATGGGAAATAGAGAGTGTGGATATTGTTCGTATACGTCACAAAGTGAAAACACGTCCGAACCGTATACCTATACCTACAGGTACCTTCTTATAAATTATAATAATATACCGGAATCATTAACTGTCGACAGTATATCACGACGGTTTTTTCGAATTTTCGTTTTCGTTCACCTTGAACTTGACGAGAATTCGAACTGACGAAGACGACGACGGCGTGCATTTTCGATATAGTTTTCCGTGGCCGCGTCATACGGCGATACAGATATGCCGGTAATTTATATAATTTATATCGTTTCATAACGCGGTTAATATATTACTATTGGCGTATTTAGTGTTTTACGAAGACGAGAGATAAATGATAATACTATAATTAATTTAAAAATGTATCATAATTTTGTAAACGTGTAAAGATTACAAAGAAAAAAGAATTAGCCGAAACGGAATTTAATGATTTAAAATACATTTTTGTTTGCAATGTATGTAATGAAAATGATAAGACGTATATTCACTATGCACACTGATCGTACGCCATTCGATAATAATAAAGCGCTTTGATATATGCGGATAATTAAACATTTTTAGATTTCACGACCAAATAGAATTTTGAATTTAAATAATATGCTGTGTAGGAAGTCATTTAATATAGATTAAAAAATTGGTCAAGGTGCTAGGGGGAGATATCTAATATATTCTCCCGTAAAATACAACACTACAACACTGATTATATTATATACTGCAGTCTATAGTCTATACTAAATATACTGTACACTGAGTCACATAGTCAGTACACTGAGACTATAATCAGCAGGGCTATGACAAAAAAAGTTGTATTTTTTAAAATGTTTAGAGAACAAAAAAAAAAAAAAGGTTTTTTAAAATATCGAATAGTTAAATAGGTACTAAAACTAAATTTAAAGTTAATTCACTGCGAAAATAAAGATGCAGTTTTACTATTTGATTTTTACTATATTTTCGAGATGTGAGCTATTTTTATAGGATAAAGTAAGTTATTTCCGTCGTATAGGTAATTCTCGTGATATTTCTTTAGGCGTTGGTTATACAAACTGTTGATGTATACGTATATCATGCACTCAACGGACCGTACGACAAACGACAATAGTATAATACCACATGTAACATTTCGACGTAACTTCGCAGTTTGCCGGCAAATAGCAATATAAATATGTCCGTTCCAAACGTTTAAAGAAATATCATTGAACTAAATTACTTTACCCTATGACCTGAAACAATTTAAATTTATTTTTATTTTTTAAAATCAGAATTTTGTTATGATCACGTTACAACTTTCAATAGGATAATGAGGACTTGTCTCATTGGTACGTGGAAAATACAAAAATAATTTTCTCTGTATTTAAATTATTATAATAATAAAAATGTGAAACTGGCCGAAAATTGAAGTTGTCCAGTTATTATACAGAGCACTTTTACTTTAGTTACCTATATCCATCAATGATATGTTACAGGTAGTCCAATTATAATATTTGCATGTGGAAATGTACTTACTATATTTTATTACAAAATATACGTTAAGAAAACGTTTTTGACTTTCTACTTAATATTATAAATATGAAAATTTGTTTCGATGGATGTTTTTTATCCCTTCACGCTAAAACTATTGAACGGATTGGACAGACATTTTGCACATATGGGAATAGCTCTAGATTGGGAATAACATGTAGACCAATTTTATAATGTTATTAGGATAATAATAATAATTCCACGAATTATATCTATCTGTTTATTAACTAAATCAACAACCGTAACTGTATACTAAAATCTATGGACGGAAGGATTACAACGGGGGTATAAGCAATGGAGGGTGAATACCGTATACCCACTTCTCATTTTTCAAAACATGCATACACCCATAAAATGTCATACGTGTACCCGGTTTTGTTTTGAATTCCCGGCCGTGTACCTTTCAACTTTAATTTAATGTTTATACATGTAAATGGTCCAACCTTAAGTTAATGAAATCCTGAACAATATGTAAATAGTCGGATAGTCAATCGTATTCTGGCCAATGACGAAAGGTCCGGAATAGTTAACGCAATCACAACTTCTAATTCCATTAAGAAAAATGTACAGATAGTTAATTATCAAGTGAGTGATTAAGTTAATAAATTGTACGAATTTAATATTTTTGATTAATTAGTTTACGTCGTTTCGAACATCTCAAACTAAGCGATTATCCAGTAACGATATCGATAACAAATTGCTTGTGCCCTTTGGAAAAAATGTCGTTTTGAGCCGCTCGCGTATTTCTCGCAGTAAACCCTAGTAGTACCGATAGTTTTTTTTTTTTTTTTTTTTTTTTTTCTTAGAACTACACCGCAGCAGAATATAATGTATATTCAACTTGCATGCTGTTGAATAATAGCGAAAATTCGTAATTGCATACACGATGGTAAAATACGTAATATTAAATTGTAATGTGTTGCAGCAATAATAAAAAAAAAAAAAAAAAATACGTGCGCTCACTGGTAAAGTGCGGCGGGACGGTTCTCAGCAAGCCAGCATGTCCGGCGCGACGACGTTCGGACTTCGGAGACTTGACGGGATTCTTACGGCGGCGGCGGCGGTCCGGCGACAAACAGTGACGCGAGCACAATAATAATAATAATGTGCGGACGACCGAAGAAATTGACAGGATCCGTTTATACGCGCGCCGTGCGTGACCTAGCCGAGCAATTTGTTTTGGAAACGTCTTTCCCGTCGTATCCGATACTATTATTATTATTATTATTATTATTATTATTATTAACGCTGTTGTGTAGTGGGGACCCGCGATTCTCGGCCGTACACAATTTATTGCGAGCCGCACAGCCGCCGCGGCCGCCGTCTCGGACGTTCCGGAATAATAACATTATTAAACACACTATTACCGCCGAGTACAATCATACTAAATCCGTTTAATACGATTCAATCGGCCCGCGTGCATCAGGTGCCGGCTGTTGAAATATTATAATAGCACCGTGGTCGCCGGGGGACAGCCTTAAATACCGTCGCGTATTGTTGTATGTGACTACGATAAATAACTATGCATAGTAATATTCAGTCATACCTGACCTCAGTGCCGTGCCTAGCAAAATCGACGCCCGGGTGACAAAACAATATTTACCGAAAAGCGAAACGGAGAAAAAAAAAAAAAACGATCGTCTCACCGCCGTTCACTCGTACGCGTTCATTGTGTGAAAATATTCAACAATAACGGTACTGTTAAAATGTTAACGGAATTTTCATTCAGCCGAGAGCAGACACCGAAAACAGACGCCTCTGGTGTTTGTTTGGCGCCCCCGCGGCCATAAAAGCGCCCGGTGCACGACCAGTGAGCACCTCACGCAACCCCTACGCGCGACTCTGTCTGACATAATCTATGTAGGGTGAGGGACGCGGACGTGCGCACCGGCCAAGCGAATGATGGTGATTTCGCCGCACCCGACAGTTGATTTTGGATTTAGTGGTGCCGGTGAATATTCGTTTAATATACAATTAATGTTGATCAAACGAGAAAAACTAAACAATTATTTATAAATGCCAGAAATCTTCTAAAATCTATATTACGCAACAAAAACACTTCGCCTGCAGCTACGTGTAAAAAAAAAAATAACCAGTTATTATGTATCTCGTAAGTGTTCAGCATCATAAAGTTGTGATGCTAAGTGAAATTTTCGGTTTACTTAGCGAGAGCAAATAAAATTTCCTAAACAGATGTCATAACAGTATTTAAGAAGATGTAAAGTATTTTAAGTATTTATTTATTGATTTAAACATATTTATACAGCATTATAATAATAAAATAACAAGTAAATTGTATAACTTTCCTCTGTATTTGCTATAATAGCTGTTTAGGACATACGTTTAGGAAATTTTATTTGATTTCGTCAAGTAAATCGACAATTTTCCTTAGACAATCACCAAAAATGATATCACAACTTTATAATGCTCAACATTTACAATATATGCAATAACTAATGGTTTTTTTTTTTTTATACGTAGGTGTAAGCGAAGTGTTTTTGTTGTTTTTTTGTTTCGGATTGTAGCGAAAGTTAATTGGTTTCACTATGATGTAAAAAATCTTGCTTCGAAATAGAGTATAGTACCTTTTTTAAAAGGATATTTTTTTTAGTTGGTGCATTAGAGAGTAATTTTTGATTTTTTATGGGGTTTTCGGAATAATTGGGAAAACCATGAAAGAAAATTATAGGTAAAACGGCAAATATTTTCGGTATGGTGCGGTGTTACCGATGTAATTGTTTTTAAATTTTTGCAACTTTTATTTTCTGATATGATATCAATGTTGTTCCTTTTAATATATAGCCATTAGCCACTGTAAGAGAGTCGCTTTTTGTCTAAAGTATTTTTCATAATAATTAGGAAAACCAAATAAGACATTTTTTTTATTTTAAATAAAAATTATATTTATTGTAAATATGACTTTAGTTCAATTCAGTTATAAGTCGTAATTAGTGGTAAAAAAATTGAGTGTAATGTTGTAAATCTTTGGACTCTAAGGGGACCGAGGAATGTATTGGTTTTACAATTATGTTTATTTTTGTAATATTTTTTTTTCTCAACTTCTCTACTAGCAATTTTGCTTTGATTTACAATGACACCACTTTTTCTAACAGAAAATTTAACTTGGAAGGTACTTTAGAAAGGTAATTTTTTGATTTTCTCAGGAGTTTTTCCAACAAATGGGAAAAATCGGGAAAACCGTAAAAAAACAGGAAAATAAATACAATATTAAAAAAATATTTTTAAAGAAAATATATAATGCATATGTAATTATTTGACCATATGACATTTATGTTGTTGATAAATCGCCACTATCAACCGAATTCCACTCATAATCGTTTTTTCGTCAGCAATGGTTAATCGTTGCTTACAGATATATATTTAATTATCTATTACAGTGGCTTCACCTGTCCTCATTATCCTAGGCCATTTTTTTTTTATAAATCAAATTTTCATGAAAATAATAATTATTACGACCTTTTAAGACATGTATGCTTTGCTCTGAATCGTTTTTCGTAAAGGTTTATCGTTGATTACAATCTTACAGGCATTGAATAACAGTAATTAAATAACTTAATGTATCTCACCTTTCCAACTACCTCTCTATAACAGTGGCTGCATCACCTGTCCCCAATATCAGTTCTTTATTTTTTTCCATTAGGTATAGAAAATATTTCAGTTACAACCATCTAAAGTTGATCGAAAAACAATTTTGCTTTGATATTTAAAAATATTTATAACGTGTTTATTGAATATGCGTAATTTTATAAATATATTAAATCTATCCTTATGATTTTATACTCATAAAAGTTTGTCTGACCAATTGAGAAACATTTTTTTTTTATAATCTTATTTAGATAGATGGTTTAATAATTAAAAATTATGATTATGCAAAAAAATGTAGAAAAAACTTTTTTGCGCTTAAATATAGCATAATCCTACAAGAATATAAATATTTTAAAAATATTTGTATGAAATTATATTAACGTTACAGTAATTTTTTTAAACCATTTGAAAATGATGTTTTAATGGCCACTTTTTGATTGCAATAAAATGTTTAATTTTTGTTTGAAAAAATTTATTAAACCATTTCATAAGTAATTTTTTTAAATATTATATTATATTAAAATGTAAATATTTTTGTACGGCCACAGCCATGGAAAGAATTCGAACCAGTGGCTCTAGGCTAATCTAAACCTGAACTGCCTAATGCCTTACTCTACTACTCTAATACTACCTAATGAATGTTGAAGTGATAATATTTTATGTGTATTTATATGATTTTCCTTAAAAAAAAAACCATTTCAATGTGAGTGCATCTGAGCCTGAAATATTGCGTGTTACAATTTGAGTGAAACACCTGTGTAATACTTGTATACTTTATAAATGATTGATAAAATTGTCATTGTCAAGCTTGTGTCAACAAATTTTACAATATTGTAATAATATTTTATTGTTTTGTTATATGTCACTTTTTCTGGCACGCGTATTGATCCCCGAGAAATTGGATAATACTAAATTAGTTTTATAGAGTCATATCGGTTTAAAAAATAATTTGAAAATCTATATAAAAATGATTGTGTATAATTATTGTGATCGCAAATTTTGATATATAGCACATAGAAAAATTTTGAAAGTACGCGTCATGTAGTTATTAAAAGTATCCAAATATACTCATCTTTTTTTTTAATATTTTTAAGCTCGCTTTAAGCTTTACATGTGACACTAATTATTCAGAAATCTAAACCCATCCCTCTGGAGAACACATGCTATATGACTTGATATAACCCCATTTGTACGCTATTGCAGTAAATTTATAATCGATATAGATTAATTGTATCGATAGTATTGAAGTGTTCAATTTAAAATAATAATATGCCATAATCCATCTTGCATCGTGCAGGTGAGTGAAGCGAAACAAATTTCCCACAACGAAATTATTTTTTATTAAATGTACTATAATAACAATAATAATTCAGATTTGTAATATTTTATCGTTTGTATACATAATGATTTTTGTCACGTTATATCACATTATTATACGATTGAATGCACCAACAAAGTAAATGCAAATTACGCATGCAATTATGTATGGAACTTTAGTATTTATTTTTGCGCACTTAAAGCATGTTCAGAAAATAATATTTTGTTTTTCCATTTATTGTAACCATAGATTAGACAATTTTTCAAACAATTTAGATAAATACAAATTATTTTTAAAATTCAGTTTAATGTTTTTATTAATATTAATGGTAATGTTTTTTCAGGATTTTCCCTATGAAATACGTATATATTTAATCAAATCAAACTTATTTAAATTGTACGCTGATTATATTTTAACAAATAAAATATTAATATTATACGTATAGCTAAATACAAAAAAAAAATAAAAAATACTTTGCACCATGGCCATGCCACTGTTGTAGGTAGGGCGTTTGGAAGGAATAACATAATCTATTAATTTAGTTAGTAAATCTATTGAAATCAACGGTAAATCAAAAATACTATTCTAAGCGAAACTCAGTAAACTAGTAAGTTTAACTGGTATTATATTAGTGTTTTTCCCTTTGTAGTTAAATGGTAACCCAGAAATAAATGAAATTAAAACCAATGTAACTTTATATTTGGGAGCATTGCTTCTTAATAGGGCACTTTTTTTTTTTGACAATTTTTGTTTTGAAAATGTATGTTTTAAGGCACTAAATTCAAAAATGTTTGAATATTTTCTAACTTTACTAATTACACTAAACAAATTCAAAACTTTCAAAAACTGTTTTTTTTTTCATACTAAAAATGATATCAAAATAATTTTTTAGAAATACTATTTTATAAATTATAACGTGGTAATAATTTCAAAAAAAAAAAAACAATCCAAAATTTAAGGTACCCTATAAACTAGAAATAAAACTTTTTTGTTTTAATTTTTCAAAAGATTTAGGGAATCTAAACAATTATTAAAATAATTTTGCGCATTTCTTAAGGTGCAATGTGAATAATATTGGGAGCAATTTTACTACATAACTGACAAAGGGTTATTTGAGAAAAACGATTAAATCTTTCGGATGACCCGTTGAGAAATTCAACAAATATTTAACGAAAGTATTATTGGGCAGAATTTCCACATTTTTTAAGTATCTTTATGAAAACAATCAACGCATTTTACCCAGAAAAAATTTATTGTAAACAAATATTTGTATGATGTACCTGATATGATTATGATTATAACGATTGTATCCATAAAATACCTACCAAATAAAAATTACGAAAAAACTTACAAAATTAAAATGTCTATACATAGCTCAAAAATGGCTTAAATGTTTGAAAATTTGACTATTTATAGAAAAGGCAAATATTTTCTATCAAACTTTCAAGTCTCTACGAATATTTTAAATCGAATTATAATAAAATTGAAAACAATAAACACATTAATTTTGTAAGTTATATTTCTTAGTTATAAAAAAAATTACAGAGATATCAAAGAAACGATTTTCTTATTTGCCATCAAGATTAAGAATACAACAAAAAATTCTTTTGTCGTTTTTCGATTGGAGCAATATTTCTGGTAGAAAACATCATGAAAATTATAATAATATCTAAAAATTATGAAAAATAAAATCAGTAACGCCACAGTACATCGTAAATATTTGCCGTTTTTGTTGTCTGATTTTTCACAAATATTATGAAACCCATTCAATAAAAAAATTACCTCCCAATTAGTCCAATTAGATAAAATTTCCTTTCAGAAAAGCTGCTACACTTGATTTATTGAAGCATGATTTCTCTTTAAAAAGTTGTTCAGACACCAAAAAAAAAAAAAAAAACACAAATTATAGTAACATCTATAGATCCCATATTGGTACGCTTCGAATCTACAATAAGAAATTTAAAAAAAAATTATTTAAATAAATTACTAAAAGGTGGAAAAACATGCGTACAGCATGGACAAATCTAAGTTTGTTTACTGACTAAATAAGACTCGTGAAAAAAAAAAACACGTTGATAAAACTAAATAATTAATAGCTTCTTCGCTACACTCAGAATCTAAAATGTGAAAAATTATCTAATTCTATTTCTTTAAATCTTATAAATTATAATTATATAGTTCTAATATAATTATTATTTCGAATGAATACTTTTGAAAACGTTTGAGTTACCATATAAAATGAATATTTATTTAACACAGTGCTTATAGTAATATAATTTAGCAAAATTCTTTTATTTGTACTAATTTGTACCGTAGCTTACACGGTTTTAAAGATGTTAAAAATTGTTCACAAAAATTAAATCACATTTAAAATGTAAATTTTGTTTGCCTACGTTAATGCATAATAAATAATATAAGTGAATAAGTACAAATAATATAACCGAATTAGTGAAAACACATACAACTTATTACAAATCCAGTGATGACGTAATTGTGTGCAGTTATCGGTTCATATACACTTATGAAGTTAGTATATTTGTTATGCATCGATCGACATTTATTTTATTCGACCTTTAACTTGTAAGCACTATAGAATATTAGACTCAGTGGTGATAATATCACAGAATATAAAACCCTAAGTCAAAAAGTATATAATATAACGAAAAGACCGTTAGTTTTACAAAAATGTGTTTTCTTCGGTCAATACAAATTCACAGATTTTGCACGAAATTTCCGACCTGTGATAATTTATTTGAACAATTTGTCAACATTTTCAACATTTCATTTCAAAAGTCAATTTTTTGTTATTTTTACCTATTTTTTAAGGCTTTCTTGGTAAAAAAGAGAAAATTACGAATACTAAACCACCCAGAATCATTAGTCGTTCGTAATGATTTATCTTTGAATACAATAAATAAACTAAATCATGCTGTATATTATAACCTATATTGTAACCTACCCACCTAGAACAGTGCCTTATTCATGGTACTAAAAATGTTCAATTTTTATTATCATTTATTTTATTTGTATTTACTATGAAATATTATTAATGATTGATATTGTCTTATTAACGTCCGTTTAAAAAAAAATGATTGACATGTTTTTAGTTACATGATTGATGATTTAAAATTTGGTATCCATACGTAAGATATTAATCTCAAACTAGTACCTATATGTATAGTAAACTATACCTATAGTATTTTAGATTCTGAGCGGAGCGAGAAATATATTGGTTTTACAATGATGTTTATTTAATTATTTTTTATTTGTGAACAACCTTTTTACTAGCAATTTTGCTCAGATTTTCAATTATAACACTTTTTCTGAAAGGAAATCTGGTTGGAGTGATATTTGAAGACAATTTTTTAATTTTCCCAGCTATTTTCATAATAAATGAGAAAAACTAGGAAAAATATGGGGAAAAACGTAGAGAAAACGGGAAATACGAGGTGTGGCTATTAAAAACGAGTGGTTACGAAAAAGTGTTTTATTATAAAAATTATTCTACATTCAAATGCTCAAATATACTCCCCTCCCCTCGCCACACACCTTTTCATTCGTTTCTTCAATTGCTCGAGGCAGTGCTGGAAGTCTGTTTTCGTAAGACCATTCAGGAGTTCCGCCGATTTTTGTTTCACCTCTTCCATCGACTCAAACCGGATTCCTTTTAAGGCAGACTTTATCTTCGGAATCAAGTAAAAGTCGCAGGGTGCCAAGTCGGGTGAGTAAGACGCGTGTTCGAGTACTGGAGTGCCTTAAGCGGCCAAATAACGCTTCACAGACAGCGCGTTATGGGCAGGTGCGTTATCCTGGTGCAAGATCCACGACTTGTTTTTCCACAATATCGACCGTTTCTTACGAACTCATTCGCGCAATGTTGCCAAAACTGTCAAATAGTAATGTTGGTTCACAGTTTGACCCTCTGGAACCCATTCAGTCATCACGATGCCGTTGATATCGNATGCCACTCAAAAACACGCGCCCGAGATAGGAAATCCTCACTATAGGCCTCTTTTAACAACTTATAGCACTCAGTTGGAGTTTTTTTTAGTTTAACGAGAAAATTTTACGTTTATCCGTTGCTCATGTTTTTCGTCACACATGGTTTTCGGCACGAGAAAAAAACACGTTTCAAACCACTACTGCACAAATACTATAATAGTGACGAAAACGTGTTTTGGTACGTGTATAGATAAGATATCTAGATACCCAACGCATTACTTGTTTTTTTCACTACCCATCTAGGACGCCCTCTAGGCGAGCAGTCTCGTTATTTAATAGCCACACCTCGTAGATATATTATTAAAGAAAGTATGTAATGTATATATGCAATTATTTTACCATAATATGACATATATTTCTCCACTCAACATCTAAAATAATGAAAACATTGAATAAATATTAAATACTTCATGCGAAATAAACTTAAAATATGTATTTAGTCACTTAGATAACTATCGTCTGATAGAAAAAATAGCTGATACTGGGGTCGGGAGCGGCCACTGTTGTAGATGGATAGGTTAGGTTAGGTTAGGTTTCTTCCTTCACTTTCTCCACGGAGGTTAGGTTGAACTATTTATTTTGAACTGTAATCATGGATAACGAAAAACGATTCGTAGCGAAGGTCGGTTATACATGTTTTGAAAGGCCACAATATTTTTTTTTTACGTTTTCTGTTTGTTAACAACTTTACTACCAGAAAACTTGCTCCGAAGTATAGACCATACCACCTTTTATGAAAGGTGACATGTATACCCGAACTTCACTCTGAATCGCGTTTCGTTATCAATAGTTTATCGTTGGCTACAGGTATAAATTAAATAACTTTATGTATCCCACCTCCCTACTACCAACTTACAACAGTGGCCGCACCCATACCCAGCTTTATCAGCTCTTTTTTTTTTAAATTATGCAATGTAATATTGAAACGACTTAATAAAAACTAGACAGTTCTGAATCCTAACCCATGAAAATGACCAGATTGTAATTTAAATATTTATACGGTGTAGTGTTAAGTTTGTTTAAATACAAATATGTGAAAAAAAATATTGATATTCTTTTTTCATAAAATCAATCTGGGTTGAAATCATTAACGTAAATCTCCATTCACCAACGTATTTACTACATATTATACTTCCTTTCTGCTGGGAATTTCAAAATAAATTATATTATTAATAATAGGTATGTACAAATTGTAATAAGTATAATTATGTACTAAATTGTCTCTAACGTTATTTCCATCTATAGGTTTCTGTAACATACTTCTTAGTTATTACTTAACATATTTTATGTACTGCGACACTGTATTTAAGTAATATAGGTAATAAATTAGTATTACCTACTTAAAGAGTATGTCAGTATATCTAATAGTATATTATACCGTTGTACGTTTTGAAGTAGACAAATCTGTAATTCAGTAAATAAGGTATAATACGTTTTAGTGCATATCTGCACATATATTTAAAAGGTTTTAAAGCATATACATATCTGAGATAATTACTAAAATACTTCTATGGAATATAATTCAATTGTAATTTTAAAATAAAATCTAATATTGCTTAGTGATGACGGATGTGTCACTGTAGGTTGAAATTCAGGAAGGTAAGATCATAGAGTTATTTAATTTATATCTGTATGGAACAATCATTGCTAACGATTACGAATCTGAGCGATGTTCGGTTAGATATATTTTAAAATTCCATCATAAATTTCGTCAAAATTTAGAACTTAAACGCATTTAAAACACTATAACTTGTGATGAACCTAGAGTTAAATTTTCAAATATTAAAGCTGGGCCAAAACAATTTTATTCTGAAATGCCTATAAATGGCTAAAGGCTCATCAATTTATTTTGAAAATTGTACTAGGTATATCTAGAAAAACCTAAAATTAGTATACTGTGAATATGTTAGGTTTTATGATTTTTTTAGTCTGGATTACAAAAAAAAAAACAGTTATGAAACCGTTATTTCTATAAATTACCCATTTTCTCCAACTATTATAAAATACTACATGAAAAATTAAAAAATAAACTCAATATACCAACGAGAAAAAATTTTTTTTTCAGAAAAAATGTTACACTTCACAATTGGAGCAAGAATTCTGATGGACAAGTTGTTAACAGACGAAAAAAAAGCAGTAAAAGATGTGAAACCAATACATTTCTCGTTGCGCTCAGAATTTAGAATATAAATTAATAGGCATTTAATGTTCGATAGTTAATTATTATTTACATTATCTGTATAATATTATGTATTTTGTACAATTTGTAAGTACATTAATTATAAACATTGCCCGACTCACCTTCACTTTCGTCGTCGGTATTTTCTTGTTTAATATTTGAAGCTCTACTATGTACGTTTTCAATAATATTATGAGTGCAAACGTGATAACACAGGTTAACCGGTTCTGCTTCATCTCCTTCAAAATCATAGTGTAGTATAGCTTTATTATTAACGTCTTCATCGAATTCATAGTAATATTCGCTCCATTTTTTGAAAATATCTTTATTCATTATCTAAAATGAATTATGATAATTTTATAAATAGGTGTATTGTATATATTATATAGTGGCCAAAAATAAAGTTGAGATTAAATGTGCAGTAAATAAATATCTAAACATTATATTAGGAGAAAATTGAGTATGTACAAACATTTCGTAGAAAAAAAAAACAATATTTCAAGAATTATGAAATTTAACATTAAATAGTTTAGAAACGTTAAGAAATACTTACTAGTGTAATATTATAAAGTCACGTGACTATATGATATATATACACCGATGGTATACAAATCGAGCTCGGCTTCACTGTTATACGAGCTAATTTTTATTTTCTTCCATATATTTAACGTAAGTTAATAATCGTATACCTTGTAATGTATAAGTAGGTTCAATACTAAATTCGTAATGTACGATTGAGCACGAATCCACAGAGTATACGCGCCATTGATAAAAGATTATATACATTTACATTTTTGTCGGCAACGTTTTTCGTTTATTATTAATTTGATGAATTCTGTCTTGAATACCTCCTACCTCATATATATGTATATAATCATATTTTATATCAGTCGTGTCCAATTTTTCCAAATTGTAACCTACAAATATCTAACAAAAACAACGCCCGACTTCTTTTTCGGTTTTTTTACACGATATTTTAAAAAACTATATATTTTACGTCAACAGTGGGAATGCAGTAGGTACTTAGGTAGGTAAATATCTATTTATAGTAATGGTCACACATATATTTCGAATAGCCAACAAATATACTGCCGATAAGGAGACAAATACCACGTTCAATCTTAACTCAGGTACTGACGAAAATTATTTAAAACATATGTCAACAATTAACATACCAGTATCACTTCAGGTCTATATTATGAAATCACCGGATTGTTGCAACCGGTAGGATTAGCCTGTTAAGTTAGGTTTTAGGACAACAAAATATGTATAGGTATATTATTTTTTACTACATAGGCCATTTTGTAATCACTATTTTATTTTAACGATTTTTCTTTTTTCATTTTAATAATTGTATAATAGGTATTTAAACCTATTTGGCGATTATAATGTAAAAAAAAAAAAATAAACCCTAAAGAATTTAATAAATAGGTTAGGGCTGGTGGTATTTGAAGTTTTCAAATTTTCGGTATTTAAAGTTAAACGGTTATAAACGATATACCGAATATTCAGTGACGTGCACTTTAGCCCGAACAGGTAAAGATTACGATAATAGACGGATTAGGTGCCGAATATTCGGTATTGACGGTGTGATTGGTATTACAATAATACCGTATTATCAGTATTTACCAATTCTATGATATTTTTGGCAATTTAAATTTTAAAAAAGTAAACTCCGCATTACGGGTAGGTCACGGTTTTGGGTGGAAAGTTGGGAAGATAGACATAGGCAAGATGGATTATTTAGTTTAATTATTGTTAGCAGTGAAAGTAACGATGAATTATCGCTAGCAAAAAACAAATTCTGAGTGGAGTTCGGTTAATCAAATATTTCTAATCTTTTTCTATTTTTCTCATATGATAACTTAAAGTCCGAAAAAAATTTCAAATACATTATCACCAAACGGGAAATCCGCATCTTTTAAGCTATGTTCTGAAAAATAAGTGTAAATTTACTGATTTATTATCGAAAAGATGATTTTGAAAAAAAAAAACATACTTTTGTTAAACTCATAATTGTTTCTTCGCTTTATTTTAACTTAACATGCTATCTAATGAGTTCGCATTACATATCATATTAATTAGTAAGAAAAGGTAAGCTCAAATTATTCTAAAATATAAGGATCGAAATATTATATTTAGGTATTAGATTCCACAAATTAAATAACCTGTTACCTGATAACATGTAAATACCGAAAATACAGTACCTGGTATAGATAATATTATCTGCGCATTATATGTTCGTCGATTCTTGTAATAAGAATCGTCAATTACATAACTGAAAAGTTAAAATTTAACATGACGTATCTTTACTAAATTTGATTATGATTAAATTTTACATTCAATTCATCAACCATTTTTCATGCGTACATTTTAGCCATATCATAGATATCAACATTAATATTGTATACATGTTCTTAATCCTTTGGTATTAGAGTAATGAATTTGACGATAAGATATAACATATGAAACATTGAGCTAAATGGTTATATCGCTTTTTTATGCATTTTACATCAATCAAATCCCTAAAATCGTACGCATATAATAAAAAATATGATCAATACTGTACATATACTAAATACTTACATGGTATTATACAATATTATACTAGGTACCTAGTAACATAAATCGTAAAAATATCACATTATTCAAAACGACCTTCATACGACGATAAATTAATTAGGTGTTACTTACATTAATTATGTTAATAAACGTATAATATCAATTTTGTATGAATATTTTAAAACAATTTTTCATTTTAATTGCTACCTTATGTAGATGAAAAAATAACCAAAAATATTAATAATATTATTATTGTAGTTTAAAAGTATATGACAAAGTAAATAAATACATTTTACTTAAACAATAAACAATTATTGAGATACAGATGTCACCTACCGTTTTTTAGATTCAATTTCATTTTACGATTTTATACAATCACAACTTCACAACTTAAAAATAAAATATTTTCAAACAAGTTATTCTAGTGTTGCATTTCACTGTAACTTTCTAAGAACTACATAACTTATACATATTATAATGTTTCATGTATTGTACGAGACATGAGTATTGTGATTAAATAAAATCGAATTGGCATTTTCATTTTGCTCTACGTGTAGTGTGTACTTACATATTATAAATATGATTGCCGTTGACGTTTTGGTTACATTGAATATAAAATATCTACTACGTACATACAAACATAATAATATGTGATAATAGGTAAATAATCGTTACATCATTTGCTGTTATAACAGAAGGGGGAAATATTGTGTCACCATAATATAATACAATTTATATAGACTACCTTGTAAACAAATAATAATAATCTATAACAATTGTACTTTCCTCGATTATCAAGGTTCACGTTACCTACCTACTAGATTCATGTCATTATTATCTACCAATGTATTTTTCATAATAATTTTAAAATATTCCACTTCCAACATGCAAGTTAACGTTACACATACAAAATAATGGCTCATCGTGTTGTTTAATGGGCATTATATTCCAAACAAATAGTAATACCCTATCACAATACATACAGATAGGTCAAATGTTGTGACTTTCAAATTTAAATCACCATCATCTATGGCACATGCTTAAGAAGTTGTCACAGTGACATTTGCCGTCTTTGACTTTCTTACGGACAATATAGCAAAGATAATTGTATTCCCCATCCATTAGATACCTATAGATTTAAGTACCTATCATTCTACTTTTTGAATTTTTAGGAAAATGTTTCAACTAACACCAATATTTACTCACATTAACACAACAACCTGGTATTTTGTATAGGATAATCACTCCTCGATAAGGTCCTCCTTATATCAAAAAGGTTTTGCAATTTTTTTTTACAATTTAAGAACCGTGTAGTTCAAAAATTTTACATTACTGTTATTTTTTGTCACCCTTATTTTTGGGGGTGAAACCACTACACATTTAATTTTTAAAATAGCGACCTACATAAATAATTCTATAAATATATGAAGTTGACGAGGTATTTCATTTTTAAGTTTAGGTTTAAGTTTAGACGGAGAGTAGTGGTACCCTGTATCATTATTAGGTGAAGAACAATTGAGCAAAATGTACGCAATCGTGTATATTTTATTAACCATTGAAATACATACACGTTGCGCAAGATTTTAAATGCAACGTTGCCATGTATAAATAAATATACTACTATAACATCATATATTTCAAATCGCGTTCTGTGTGAAATCCTTAAACGATATATTTAATATTTTGTAGGACATTTTATGAGATGTACGACAACAGCATTATCATTGTCAAAGTTAAAATACATTTAATTTTGTCCATTAAGTATAAAATGTCAATATAAATATAAAATATATTATGAGGTCAAATTATTGTTACCGTACCAAACATTTTCTCAAGTTCCAAATGTATAGTTTAGTTAGTGACTGTCAGTAGACAGATACTAAGTGTTTATATTTTATTGTATATGTAATAAAAATGATCGGGTCACGCAAACAAATAATTAATTCAGAACGAGACAAGGAATTAGCATTAATCGATTTACACAAATTACACAAATATAAATCATAAATGGTTATGATCTATGATCATCTTAAAATGTGTAAAAATAATCATTTATTTCATGAACTGTTGTTATGTCGTACACTGGGATCTTATAACTAATACGTTATGGCAACGTTGCATTTAAAATCTTGCTCAACCATGTATATATATATATATATATATATATATATATATATGAGAAATGTACGCTATCGTTTATATATTTTGATATCTATTAAAATATACACGATTGCGCAAATTTTGCTCAATCGTGTGTAGCCCTGTTATTACTATTATTATTATATTCAAATACTCTTCTTTATCCGATGTTTGAGTACTTGTTATAATTCTTATTATATATGACAAAATGTCTGAATCTGATAAATGTCCGTACATTTGCCAGTCGTTGTCCATGATGATATAGTCATCGAAAAGAATATTTACATACTTTCGATAGTAAATGTACACGTACAAGAGAAATATCATAATTTTATAAATCATCGAAACTTCGAGTCATTCCCAAAAATATTTGAGTTAAACACGATTTTTTTACATTATTTAAATAGGAAATTCTATGGATCAGAGAAAAGTTTGTGGTATCGACGATTTTGAGTTAAAGAAGTTCGACTTAACCACGTTTGATTGTACTTTTATTATACATTTTATATTGTTACAAACATCTCAATAATTGTTAAGTAGCAGCTATATAATCAGTGTTGAATTGGATTTAAAAGGCCCCGCCAGTAATCTCTATAAAGGAGGCACCAGCCTCAAAAATCAGATTTTAGTTTAAGTTAACGAATAATGTGATAAAGAAACAAAAACATTTTTTCAACACAATTTCATTCGGGAATTCTTCTAGCTTACGTCCAAAACTTAAAAATCAAACCATAATGTTTTATAAACAGTATTTTATTTTATTGACTTATATTGTATCATAAATATTGTACATAACAATAATTATGAAGGCCCCGATTGCGGACTTGCGATCGGGCCAGTCCGACCCTGGCTATAATATACAGGACAGAATAATGAATAATAAAGTTCTAGACCAAAATTAAACAAGGGTAATACAACAGTCAGCAGGTGCCTATTGTTTTTTGTTTAAATATAATTAAACTTTGACAGTTTTAGTTCAATTAAAACACCGGTGGTATTTATGTCTGTTATTGTTTATTGTTTATACGTGTTAGTGTGTTACCGTATCATATCAAAACAAACTATTCCCAAATATCACCAAGGACAATTATTAATAATTTAAAACTTCAAATCTGTGGGCAGTACTAATAACAAAACGGACTATAATGCTCTGGGAGGTTTTAACGAGGTCAATTTTAAATAGATTTACAAGGATAGATCTGTTAAGACGTTTGAACGTTAAAAAAAAATAATAATTCAATTTGTTTACCGTTTGTTAACCAATTTAACAGATTTTATTCGGGTTCAGAATCAAATATTTTAAGGTACCTATTGTCTATATTTAAGTAGGTATATCTATAATTACTATGAATGTATCCCAAAATTATTTATTTTAATTTCTATAACGTTGATAAAGTGTATGTTTTATATTAATCACGCTATATAATCTACTATGATATAAACTAATAAAAACCAATATTTATTTTGTAATTTGTTAAACTTACACGTATTGCATTGTACATTTTATAATAATAATTATGAATTGTGAATAAATAAAGAAAAATATTTCCTGATTTCAATAGAGAAACATAAAATAAAAAGACGGATGTATCCAATTAAATCAAAGATGATTAGACGTTTTATAGAGTTTAGGTGTAAAAATTTAGGAACACTTTCAGACGTCCCGGTTCGGTCGGCCTTGTTTGCGAACCGACCCGAGAGCCCGGCCGACTACCCGCCTAGTGGGAAGGTCGCTAACCTAGGACCGAGGTCCGAAGATCGGAGTCCTAAGATTTCGTGAGGAGGGGAGGAAATAAAAGAGAATTTGAATAAGTAAACACATGGTTTTCTTGGGGGAAAGTATATAATTATTTATTTAATTTATTAATCAAAAGTAAAATTTAAGTTGATATAACGGAAAAGCCCGGGGCATAAAAACTGTTAATTAAGAAAGAATGGATAACAGGTACGATTTATAACATTGATATATATATATATATATATATATATATATATATTCTTTTTTTAGATGCTCACACACGTGGATGCGAAACCTAGCACTTAAAGGGAAGAAAAAAAATAACGAAAAAAACAAAATACGGGAGAGTTTTGGCCTATTGCACTTAGGATGTGGAACGCGGGGATTAGCATAGTGAGACGGACACACAAATCTAGCTGGTTGATTCCCATAAGTATATCAGAAGGATTTAACATAAAAAGAAAATATTTTACACAAACACATTCATACGGAGAAACCTTAATTAAATTACCTTAAAAACTAATTAACTAACTAACGGGGTATCGGACAATTACTAAATTACATACATATTACCATCGTTCTCCCGAAGATGTCCGCCCAGCCGACCAGATCGGCACTCACTTCATTGATTCGTTCGAGGCACCATCATGAAACGTGCCAAGGTACACGGCCTTTTCTTGGCGGCAAAAATTGGTGAATCCGTGTATACACGGGAGTGTTTTATTAAGAGAACTGTATCCATTGACCGTCTGGTGACAGTAATCTCGAGACGAGGTCTAAACACGAAGAAATAAAAGAACGAACGAAAAAAAGAACTGGATAGCGGAGCGCGGAGACGTTGGTGGCACACGTCGCCGCGGGTTCGACGTTTTCGGCGATAAGAGGGCCGACGTTTTCGACGATAAGGGGAAACGTGATATGATTGGCCGTTAACCCGTAATCAGAAATAGAATATTATTGCGAATTTCAACAGATTGCGATCGCATCAATCTTTGCGCGGGAGGAGAATTATTGTTCATGATCACATAACATATCCGTCGACGCGGGCATAATCTATATGGTTGGTATGCTTGTCCTTTGATAACGGGATATGGTCGTTTTTAGATGTTACAACTTCTTACCAAAAATATTAAAAAAAGGGCAACTCGACTCAAAGCTAGTAAACGTATTTCTATGCGAGAAACTGCTAAAACAAAATGTTAAATATTTGTAAAATACAAGTTGTGATTATTTAAGTTTTTGTTTTTATTTTTAAAGACTGGAATAAATTAAATCATGTTTATTTCATTTTTATGTGGTCAATTTTTCTACAAGAAATCTTCCTCCAATGTAGTACTTTTTCTGGTTGCTATTTTTTTAGTAAGTACTCGGTGGGTAAAATTGTTAAACCACTATAATATTATGGCCTTTTAAAATATGTATAACTACTATAACTGAACTCACTCAAAATTGTTCGTAAGTAATGGTTTATCATTGCTTGCAGCTATCAATAATTTCCCCTGTTTATCTCACCTTCCTAATTTTTAATCTACAACAGTGACCTACCAATTATGGGTCCATGCAGTACACGTCTGTATTTTTCATATTGAAGTATAACAGTTTATAAAAATATTAGTCATACTTTATAGTTTATATACTTTATTTACATAATAATTCTATAAATGAGAAATAAGTATTATAAATATAATAAATAATAAATATAAGTATAATAAATAATTATCATTATTATTTTCACAAACAAATTAATAGTTTATAATAAAATCTCTAAAACTAACATTGTCAGTTGATGTAAATATATTTATGTTCATCTGTATGCATATTGTATATTATAAATACTAATTATATTTATATTTTATCATATTCAAAATATAATCATTTTATAAGAATTTATATTCAAACATAAAAAATGGCGGCAAAATTTTAGCCGGAAAACGGCTACTATCTACTCTCTTATTATCTAGGTTCCCAAGGAATCTCGTTTTCATATTTTATCATTACATGAGCTATCTATGAATACGTAATCAATGGCCGTGTTCACAACATAGAGTAATATACAGAGTCCGTTCTGTATCTCGCTAATGTTAAGCCAAATATTAAAATAACGACGTATATTTTACAGTGTCTTTATTTGAGTGTTTTTATTGATGATAAAATTATCATATACAAAAATTGTAAAACTGATTGTCTATTATATTTATTATGCAATACAGCGATTCTTAACCTTTTGTAGATCACGGACCCCAGATGAAAGAATTTTAGAAATCCCGGACCCTTTACCAATATTTTTTCGAATACCTTTTTTTTTCACAAAACATCTCATGTTATCATAACCAAAATTACAATATTCAAACGCCTTTCGCCGTGCCATGCCATTACACAAGCAACTATTCTCCCTCCGTCTAAACTAAAAAGTTAAATATCTCGTCAACGGGTTGACGGAAATCAAAAATGTCAACACCAAAATATATTTAAAATATTGGTCCATTTATTTATGGAATTTTTAATATAGGTTCCCTATTGAATTTCAAAAGTTAACCCTCAAATCTTCAAACAAAAAAAAAAAAATTACAAATTATTTTAGATGTTTTTCAATAAATAAACTTTTGTATTTAACATATTTCTTTATTTTGAATATTTACTGGATAAAATTGATGATCACCTTGTATTTTATATGTATAAAAAAAATTAATAATAATTCAAAAATATTGTAATTATGTACTCATGTCACGTATTGAAATATGTTTTGTGTTAAGGATGCCGCGGACCCCCGATATGAGTATCATTGACCCCCGGGGGGCCGCGGACCACAGGTTAAGAACCGCTGATGTAATATATGTTTTATGCAAACAACGCGATGTATTGCACAATACTGATTAAATCTATACTAAAGGCTAGGACGCTTATCATTGTAATCGAAAAAATGTACATTTTTAACAGTATAGAATCTTAACAACAGATTCAAATCTGTTTTCAGAATTTGTATCGCTTCATTAGACCAACCGGCAGGTTGAAAATAATATACGTCTGAAACTAATAGGTTCTTCTTAAAATCTAGAACGCAAATATCGATACTATTTTACCGAACTTGTTCAATCGTAATACAAAATGATATATGGAACCGACAATTGCATTCGGAGTTTTATTGGTGGTCACACTGTTAAATATCACCGTTTTACACGTTCCCGTGTTATTTCATTACTCAACGGTTCGCGAGTACGCATTATAATATTACGATATTTATCGTGTACATGTACGCTGGGTAAATTTTGATAAGAACACGCTTCCGACAAAAATACGGAATCGTTCCGAGTAGACGCGGGCGCGGCGTCGGACGGACAACAAACGAGCACGAGCGCACGGTGGAAAGCCGACCGCAATTGCGGCGCCGATTCATCCACCAATACCGCGGTGCCCGGCAAAAAAAAAACGTCGGCTCCGCGACACCGCTACTCGACGGCCGAATACCCGTGCACGGTTGTTCGTAGCGATAATGTGCGGACGCCGGCACACTGTGGTAGCCAACTGCCCGCGTTTCCAAAAATTACGTGCCGGGTATGTATTGATGGCCATACCCCGCGAGTCGCATTGGACCCACGTACCATAGAAGCGGTAGACACCCTTTTTGAGAGTAGACGCCGGTTAACGGGCTCATATATAACGTGTCGGCCCGAACCGCACGCTGCAGTAGCCGCCGGTGCGCGGCCCGCGTGTCGGACTTACGTACGGTTCGGGCCCGCCGCGACCGCCGACCGGTTTCCTCTGGTCAATGGTCGTGTCGACCCCGTGCCGTTGACGCATCGCGCTGGGCTTTTGTCGGCCCCAGTTGCTCGCTGACCGGCCGACGGAACCGGACCGCCAACCGTTCGTTCGTCGCAGAGCCATCTACCGGTTCCGGCACACACTCGCTCGTCGCCGTCGGGCGCCCGTCTACCGACTAAACACCTTGCCGCGACGTCGATGTTCAAACGGAAAATAACGCTAAAATCCCATTCACCGCGGACGGAATCGATTTTAATAGTGGCTAATTAATAACACACATATAGAAAAAAAAATAATGGATTGGTAAGTATTATTGCTATACACATGTATACACCTAATTTAGGCGATAACGTAACATTTGTTTGTACACATTTTCGTGTAGTGTCATTGATTTATCATATTATTACTGGTAGATACAATAGTATAGGTACTGAACTACTAATGAATTGTTCATTTTAAGTATACAATTTAATATAATAATAATAAATTTTGTAATAAAACTACAAATTACATAATAGATATTATATTTTTATAGCATGTATAACGGGGAAAATTGTATCTATCTAAGGAAGTGGCAGGTCATTTGTTAATGATTTTCCTTGTATAATTTTCAAAAGTTTCTGTTGAATATTGACGAGTATTTAACATTTTCGAGTCTTATTTTTTATTTCGTATGAATGGGAATCGTAAGAAATCACGTAATTTTCGTACCTACCTACTATTTTTCGATATAACGTGGAAATATAATTTTAATTAAGTATATTAAATTATATATAACAATCATAATTATATTAATTCTATTTTCATTTTTTTTTTTTTATAAATAATTAATTTGCATTTTTTTAAAAATGTTATGAATATTGGCTATGCGCGTCTTTTGATTCCACGGGTTACTTCTTCTTCTTCTCCTTCGCTAACTATTTGGGGTCGCCCACTTTTGTTCTAAATTTCCACTTGACTCTATCTCCCACATCAGCCTCCCATATACCTGCCATTTTCATATAATTTTCAATCACATTCAACTGCAGATTCCACGGCTCTATTAGATTCTAAGCGGAACGAAAGATTTATTGGTTTTACATTGATGAGTATATTTTTTTTTCTAACTGTGAACAACTTTTCTATCAGCAATTTTGTTCTGATTTTCAATTACAGCACTTTTTCTGAAAGGAAATCTAACTGGGTTGGTACTTTAGGGTGGTCATTTATTTTTTTATTTTCATAATAAATGGGAAAAACTGGGAAAAAATTTACGAGAAATAGGAAAATAAGTACCTACAATGTTAAACAATATTACTAAAGAAAATACATAATGCATTTGTTATTATTTTACCATAATATGACATACCTATTTATAATATATTGTTGACAAAGTAACACCATCAACCGAACTCTGTTTAGAATTTTTTTTTCGTTAACAATGGTAAATGGTTGCGTGCAGTTATACATTAAATTTCCCTTTTACTAATTTTTCAACTTCTCACCTATAATGGTGGTCCATCTATGTTCGCAGTATGTCCGTATTTCTTTTTATTTTAGACTTAAATTTTCAGAAAACCAGAAATGAATAGTTTTAATTTATTCAAAGAAAAAACCTACAGTTTTTATTTGTATTTATCACAAGTTAGATTGATAAAAATGTTGTTTATCCAAAATTTTAAACCATTGAACTATTTTATAGGTATATTATATTATTATCAAAACTGGATTAGTAACCGCATATAACCATTATGGTAACGTTATCATACATAAACAGTTGTATTATATTTTGTCGTTTAACTTTGCGGTTAATAAATTATAACCAAGCTCGTCGAACTCTTCATAATAAATTATAATTTCAATGATTTTATGGTATACTTATTGGTATTGGCTACTTTATACTTATTGAGTATTGACTATTACCTAGTGTTAGTCTGTGGTCGAACTATTGTATATTCGTTATTTTCTTGTAATTAATTTTAATTTAGTACTAATGTTAATAATTACTATTTAATCTGCTCTTCCATAGAATTAATTCAGTTTTCTATTAAGCTCTGCTTTCAATTGTAATATAATGTAGTAATTATTTGAAATTCGTGCACAATTATTTTTGAAATATTATAAATGGTTTGTTAAACGTATGGACTGCTTACTTTAAAACTACCAGTATTATTATTATTAATTAATTTTGAGTGTAAATGTACAACTTTGTATATAATTCAGTTCAGTTAATGATTATTAAATATTGTTATCGGGTTGAATTTAAATTTTCGAAAATATATTTTAATTTATTCTGCTACACGGTCACTGTTTACGTAATGAACCAATCATTACAAATACCAGAGTCTTACAAACAAAATATAGCAGTTGCTATAAAAGGAATGGGTGAGATAATATTAACTAATTTGTTAGCAAGTACCTAATAATATTTAAAATTTTTGTCTTCCAAAGGGTGTGATTGTGATACAGTAATCTGCACAAAAAACAAAAAACTTATGACATTTTTCAAAGGTTGTCTAATTAAAAGTTGTAATGTAGACATTGAAGTCGAACATTTAGAACCTTTTGTTACATATGAACCAAAATTTGAAGTCTATTATATTTTACACGGAGACAATAAAATTGTTATTGTCAAAGAAGGAACTAGTCTTGAGGTTTGCATTATTTGTATAATTTTAGGTAGCTTTATTTGTATTTACTTTATGCGTGTATACATTTTCTTATTTTGACTGCTTTCAGATTGTTAAAATACATCCTAATGTCTATGAAATGATTGTTAGCGATCATAATAATATAGGAATACCTCAACTTTATATACGGACCAAAAATGGTTTTGAATGTGTGGATATTTTAGAAAATATGAAACAAATTGATCCTGAAACCAATCATGAATTCCAAGAAACTACAGTTGTATATTCATTTTGTGTAAAGAAATTACAAGTAAAGCATTAATTTTTAATTATTATTATAATTGATTTATTCTGGGAGTATCTAGTTACTTATACAAATTGTTGGATAGTATACAATTACAATTTAAAACCAATAACCATATTAAGAATTATAATTTTTAATTAAGGATATTTTAAAAATCATGTTATGAAAATGTTTAAAACCTTGTCTATTAACAATTTAAATTTTTTATAAATTATCACTTTTGAATAATACATCTTATTTGGTTATCAAATTATATTATTTTAGTTGTTACTCCTACACTATTTTAAATTTGATTTTATTATAGTATATACGTTTTTTTTAAAATCTTTTAATTATACAAATTATTACCAATTGTTTGTTATTGCCCCTATAGCGCACCGTGGTAAATTTCCCCCCCCCCATCACTCTTATTTGTTATCATTGTGCCACAGTAAAATAATTAGGATAGGTATATTGTGTACATAAATATAATTAAAGTTAGTACAGTTTCAGTGTTTCTTAATATAAGAATGCTATGTTCTAATTGAATCTGTTGAGTTTATCGTCTATACCACAAACTTCCGCATGTTATTTTTAATATGGCAAAATTAAATTCAATCTTATTGTATGCAGGCACATTTTTATTTCTTTGACATTTGTAAATATGCCATTAAGATACTCAACAAAAAGTTGTTGCTTTCCGAAATCTTATAGTTAAAATATATATATATATATATATATATATGTTTTAAAAAATAAACAATGTAAATACTGTTTATAATGGCCATTTAACTTTTGTTGAATTTTATCATCTTTTCTCACAAGATGAAATTTAATTTAGATTGTACTCTTGAATGTTATCACAAACATACAATTATGTTTATTATATTCTTTGTTAACTAAATAATGTATATATATTCTGTAACTATTGCTCTTCTTGGGCGTAAATAACTAATAAATAAAATAAAATAATAATATTCTATTATATTTAAAATAACTAGACTACAGTACGCATGTATTTATAAAAAAACTTATTTTTTTACCAAAGTAAATGATTCCTTCTTTACAGTTTGCCACTCTCTATCAACTTTGATCCTATTTTTAAATTGTTCATGGAACTTATCTCATAAAATGCGTCTTTTAGATTTCTGAAATAAAACTTTCCATAGTCTGTAATGTACTGTGTATATTTTTCAAATGAAATACTAACTGTAGGTATATTGGTCATCATTATTTTCGTTGCATATTTTTATGGTTGTCTTAGGACATCTATACTTATTTTACTGGATTAATTTTTTTTTTTTCAATGCATACACCGCATTGCTTAGATTCAGTTAGGACATAGCGTAATAGTGAAATTAAATTTTAAATATTATATATTCATACTATATTATTGTATTGTGAATAAATAATAAAATAATAATATAAACTGCTATGTTACTATCATCATTAAGTACTATGGTGATTAATTCATTAAAAGTATTTTGCATTCATTTTATCATTTAGCTAGACCAGAAAATCGGCTAGCTATCAAGATGTGAGCAAACCATTATGCCAGTCTAAGTTATTGATATTATTATGATAATAAAGGCTCAAAAAAATTTTTTTGTAGTTACAAATATTGTTACAAAGTAAATAATATAATACCAAATGGTTTTAAAATCAAAATTATGAACAATGTAATGCAACTTCTTTATTATTTTGCTGTGATGGAACGATAACAAATTTGAGTAGCTGGTGATAATTAATAAGTACCTAATTATTGTATTGAAAATTAAATTAAAATTAAGGGCCCCTTCACACGTAGCCACTTAGCAGTGCTGCTGATCAAAAAACACAGGAATAAATGGATGCTTTCACACACGACTACAGACACAGATTGGAAGTACTACAAGATGGTCACAGTGGTTTCGTTTGTTGCAGAATGCAGCATCTGAAAGAAGCGCTGCTGAGTCGCAACATATGAAAGGACTCTTATTATTATTTTTTAAATCTATATGTCATTGGAAAATAAACAAATTCTTCTTAGGCACTTATTGTAATAACTATTTGTTATAGAAAAAAAAAAAAAAATGAATAAAAGGTATTAAATAATTTGTCACTGATTAAGATTTTATAGATATATAGATATTTAAGGAAGAAAATATAAATAGAATTTCATAGAAAAAAAATCCCAGTAGACATTAAATTCCATCACTGGTTCCTTTCCATGAATACATCATTTAACTATTCAATGAACATTTATTGTTTATAATTAGTTGAGCTTGTATTTTACAGAAATTAAAAATACTATATGATGATGAAAAAAATAAAATATCACAAAAAGCAACATATTTTATGAATGCTATAATGCAAGTATCAAACAATGATAATTCTGATGTTAAAGCTTCATCAAATATTATTGCGAAAAATTCTTGGATACGGTTATCTAATGAAAATCTTGTATACGGATTTACTCTTGAAAACACTTCAAAACTGTAATATTTATTTTATGTTATTTATTGTTGTTATATATTATGTAATATGTATTAATATTTTTTAATTGTTTTGTTCATCTAGACCAATTCAAAATTGTAATCTATTATTATTAGAAGATAATAAACAAATTTGGTCCAGATTTCGGTTTGAATTTTGGAAAACCGAGAAAAATAAAAATGCTTTTAACTTTATGAGTGGCTGTGAAAATAATTCTATATCAAATACTATTGGAAAATATTATTTAAATTTAAATTCTGAAAGCTCTATCATAGTTTCAAGTAAGAATTAAAATTATATTATATGTATAATATTTATTTCATTTAAATATTTTAATATTATGTAGGTATCATAGAAAATTGGTGTTTAAAATCACTTCCATATTTTATTAATGGCATAGTGTACATTAATGATAAAAATTATGATAGTAAGTGTTAATAATATGAATATTATTACTCTAAAGTAGTTATGTACATTATAGAAATCATTATCATTATCAATATTCATATTTCAGGAATACAATACATTAATACTGATGCAATTATGGTTACTTCAAATTTGTTTTTGGGAAAAGAGTTTGAAATATTTGTTAAAAATAGCGTTTTTAGTAAGTATACTATGAATACATATTCATATACATAACTTTGTATGTGTCACTATGAATATATACACATAAGTTTAGGGGTATATTTAATATTTATATGAGCAAAGGAAATGTTTATAAAATGCATAATAAATTGATCGGTGTATCTAAAATGTACATCAAATAAAGTAAACATAAACTGGAACGCCTGAATTGCGTGTAGTTTTATAAAGGTTATTGTCTGAATTACATGCCAGCTCTTATAGAGGTCTGTCTGAATTGTGTGGTGTGTATAAATTTACATATCACAACTTTTAAATTCAATAGGATTGTTTTACAATAATGTTAATTTTTTTTCGGGAGCTTGTGACTGGGGTGGTACTTAAAGAAAGTCATTTTTCAATTTTCTCAGTTGTTTTAATAATAAATGAGGAAAAGTGAACTTCCTAACTTCTAACTTATAACAGTGGCCCACCCATAGTGCAAAATTTATCTTTCTTTATTTCAGATTTAAATTTTTAAAACTCAAAAATGAATACAAATTGTCTAAAAATAGTTATTTTTATTTATTGATAAAAAAAAACCTGCAGTTTATTAAGTCATATATTGACCTAATTTTTAACTATTGGGTACTTAACTTTTAATTACTGAATTAAAATAAAATTAAAGTGACATGTTCCTTCCCACTTTTTTTAGAATTAAGACTAACTATAAAAATTGAATAATTGTACTGGTGTGGTTCAAAATATTTATTTTTTAATTTCATATTAAATTTATAAATGTTTAAATTTTAAAATTATTATAATACTATATGATTATATTATTTTAATATTTTGGTTACATGTATAATATTGTTTATATCTCTAACGTCATGTGCTAATTGATTACATATTGTCATTTAATAAATCAAAGTAGGTATTTATTTTGCTATCGGCAACATGGTATTGCCGATAAGTTACCATATAGCATTATGGTAATGCCGTATGCTAACTTTTGTACATTCATTGTTCTATTGATTTCATTAATTGCACAAAATATTTCAATTTAGGAACTAATCAATTATAATATTTAGAGTGTTTTTGTACACATTATGTATTCTAGTAATTTTTTTTTTTTAATTTATGAAAATATCAGTTTAATTTAACTTAAATTTAGAAACTGCTTAAAAAAATTAAAAAGTATGTGAATTTATGACTAAGTAAAATGTATGTATTTTTTTTTATGAATAAATAAATATGAATATTTTTTATGATTTTTTTTGTTAATTCAAAAATTAGTAGTCTAAAATGAAAATATTAAGTGTGATAAGTAAAATTATACGCAACATGCAATTCAGATAGACTCCTGTAAGAGGTTACATTCAGTTCAGACAGACCCCTCTAAAAGGTAGCAATTCTGACATTTTTTTTTTGGCATGTAATTCGAATGAAATCAAATTATTGGTTTAAAATTAATTAATGGTCATTAATAATTTTATTAAAAATGTAAAGCACCCTTGTTCTTAAATTACCTAATTAAACCATGAAATCATAATAAGCTAAATTAAGAATTTTGTTTTAAAATGCAAAGCTTTATCCCAAAATATATCCTACTCTAGGTATGTGTGCTTTTTAATAGCTTGTTTTTATTATTTTTTTTTTAGTTGAAGACTTAGTAACTTTATATAGTACTACATTACAATCGTGCTACCAAATTAAATGTGTATTGGGTCTTAAAGACCTAAAACATATGATAATAAACAATTTTAAGTTTGTTGCAATTCAAAATTGGCTTGTTCACAGTTCATTATTATGGTTAAGGACAATCATATGCTGTTTGGATCAAATATCACCATTCGAGTTTATACTTAAAGTGTTTTCAAAGTATGTAGTATGTGTAAAATTGTAAATTTGTTTAAAGTTTTATTTATTAAAGTTTAAAATTTATTTTATAGCTCGTGTGTATTTATAAAAACATTTATTAACATACTTTCTACAATATTACCAGAGCATACATGCATTAATAGCTTTGATAACAAAGTACTAACACAATCAAATATTTTTCCTCTTGTGTTCGATTTAAAGGAACTTCGAAAAGTTTTTAAAGAGTATTTGAATGAACAAATAATTATTCCAAGAGACCAATGGAATAGCACTCGTTTAAAATTGGTAAATATTATTTTATTATTTTTAACTTATACCATAATATAGTCAAATAATTACTATAATAAATAAATATAAAATAAAATAAAATAATTAAAAATATATTATTATAAACAAATTATAACAATTAATTACTATAGGTATAAGTCTTATATTTTTAAAAGTTTGCTTAAAAATCTATTTTACTTTCTATATACTGGGTGTAACTGGACTATTTTTACATAGTAGTTACATGTAAAAATGTGAAATATATATTATGTCTGTATATATATATATTATAATGTACATATAAAAAATAAAATAGTGTGTATAGTACTTAAATAAATTTAAAATTATTGAACTTACTGATATTTATATATATTCAATAAACCTTACAACACTTGCTTTAACATAATATTAATATTATATTAATATAATTAATTAATAAAGCATTAAGATCAATAATAAATATCAAATTATCGAATATTATTATCACATTTGTATTTTTATTTAAACTAAATATTTTAGAAATTTTAGGAGTAAACTGTAAAAATGATTAAGCAAAGATTTTAAGAGTTTCATGACATATATGTACATATATATTGTACTTAAATTATATAATATATATCTGTTATTTACTTTATGTATTATTGGTTGATGGTATATTATTTATTTTATTTCTAGTATCAGGAAACTTATAATGTGTATATAAACAAATAGATTTATTCATGATATCAATAGTTAAATATAACAGTATAAATTATAAAAATCAATAAACTAAAAACTTAACAATAAATAAAGAAAAATACATAAAATATAATTCTTATGTTATAATATTCAAATATCCTTAACAAAAAATAAAGTTCTTATTAAGTATAATTAAATAAAGTATTTAAATAAGTACTAACGTATTGTAATAATGTAAAGACATAAAATAGTTTTTATAACTTTATTCTAATCTATTATTGTGTTATAAATAAATAATATAATATGCATAAATGTAATTTTATTTTTTAGGAAAATATGACAATTTAAATTTTCAACTAAATACATTTTACAATTAATAAGCATTTTAATTCTATCCAATTTTCATTCATTTTTTTTTTTTCTATAATTATTTTATCTTTAAAAAAATTATTAATAAAATATAATATTTATTAAATTAATAATTTACAAATAGAGAGTTTTAATTATAATTCAGTCATTTTTCTTATATCTATATGTTCATAATATATAAAAATTAGCTGGCAAGGTAAGGTGTATAGTTATTACAGAAAAGTAATGAGATTTTTTAAATTTAAGCTAAACAATTAGTGTTATCTATTATTTTTAAATGGTTAATGATGTCAAAATGAAAACTGCAAAACTTCTAAAAGGTCTTCCTGAAAGTGATTAGTAGCACAACTTTTATGCATGGCAGAGATGTATGGAACAGTGTGTAGTTTCTGAGGGATACTACTTTGAAGGTGATAATTATTAAATTGTATAATTTTAAAAATAAATTACTTTTAAAAAAATCTTGTTACTTTCCTGTCAAACTTTGTTTATAAATATCTAAAGATATAATAAATATTAAGCTATAATCAAAGTATAAAAATAAAATTAAAATATAACTTAACTAAACATTTTATTTTTCTAGTGAAGTTAATATAAATGTGTATAATATATATCCTAAATAATATATCATTATAATTAGAGACAGAGATTATAATATGCATTACAATGGTGCTAAATATGCAGATTAAAAATGACAAAATATGCACAAAAACATTAAAAATACGAACTTGTATACATAGACAAATCTTTACCGTTAAAAAGAAATAAATAAACATTAACTGCCTATGCAACATCTATTTATTTTAAATTAGATCATATCGTCAAATTATCTAGGTAGTAAAATAAATAAAAGTTCAAGTAAATTACAAGTATATAGAACTAAATTTGTAATAATCAAATATTTTTCCTTGATAATTTTAAATTAATTGTTGATCAACAATCAAACCATTAATTCTCATTTTTATTATGTTACTCGTATTTTATTATTCAGATTTTAAAAAATAAAAGTTGTTCATTAGTTAGTTTACTAAGAGTGTATAAAATATTCAAGTTATATGTATAATATCAACAAAATATGTAAAATAACATTTTGTCTATGAAATCAGTTTTTGAAATGTCCATATAATTGTAATTGTGCATACATTTAGTATGGACATGCCATTGCACATAATTTGGGTTTCTAATTATAATATTATTCATGAAATTATGACAAGCTAAACTTACTCTCAACTCTAAATTTGTAGTAGAGTAGTATAATTATTTAAAGGTCCATTGAAAAATAGAAATTGAACTTAACAAGTCTTGTTTTTCAAAATAAATAAACAGTATTTATTTTTGGTTAATTTTTATGTCACATTAGGTTTTAAGCAGTGCAAGGAACTCTAGTTTTATAATAATTCTTTTGTTTTGTTAATTCAGGATTTAAAACCTATAAGTATGCATAATGAAATTGTTAACTAATTAAGTGTTCAAAAACTTAAAAAGACAAATTATCAAACTAAAATAATACTGTTTGATGAGAGTTAAACAAATTAATTTTATAGAATGGATTCTTTTTTTAAATTTTTTAAAACTAAAATTTTATTTTTTATTTTGAGTTACACAAAAAAATAAATATATATTTATATATATAAATAAGTATTTTTATAAAATAATACTTTGAAAAGTTATTATACTTATTAAATTATCATGATATATTCTGCATTATAGACCAAATAATTCATAAATACGTAAATATAAGCAAAATGTTTTGTACAATTTATATCATTGCATCTAAATAGTTAAACTTAAATATTAAACTATTCATATAATTGCACTCAATCCAGCCTCTTATGAAAAACTATTTTCACATTTATTTTATTTACAATTTGTAGTTACAAAATGTACAATAATCAATTAATATAATATATTTGAACACATTTTTATGTTTCTAATTTATAACATGTTTCTAAGATCTACTAATTTATTTTAAATAATTTTGTTTTATTACATATTAAGAAATAAGATAAATCTAATTCCCTTTTGTTTAAATTTAGTCAGGCAATTAAAACCATTTTTGTATTTTTCAATAATTTTGTCTTTATAGTGATTGGCAGCAGTGATTTTCTGTCTTTGTCTCACACACTTACAACATAGCAATTTAAATATGTTTTATTTCCAATGTAGCGATTGGTCTAGTGAAGCGATAAGAATTTTGAAAACGGATTTGAGTCGACTTGAAATCAACTTTCCGACTTTTTAATTTTAATTTCTTCAAAAATTAAAATTTTTTTTTTTATTACTTCTTTTTATCATGGCTTTTTTAGGATTAAAAAATGTTGGAGGAGTGATTTTACGTAGACTCAAAGAAAAATTCAAATCTATTTTCAGATTTCTTATCATTTTACTAGACCAATTAGTCAATTGAACAAACAAGATAAAAACAGAAAATTATAAATTTCAATTTCTTTAAACCTACAATTTGTATAAATAGGTATTGTTTATTTTTTTCAAAAGCACAACTAAAATTTGTCTTATTTTCCTTATCTAAACCTTGTTTTCTCTATCCTTTACAAATTGCCATCTAAAATATTTTAAGGCTTTTTTGACCTTTTTGCATAACTATAAATAATACGCCACTGTTCAGGAGATACTATATTCAATAATCAATGCAATAATAATAGTTATTCTTTAATAAATGAATAAATATGTATTTTAAAATTACTGAGAAAAAGTATCTATATTAACTATTTAATATACCTGAATCCAACCCAATAAATCTTGACGGGGTATAATGTACACATTAATAACATTAGTTTTTAGGGCAGTTTTAAAATATTAATCCTTTCTATGGGTTTTTACTGGGTGATTTATTTAAGTGGGTACACTCATTATATAGATAAGTATTAACTTTTTCTGGAATTTTTTTTTAGAACATTTAAGAAACAAGCTGCTCTACTATTTTATATTTATATTATTTTTTGTCACCCTTATTTTTGGGAGTAAAACCTAATTTTGATTTTCAAACGGCAATCTATATTAAAAAATTCATAAATAGATTATGTATTAGTTAACATAAATTAGAGTGTTGACATTTTTGATTTCCGTTGATCTGTTAATGAGATATTCCACTTTTAATTTTAGATTGGAGGAGAGTTGTGGTGCATTATTAAACATTCCATCTATTTATGGAATGTTAAATTTAGATTGCCATTTGAAAAACAAAAGTAGATAGTGATTTTACTCCCAATAATAAGGGTGATAAAAAATAACATAAATATAAAATTGTAGAGCAGCTTGTTTCTTAATGTTAAATGTTTTAGAAAACAAATTCTAGAAAAATTTAATGCTTTTCGAGATAATGAGTGTACCTACTTAAATGGATCACCTGATTTTACTTATATTTTATAAAGTTAAGTTAAATTCTACTCTTACTATACATTATTATACTTCGTTTAGATATGTATATGAGTGTTTAGTAAATAGAAAAAAAAGAATTAATTTTATTTAAATATATTTAAAAAAAATTATCATCTTGATCAAAAATTAAAATATATATATCAAAAGGATATAATATATTATATAGGGAATAACTTGATTACTTAAAACTTAAGCTACAATTTTTTTTCAGTTTTTTTTATTTCATGGTTTGCTATACATAAGTTAAAGTATATAGATATTATAAGTATTCTATGTTTTATTTTAAATTTTATATTTTATAAATAAACCTAATTTTTGGTACCTACTTAATAATTAAGTAAAAATATACAATTGAAAATTTAAATATTATATCTTTGGATAAATATTAATTACCAATCACAATAATTCCGGTCTGTACGTGTTTTGAAAAATTTGAAATCTGTATCTATGCTTTCTGCTCCAGATTCATCGGTATCTAAACTCGTAGCCATCACTTTTCCAAATGATTCATTGGATTCAGTACTAAGATATCCAGAGTCTTCATATCTGTTATGATCAGGCAAACTTTTGACTGTTTGTTTGTCAGAAGCACCAGCCTTGGTATCTTGTGTTCGCCGGTTACATTGAGAGCGGACGCAATCCAATTGCATGAGTCCGTGTTTGCTAGTGCTTCTGACACACGCGTTTTTTGGAGGTTTTGGTACGGACTGTGGTGACGGGCACCTTTGCCTTCGGCAATGTTTTGGATCAGGTTTTAAGTATTTAGCTTCTACTTGATTAGTATTCCATCTTTTTTGCACATCAGCCATGACATTCTTCGCCTCGTAGATCTCTAGTAAACTACCAAATCCGTTGTTTATGTTTTTAGGACTACTGTATTGTTCAAACGAATCTGATGGGTTTGCTATTTTTAATTTAGGTTTAATTTTAGTACAGTGTCTGTCTAATGTATCTGGTTCGAAGCTATCCGAATCCTCTACTACAGGATGATTGTCGGGGCAGTCTTCGACTTCAATAGTTATTTGACCTGAACTTTTTTTTTTTATGTTTTTATCTAGTGTATTTTTTGGAGACATACTGGTATTAAAATTATCATTTACATATACTTCGCTGACTAAACTATACCGCTCAGAAGATCTATTCAGAATATCAGGTAACGTTTCCTTTTTTGGTTTTTCTCGTACACAATCCGGGCCCGATATATGTTCGTAATAACTTTCTTTTTTTGTGATAGTATCATAAGTATACGCCGATTTGATTGTAAGTTCTTCTTCCAATGGCAATGCAGAATTGCTTAAAACTGGACTTAAATCTGGCCTCACCATTTCGTATTCAGATGGTGTATGATATCCACATTGCTGTCTGTAATTCATTGATCTTTCTAAACTATCACACTCAATGTTTATACCCTCTTCGTCGTTTTCTTCGTCATTCTCTTCGTCAGTATTTGATTTTAGTTCATTCTTAAATTTTATATGAACGTCATCTGTTACTTGATCTTTTTTTTTCGAATCTACGGGAGGGCACGGAGCTTGATTTTTTTTGGGTTTGGTAACTTCTGTAGGCACATTCATCAACCATTTTTGTATTGTAGCTGATTTAATTTTAAATTGAGTTTTGCATTTATTACAAGAATTCGACTGTTCGTTTGTATCTTCATTAACATCTTCTGGTATCATGATGAGATTTGGTGTAAATTTTTTTGTTTCTATTTTCTTTTTTGCTTCTTGTATAACTTCACGGATCTTATCTAAAAATTCTAATGCCGCCGGTGGAGGAGCCTGAAAAAAATTGTTAATTATAATTTTAAATATTGAGTTTTTACATATTATTTCATTCATATAATTTTTTTTATTACCATTAATAATTCAATTTCAAAATAGTCCGGATTAAAATAAAGTTTTTTTCTTGGATTAGCACACATTATTGATCTAATATTATCTGGATGATCTTCTTTATTGTCCAACGTTTCTACTATTGAAATGTCTTCTTCTGGATGTTTTTCTATGGAATTTGAATCCGAATAATACATTGAATGTGTAATACCAGAGTTAAAAGATTGAATAGGGTGTACAATAGCCGTTGTTAAATTTCTCTGTTATAAATGTAATGGAATTTAATTCATATTTTCATTATTTATTTATATATCAGTTTAAATTACTTACATTATTATTATTTTCCATCATGTCCATGGAAGGTTCTCTTTGCAGATTCATATTATAATTTCTATCTTCATCCGATTCGTAAGCCTCGTTATCATTGTAACTATGTTGTAACAGAGGGTTGTTCTTTACAATACCTTCTTCGGTAATGCCGTTTGACATTAATGGATTTTTAAATGCCTCTATATCACCATTTCTTCCTTTGGGCTTTCCTTTGCGAACATGTAAATATAACAAAATTGATGCCACGTACATTAGCCCTAACAAAATAGAACAAATAGCGACTGCTATAAGTTCGCTTATTGTTAGTCCTGAACTAGGAGTATTGTCTGTTGTCCTTATGTCAGCGGAGAATAAAACTTCTTTTACACCTGTAACGCGAATAATTTCACTTAGTTTAAAAAATATATTTTATAATTGTTAATAGTTACTTGGAGTTCCCGCTATTCTGAATGAAATACAAGGCGTTATGGTTTGGTGAAAATCGTTATCATAATCTTGTAACGTCTCTTTACAAATCATTTCGATTAGCACCAGTCGTCCTTCAATGTTCGCCCTTGATTGAAAATCGCCTAACCACTATACAAATATAAATAATATATTTTAAAAATGTTTAAATACACAATACACAACAAATATTGATATTATAGTCAATTTATGGATGATGTATTTCTGCTTCACACGAATAAGAATGTATAGAGGTTTCTTGTTATTTCCACATGTTTAAAATAATTAAAATATACAACTTCTGGTGGTAAGATACCAGTAGGTATTACGTTTTATTTATAACGTATTTTAACCCAGATGATTATTTTATGATTTTTTATAGCTTTTTCTATCCGTTTTTCAAAAATAGTATATTATTGACTAATAGTTCTAGTATTTATATATAGTAACGAATTGTTCGAAAAAAACTAGTCTGAAGGGCAAGAGGGTAAAATAAAATTACGGTACATAGATTGTATCATTTTACCAAAATAACATAAATTTAATTACTATCGTTGTGAGATATTATGAAGCACGCCATAAATCTAAAACAAACCAGACGTAATTTAAATAAATAAATAAATGAATTCGTTTTTTATGTATATTGTTAGGCACTTGTATATTATATCCAGTTTTCTGACCCTAATATAATATCTGATAGTTATAAATATAGCTATTTGGTTTAGTTTACTATGTTAAAATAATGTGTATTATGATACACTATTATTCAATTGTCAAATGGAATTTAAAAAACCATTTGATTTAATTTCTCTAAATATTATGCAGTATTTTTAATAAGTGAGTTGTTTATTTATAAAACATACAATGTTACCGACAAAATAACTCACTAATAACATAATGTGACCATTTTCTCGGTGTATTTGGAAAGGGGTTTCGAAGTTTGATTGATTTTTAAAATTCACCCAGCCACCACGTGTTAAATATTTCGCTTTGGATATAGTGCAAATTGGATACTGCAGACCTGGAAAATATAACATCCATTAGTTTTTTATTGTTCAAGAGTGTCCATTTTCAAAAACCCAGGGGAAGCCAGTGTATTATTTTTAATTTAATTTTTTAACGATGTTGACCATTCCGTTAAACTGTTAAACGTTTCATACGTATAATGTATAATAAATACGGAAAAGCCAGGGGAACATACCTCCTATTTTCCCTCTTCCCTAATGGACACCCATGTTGCTATAAGGTATTATTAATCTAAGTGATAATTCTTAAGTTATACAAATATTAGATACAAGCAAGCTGAAGTTAATAAAACCCTGTTAGGTTTTTAGGATCGGGATTAGGACTATAAGTAATATTTAGATTTATTAACAATTTAAGAAAACAAGTGAAAAACTGAATTTTATAAGAAAATTATATTTTGTTGTCTGTGGAACAGAAATTGTAAAATGTTTGATTGGTTCATCTTTAATCTGTTGATAAAAATCACGCCTAGTTGTAATTAAAAGTTGATTTGATTTACGACTAAGAAGATAAATGACATTACCACCTATTGACCAAGGCCGGAAATATGATAAATACATAATTTGATCGCTGCCGGCTAAAACATGAATGTTATTAAGTTGTTTTGTTTTAAACTAGGGTAAAACTCGTCTTATTTGTGCTATGTCTTGATTGTGTTTTTATATTTTTTAATGGTACCCAACTGAATTTACATATCACGAGGTATTTGTGACAGTGTTAATTTATTTGAAAATAAATTATTCGTAACATTTTATTTGTAAACAAGCGTTGACGACGGTTGTATTTAAGTGTGGAGTATTCAGGTGAAATAACCGGCTGAATTGTATTAACTCACTAGGCAATCGCTACGTAATTTAAACTCGTCTTAGTTTATTATTATTAGGAAGTTACATTTAAATTTAAATTTAAAAAAAACATTACTTATCAATACTAATGCCCTTAGGATTACCGCACGTGTTTTCTTATAATGCGTAGTATATCCTATTATACTCGTATAAATTTAACATCAATAAAATACTTCTATAAATTATTTCGATTAGGTATATTTATTTGGTTCAATTTACAATTTATTATTGTGTTTCAATTTTTTAACTTAACTATACATTCATTTATTTGTGAGAATATCTTCAGTTACATTCTATTCCAATAATTATGAAATAGGATAAATATATTTAAGTTCAAACGTGTATTTTATAATATTTTTAGTGCCCTAATCTAACCTTCTGAACATATTTGTTTTTGTAGATTCTCTATAACCTTTTTCGTTTTGAAGTGACTGATGTTTTTGTAAAATACGTTTTTCATGTTTGGTGATTTTGTAACGAATCCAAAAGAAAACCTTTTTTTGTGGAGAGTTGGAGAAGATTTTTTCTTCTGTTGTGATGACATAACCTTGGTTTACAGAGAAATTTCAACATTTCACAAGGCTCATTCCGAGAAAAAGATATATGCAACAAAATTTAGTGCAATAGTATTTTCAAAAAAAATTCGACAACAATAAAATTAAAAAAGTGCTGATGCTGGTGATCGGTATGCCACTGTAGTAGGGAGAGGGAGTTGGGATGATAGGGTACATCAACTTATTTAATTAATTTATATCCGACAGCTGCTCTACCAGTGCTAATGAAAAACGATTCGGAGAGAAGTTCGGTTATACATGTTTTGATTTATGATTTTCGTCAAAATTGCTTGCCGACAATCTGTTGACGCGCAATTTAAACATTGGCATTCTTTGAACAACCTCGTATATAGCCTATGGTTAAAATCTCGCACCGTCTTAAAAATGATGTACTAAAACCATCTTCTAAAACCAGGCCCGCTGGAATCTTCGAAATCGTAATCGCAGTATTGGCTTAAACTGTACAATATGTAGTCAGTTATTTTTTATGTATAATATTATAATATTTTGGTCTCATTTGAAGTCATAATACGTTTATTATTTATTTACAGTTTAATTTGTTGAATTATAAGTTAAATTTTTAGGATATTAATTATATAAAAAAAATATAGGTAATAATTATTACTTACCAATTGCGATGCCCGTCCACGCCAAAAGAAATAATTGAAAAATTATCATCCCTATATTTATGGGTTACCTTGAGCCCAATAATATCAATAACATTTATTTTCCTGTTTTGTTAGTTTTAAATTTTTTTTTTTAATTCATGCGTACCACTAAGGTTACTCATAAATCAACAAAACTATTTCGATTTTTGTACTAAAATACCAATAACCCTGTTTTACCCCTTCCTCACTTTAGGACTCGAATACGGAGGGAGGGAAGGAGGTTGCCTAAACATTATTCCTAGTCTTGAACATCTGTGCAAAGTTTCAGTTCAATCCGTTCAGTAGTTTGGGTGAAAAGTGGTAACAATCATACATCCAAACCAATTTTCTCATTTGTATAATTTATTAAGTAAGATATGATTGCAAAGAACTATAGGATCACTATAGGAATGAATATTCATAGTTACAAGTTTACCTATTATAAATTAAAAATTAATTTAACATAATTCGTTTAAATTATACCAACAATATTATTATAATACACATTCGAAATAAAACTATACGCGAGAAGAATACTGTTCAGACTATCCGCCTATATAGGAAAATTTTGAGTTGAAACATTACGGCGTTGATAATACATTATTTATATTAAATTCTGAAAAAACTAACTTAGTTTAATATATATTTTCAATTGTTCTTAGTGTATATCAAGTGTGGCAATGCATTTAATATACCTGTATACATATTAAATAATAATAATAATACAATTATTGCAGAGACCGCGATTTAAACTGTATTAAACGTTAGTACTTATACTGTATTTACTATTACTTAGTATATAACAAAATGTAAAAAGTACGTACCGGGGATTTTAATTTCAGCACTAGGATATACGATTTGTCCTTGTAACGGTAGAAATACGTATGGTATTTTTTGCACCGTCGTACCGGATACAAATGAAGCTAACGAACATTCTGTGAACAAATTATGAAAAAAAAAACATTACATTTTGCAAACAAATACTATAAATATATGTTTTACAGTGCGATATTAGCGGGTTTGTTTGTCTATACACCGTTTACGAAGCTTGTCGACATTACTGATTTGATACAAGTACGGGCGTTTATACCTTATTATAACGACGTAATACAAATTGCGTATAATATTTTAGTTTAAATATGGTCACACTAATTTGTTTTTTTTTTAACGTTATCATAAAAATATTATTGGTTTTAATTGCAGCAATATTTTAAAACAAGGACTATTAAATTTATCGTATCCCGTAGTTTTTCTTACTGTCTAATCTTAATGGAATTTCAAACGGTTGTTGCGCGACCGCGCTGTTTTCTAAGCAGTTCGGGTAAAGGAATATAATTCTGATTAACGGGTCATCAGCCTCTGTATAGTAATAATAAACAAGTCAATAAAATAGGCAGGATTACACGTCAAGCAATACACAAATGCGTATTTTTATGACCCGAATTAAGTGTGTATAATATCCTATAATATTTCTATATACACACAGTTGACCGTTCCCAATTGTCGGCTTACCGCTGACCGTTCGCGCCTAATTATTAGGTTTTTTTAAAACATCTTACTGGCAAACGATGGCGATAAAGTCGTATTGTGTAGCTTGATGTCAAATAAGACGTAAGTAAAATATATTGTTAAATGTTAATGCGTTGAGTTCTAAAGCGTGTATTATTCTTATATACGAACATATATTCGACGATTTAGTCATTGTTTAGTAGAGTTATGCTAGTTTTGATTTTTGAAATCGAGTCTAGTCGAACCCAGTATTCATTTTTCCTAATTGAATTCAAAAGTCGAGCACTCGAGTTTATGAGTACCAAAAAAAAAAAAATTGTCTAGTTCAGTCAACTGTCAATTAAACATGTTGTATTATATAACATATTTATATACTTTTTCTAAAATAGAAATAATTATCAAGTTATTCATGTCGAAAATATCTGGGTTTGAAGATATTCGTTCTTGGTTTTAACATTTTTTTTTTTTTTTTGAAACAACAGTCGAATAGGTGCTCGACTGTTGTTTAATAGTACCTACTAAACATTCATGTTTTCTGCACGATGTTACTATTTATTTGAAATTGTTTATATACATATTTGATGAGCAGACGGGCATCTCGCAGCATCCCGAAGTATGGTTTTTCAACTTCTAAATGTGGCTCTCACGTTTGAATTTTGATTTCCTATAGATATATAAAAAATTCATCTAACTTAGCTATTTAACCGAGTTAGGTTATGATTACTCAGAATCTTTATTTATTTTTTTTATTATTTTTTTTTTTTTGCAAAGATTTAACCCTTCTTTCAGTAAATTAACTAAAATAGGTACCCTAAATAAAAATAATATACAATCTTAACTTACCACCTATAATATTGGTTTGCCCCATTGCTCGACTTTGTTTTATTAGTTTGAAATTTATTTCAAAAGAAACTACTTTTTATTTTTAAGTTATGTTTTTATTGTGTGTATAGTGTAGCTTTGATTCAAATTTGGTCTGTAAGCAAAAATTTAGTGCATTCGATTTGTTATTTGAATTTAAATGATTGGTTTAATTTGCCGGTTTGTTAATGAAAATAATGTAATGCTTAAACATAATCTAATTGAACGGAAGATTATATAGTTGATAACTATTGCATAGCTATATTATTTTATCATTAATGTTCTTAAGCATCATAATATGATTGAAACATGTTTCCATGTGTCTAATTTGATAAATGAACAATTTATCGAAACTATCATTTTTTTTTTTTTAAACTAAAATAGTAAATCCAAACGGAATAAATATTAACTGGGAAAATATTCTAAATATATTTTTTTCTTTTTAATTCCAATTACTTGTGAAAAATTAAAAATTAGGACTTGTTATTTGGTGTGCGTGACGGAGTTTATTATTATTCACCGTGTAATTGTTGGTAACACATTCGCATTATGGGTCAATAGCGTAAATCGATTCGGTTTCGGTTTCAGTTTTTTAACATGTGCGAAATGTACATCACAAATGTATTTTTATACTTTTTTTTAGACGTCTATATAATATAACTAGAATTTTTGCTCATCGTACATTTGTTGTTTATAAAAATAGAGAAATTGCATGATTACCGAAGCTTTTATGGCAAGTATCACGAGTTTCCAATGGAATTTTCAAAACCATTTTTTTGTTTTGTTTTTTTTTTTTTAGATGAAACTAACAGTTAATATTGAATGGTAAAAAAATATAATTAGTTTGTTTAATAAATATATAACTATTATTATCCAATAGATTTATACATTTAAAATCGCTACATTTTTAATGGTATATTATCATTAGTTTACGAATTTATTTAAAAAGAAAGATTATTGTGATTTTACCTACAATTCAAAATGCATAACTAAAATAATTAAAAATAAAAGTTTCAAAATATGAATTATGGATTTACAATAAATTACGAATTTTTAAAATCCCGATTGTATTATAGTACACCCAATAATTCCAATGTAGTCGTGGTATAGTTTTTCGAATATGTGTCCTAATGCTTACATAGTTAAGTTAATTAAACTTTTATTATTGATTTTGTTCTTCTAACATCGTAAATAAAATCTAAAAAAAATTGATATATTTAACAGTAGGTAAGTATTATGAACGAAAACAATATCGTAGATTGCGGCCGGTGAGGGGGGGCTCCTTGGAGTCAGAAACCTGAGTCAAAATGATGCAATCCCTTTCTCCTACCTCTCTAGCTCAATTTTTAAACAGACACCATTTGAACCGAGAATTTTTGTTCTTATATGATTCGTGGTTCTATTCGAGTAATGTATTATTTCGTTTAGTTTTTTCTGCTCGATAAAACAAAGTTCTTTTAGCGTTTAATTCGCGTCATATTATATTGTACGTTTCGACGACGGTATGATTTCTGCAGAAATCAATTGGTCCACATAGATGCACTGGAACCGTGTTACTAGGTTAGCGTCGTTATATATTTTAAGATAAATGCATATTTTAATAAACATTAGACACATATCATATTATTATTACTATTTATTACACACACACACACACGCACACAAACACACGCATACATTATATTGTTTCTTTTCGGATTTCTCCAGGACCGATCGAATTTTCTACGCTTTGTTTGCCGGCCGCATCGTCGTCCGTCGGGATGTTTAAATAATATATAATAGTATAGTTATATATATATATATATTTTTTTTTTTTTTCTACGAAACAAACACTTAGTGGCAACGATATTCAATAAACTGCGACGACGCCGCCGTTATTGTTGCGACTTACGTGAAAGTAAACGTTTTTCCTCACGTAAAGTGATTCGCAGGCGGCACAAGACAAGTTTAATTTGTATTGCATGCCTCTAGTTAGTGTCTGATTAACTGAAACGGTGGTCAAGTGCACAATCCGAGTCGGGACTCTAATCTATGTAGGTATTTATATCAAGGACGAACGCAGGAACAATTTTCAGGGAGTATGCCCACTCCGCGTTAACCATTGATCTTTATTCAAATTATACAGTTTGAGAATACTCTGTAAACGACGGTCCACTAAGTGTCTTCTATATATCCGACTGTATCTGAGATGTATTATATATATATATATTGTTTTGTCTTGCTGAGATAAATAACAGTGAAATATTAAATCTCCAATAACAAAAAATGGGTGGACGGAGAATAAATCTTCGAGCCCCTGTATTTTGAGAGTCAAGTGCAAGGGTACCATTTACACTGGCGTTAATCTGGGCCTATCTCTAATAAGCGTTTTCTGTAATTGATTTCGTTTGTTATTACACGAAGAAATGGCGAACCTATTTGACAGTATTTAAATTACTTAAAACAAATCGTAATCAGTTTCCGTTTATATTGGCGTCGTTTCAATATTCGTTGGACCGGGTTATCGGGACAAACTTAAACATTTGCCGACCGAAGAGAAATTGAGTTATTTACCTAAAGGATATAATTGTATTGGTTCGCGCGAACATTGTCCTTCATTTGATAGGTAAATTTCAAATTTGTATAGAAGGGTAATATTTACCTAGTTACCTTGAAAAATGCGAATTCTCTGCAGGTATTCACTGCGTATAATAATTTATAATATTATATGTTCACTTTCGTAATATTCGTAGACAGCAGGTTATTTAGCTCGATATTTTTACAATACTACTGGCAATGGTTGTACTATTTCCCTATCTGATTTTACACATTTTAATCGTAATTTATGAAATTCGAATGTTTTTCGTATCTGATTGGTCTCTGTAATTTTCATCGTCAGTCATGTTATCGAACGGCCCAAACCGGTAAATCCCTATCCCTTGTCTCCCCGACCATTGCAAAACAGTCCGGACACACTCACCTTGTAGATCGTCTACACATATTCTCAAATCGTCTCTGAACACGGGCACGGGTTGGATGCACTGGCACCGGCAGCCGCTATTGGACAGCGCCCCTGCGGTCGTCCCGGGAATATGTTGTTTTCCCCTGCCGATGGCTGGAACCGGATCGTCAATGCCGCTGAAATCCACCTGGGACGCCGTACCGCTACTCACCCCGACGCAAGTCTCCATTGAACATTTCACGTCTGTGCGAAAAAAAAAAAATCACAAACGGTTAAATCGAACGTGAAACAAACTATACACTAGTTAAACGGGTATAGTTGCACTCTGTGCGGATAGTGCATTAGTCCGATCCGCGTATTTTATGCAACTATTTAAACTCGCCGGATGGATTTTGGGTTATAGCCGTTATGAGAATCTTTGGTGTACTTTAATACAGTCTCAAACATACGTATTTTGTGTGTTACATTAACTATTTTCAGTTATTTTTTTTTTATCATTGTCCATTTATAATTATTGTAACTCTCTTAAAACGATTTCATCAATAATTACTATAAACAGAGTAAAAGACATTAATGAAACATAATTTTTATAATTTTCTTTCTATTTTTACTTCCTTTTATCATAATTATTGTACAATTTATACAATAATTATTGTGTTCTGCAAAAATTGAGTTAAATAATGTACTAAATTTATTATTACTACTAGTTAAAAAATTAAGATTTTGCAAAAAAAAAAAAATTGAATAAGAATACGTTACAAACCATTGCTTTAAATCGGCTTGCGGTATCGAATGGTGTTTTACTGTTTTCAAGGGAGTTTGCGTTACACATATAATACGGTAAAAAAAATCTTTTTAGGAGAATTTACATTTACTCATATCTACATCAGCCTCTGTAAGGACGCCTAGCTGATTAAAAGGCACAGAGTAGAACTTGCTGCCGACTCGAGTGTCCAGAACTATTCATACGTCTTTTTTTTCGTATACACTTATGTTTGTCATTCACACTTTATCGGTGACAGATTTTTTGGACTAGCTCAAAAACCACAGTCAGTATATATTCTTGGCCTGCACAATAAATGAGGAACAATCGTAATCGTCTTCGTCAGTTTGTATATATAGCGGCCGAGTGCGGGATGGGATGTGTATTCAGTGTTGGCAAACAAGATTACGGTTTTTGAGAAATAATGTAAGAACTCGCGTGGATTTCGTTATTTTCCCGTGGCTTTGGATTTCGGAATGACCTAAAGTTTTTATATTCAATTACAACATCGTAGTTGTATAATACGCCTACTGAAATGTGTTTCGGAACGATAATATTCGCGAGTATTTTTTTATTTCCGAGTACCGCTGAGTTTACGTGGTTTTCATTATAAATCTACATATGATTTCGGGAGAATGAAAATAGACCGCTGGCAAATATGATAGCAACGATTTTTTTTTTTTTTTCGATAAACGGGAGTTTTCAAACTGAGTTACGCGAAGAGCGATCGATATATGTATATTTGGGTGGTGTGCGGTCAACCAGCACAATGGGCGACTTCGCTTATGTATACGGTTTTTTATATCATGTTTGCCTTCGTTATTGGTTTAGTCATCAATTTAGTCTCCGCGTAAGACGTATAAACGTGTAAAACCGTTGACTGAATTGGATGATTTTGATGCAGACATAGTATGTAGAACAGTGAATGAGTTTTACGATAGAGGTGCGTCACAACTCAATATATCGATAGTGGTGGTTGTAATATTGATAATTTCTATAACTACATATTAAAAAAAATATACATATATATTATATAATATAATATTCATAGTTCATGATTTAACAACAATGCGTAATGACTAAAATGACATCGTCGAAGTATTTAGGGGGGGGGGTGACGAGGTTTTACGGCGCCTATGGGCCCCTCACCAAAACCCCACCACTGTTTTTGCGAATCATTTAATTCAAATATATTTGATAATAATTAGATATTATATTCTTTTTTGAGACTTGCGAGTGTTAACATAATATTTGCATAGGTTAAAAATTATACGTAGACAAGTACTTTATTACTCTTACTCAAGAGAAATTGTTTAAATTCTGAACGAAGCTAGTAATGTGTATATAGTTTTATTACGACGTGTTCTTTTCTATTTGTTAACAATTTCTCGATCAGAAATCTTGTTCCAACCGTTTACTTGTGCGTACAGCCACAAGTTAATATACTTATATTAAACTTCAATAATCGCATGGTTTGTTCAAATATGTATTTTGCGAATTTTCTAATTTTGAATTACTGCCGTCCCACCGAATTTTTCATACCCGAAAATAGTTTAGCTCAGTTTAGTATCTATATTGCATTATTATTATGCACGTGACTGGCGATAAAGATGTTATTAGTCAAAGGGAAATACATACTTAAAGACGGGTTGTTGAACTTTGTCGTGGACGGAATGAGATGGAATATTACTATATGTTTTACAATATTTCCAGGAATAATAGTATACCTATATTGTATTTTAAATCGAGAAGTATTAAATTATATTATTTTATTAGTACTTTACTTTGGTAATGTTTTTATATGGTTTTATTTTTTTTTTTTTTTTAAATTATACGCGACGTATTGGCCGCGGTGCAATTAGCCAGCGGATTTGTACCAGTCGTGTATATAAAAATACGGTAACTGCAAATAATAATAATAAAAAAAAATATATATATATACAAATAAATATAAAAACTAAATTACCTATATAAGTATATAATATATTCGATCGCAAAGACGTTTATATAATTTATCGTTTTTATATATTTTTAATGTCTACGTATAATAACATAAGAGACGTCGCCACGACGACGTTTGATACCTTTCGTCTTTTATATACGCGTTTCATATAATATTGTGTGAGTAAAAAAAAAAAAAAAAAATCATGGCTCGTATCCATTAAACGCTATAAAATTATCGAAAAGTGATTTTAAAAAATCTGGACCTACTTTGCATTATGGGCAGGCCACGCTTGTAAGTGAGAAGTTTTGAAGGCATAGAATATAGAATAATTGAGTTTATTTATAGGTATAGGTACTGAAGCAATGATACTATCGTAATAGGTTGTATAGAAAAAAAAATTCATTTCCAACGGAATTAATTCTAAGTCTCTAATTATATTATTATCGAATTCAAATAAAATACAGTTACTGTTTAGACTTTGAAGTACGTAACGGATTGTGGAAATAACAAAAATAAGTTAATAAAAAAAATGATTTCTTTTGCTCCAAAATCGATTGCCGATCGTGTTTATGACTGATGAGTATTGATTATTATGGTTGCTTAAACTTGTTTTTTTTTATTTTCTATTTCATATGCACGGGAGGCATATGCGAACAACAAATCTTGGTGTGGCGTTCTCTCGTGCAGGTACATATAGATATGCACAGTGTGCGACTTGCCATAAAATACTGCGGAAATATTACGTGATAATTTTACTTAAAAAATAATTCTACAAAAAAAAAAAAAAAAAACCAGAAAATAAATAAGTAAATAATTATAAACATTAATGCGTGTTTAAGAATAAGACGTTTCAATTCGATGGACATAATAATGTTATTATACTTTTAAATTTTAATCGATTTGTCGGCCACGCGTATATAGAGTGCGGTTTTTTCGATTGATGATTATTATTGTTATTATTATTGCAGTGTCGAGTTCTCGTGTCGCCGTCTTGCGAAAACACACCTCTGCAATATTATAATAGTTTGCGATCGTTTCTTCGGTACGTTCTTTGAATTATGACCCCGTCGTTATAATTCGGTATCGCCGTCAAAGGGCCATTCGAGCAGTCCGCGGTTAAAAATTTTTTAAAAAAACAAAACCCGCTTTAACCGTATAATATTGATGATTTACGATCGTCTCGTTATTATTATATTTGTCTGCAGTTGTAGTAATAGCCTGCGGCTGAAGTTGCTCGGACGAATTCAACAAACAACGGTAAATCGTGTATCCCTTTTGGAAAACCACCAGAATCACGTTTTGGAAAAATTCGAAACACTCCGACGATATAGGTACAGTTGGCCGCACCTTGATACCGAGAGAAATCCGTATTAAAAAAAAAAAAAAAAAAACCGTATAATATCGTAAGGAACTCGCTTACATAAGTCGTAACGTTATTCTACCTATATTTTCAGATTGCTCGTAAAATGACGTACGTATACACGTGCCCTTGAATATTATATCGCTCAGTTCATTACGACAATATTAATCCTCCCCAATATGTTTTTGATATTATATTATAAGATTTCGGATGTATAAAGTACCGTTGGACGCAATTAATATTACATCTTTATTGCAGTAATAAAAATTTAAAAAAAAAAAAAAAAAAAATCGTCCATCACGAAAATACACCGTGTATTATTTATCGAGAAGCCGGTCAGTTTCAACACGTCGCACGTGCACGAGCATAGCCGCTAAATACTCGTTCTATTTACATTAACGAATTTATTATGCTCAAAGAATAAAAATATACATGTTTTATTCGGTGTCCGTCTGAAGAGCCGAAAATATTGGAAACAATAGTGCAATCGTTATTTTCGGAGCTATGCGAATAAACCGTTCTGTGCACAATATTTCATGCCTACTCTTATGCGTTTAGAATAATTTTCATCCCGGCCGTTGTGCCCGTCCCCATAACAATGGGTGCTATTGGTTTTGTACAATATCATATTAATATACCAGTCGGTTTACCGAACCCTGCTCGAAATCGTTTTCCGATTGCAATTTTTTATTTCGTGACCCTAATTATGTGATAACGGTGACGCGTCATAACATCGTAATATTTCCGTGTTGCAGTCGTTTACCTGAAACGTCGAACAAATCGCCGCGGTGGTGTCGGGTGATGGACACGGTACCGGAAACGGCTCCGGACAGCACGGCCAACAGCAGCGCCAGCGTCAGCGAGGATCGCAGTACCGTCGTCGTTTCTGTGTTTGTCGTCGACGACGACTTCATTACGGGCGCCGGCGACTTCTCCGAGCCTCGTGTACACGTCTCCGCTGCTGCACTCGCCGTCCGGTCTTCAACCGCCGCACGCTCCGTACACGTCCATCCGAAATGCGTCTGCTGCCACCGTCGTCTGCGAAAACACGAAATTCCGCGTTATCTCTTTTTGTTTGCGGACAATAATATAACATTGTTATTTCGTATCATTAAAGCGTCGTATCGCACGAAAACACCGCACAACAGTGCAGTAGTAATTTATTACTTCCATTTGAATAGCGACATTTATTATGTCGGTCGATTATTTATGGCCAACCCACGCGGTTGACTAAAATGTAAGTACGGTATCGAAAACTCAAATGAACACGAATGACGATCACGCAAATTTGAAATACGCTCGTGCAACAAAGCTAAATCAACGTTAAATAACATTGCACGTTACGATAAAAAGGCATAGTTTCTATACGTTTTATTCAATATCGTTTATCTAATCAGTGCGTATCACATATTCATGAAATCAACTAAAATCGTTCATCAAAATTGAACCGTATAAACTTGTATTGTCCCAAGTAAACTTTTGTCGTATGATGTTAGCCAGCATTTATGCTTCATTCCAAGTATTATTCGTGCGTTCAAACGAGGACCAAATCCAACACGAGATAACTGTGGGGGGGGGGTTCAAAGGTGCAAATAATAAGGGAATACAGTGTTTAGCCTCTCAAAAATTTTGCCTGCCTTTTCCTGAAAAAAATTTTTGTTTACAAAAGCATGAAAACATTAATGTTATTATATGTTTAGTGACAATTTCGTTTTGTCTTTCGAAGTCGATTGAAAGCGCATCGGAGTAATTTATCCAACGGCTATAGGTATTACGGTTTTCCGGTAAAATATTTTTTCTTTTGAAAAATATTTCGTCTTGAAGAATTTATTATCAATTATTTCACCGCAACGTGTTTATATAGTGACGTCATTTCCTGCATTGCAGTTATTCGATTTGCGGTACGATTGACTTTTTTTTATTAGGCACGTGGTTAACGTTTAATGGACGCGTGGGCAATTTAATGAAAATTAACGGGAAATTAAAAAACAACGTTGCTTCAGTTTAACGGTAAAAATGTGATAATTCTGAGTAAATTTCCTCTAATTGATTAATTCCTCCTCTAAGTTTTCATAATATTTAATGACCAGTCATATAATATCGTTCAGAATGTTTACGTGGAATATATATAAACCAGAATTTTAGCGTTTTGAGAAATAATTGGCCATTCTTGTAGACCATATTCTAACAATTAGTTTTAACGATAATTGCAGATTATGGATTTTGCTTGCAATGTAAATAGTAATAATCGATATTGCTTTACATTTTATTTTGCAGTTTTATTACAAGTTTAAAACAAGACTATGTTAAATTGATCAAGTCGTCAGCGATCGAGATCTCTTACGATGGTACAATATGTTCGATAGGTATTGTTTTCGGGAACTACACTAAAACCAAATTTAAGTGAATTCAAATATTTTTAAATACGTAAAATAGTGTAATCAAGCGGTATCGTATGTAGAAAGTGGTATATTATATAGGAAACAAAATTCATATATTTTAGATTCTGATTGGAGCAAAGAAGTTTATGGTTTTACAATGATGTTTATTATTATATTTTTTTTTTATCCGAACAATTTCCTACCAGAAATATTTTTTCGATTTAAAAGTGCGTGACACTTTTTCTGAAAAAAAATCTGACTGGGGTGGTACTTAAAAGATGTCATTTTTTGATTTCCCCAGGAGTTTTCCCAATAAATGGGGAAAAACATGGGAGAACCGGGAGAACGGGAAAATAGGTACAATATTAAACAAATATTATTAAAGACAATTTTTAATGTATATGTAATTATTTTACCGTCATATGACACATATACTGTTGACAAATCAACACTATCAACTGAACTCCGCTCAGAATCGTTTTTTCATTAACAATGGTTGATCGTTGCTAACAGATGTACATTAAATTCCGGTATATGTCCTACCTTCTAACTTCCCACCTATAACAGTGGCCTATCTATCGTGTGAAGTTTTCCGGCTTTTTTCTATGTGATTTTGCTACAATATAAAAATAATTATTAGTAAACATGTTATGTTTGAAAGGACAACTTTTAGAGCTTTAATGTGTATCGAAATCAATGAGTGGAGATTAGGAAAGAACGAGAATCTACTGTGTTAGAAACTGAACATCTTAGACACTATGACCATCAGAAGTTAGAGATTATAATGAGCATGGCACTCTTGGAGAGACTAAAACCCATTACTTTGTGTATAGCGCTAGAAAGATAAAAGATCCCTTGGAATACCGAGAATTTATGGGATGATGCAATTAATAGTAAGACTAAATTGACTATACTTACATTGAACTCTCTTAAATATTTCTAATGTTAATTATTATCGACAAAAAAGTAAAAAAAAATACATTTTGACCAGACGAGTTGGATTTACTTTTTGTTAACTTTCAACCGAATGTTTTTGCGTTTTGTTTATTTAGTAATTATTATTTCATCAAGCGGATTTTTTTCATCAACTTATTTCCCACCTTGAAGCTTAAAATAGCAAACTGCTGCGCCACCATACCCGTATTTGTATACGTTATTAATATTGATTAGTGCATATTTTAGAAAACATTTCACCCAAAAAAATATTTCCTATCCACGCCTGTAGCTAATATACGTACGACAACGTATAAGTATAATATTGTAATCATAACGACGTCGACCGATCGAGTCGAATGCGTTTTCGGGTTCCTCCGACGACGGTTTCTTGGTCTGTCTTGGACTAAAACCGACCGTACCTGATTTGCGCGCGTACGTATTAATATTATTAATAAATTATTATCATTGTCAAGTCGTACGTGAATAAGAAGTCGTCCGAAACGCGCAGCTGCCGCTGTGTATACACATACTACGCCTATATGTACACTAATATTATTGATGTACGCGTCGAAACGAGGCCGTGTGTTTATAACGGAACGACATCTCATATAATACTATCAAATAATATAAAATTATTCATAAAATAATATTACAGACATGTTCCGAGCGGAACGTGTCCCGTAGTCGTATTCGTATGGGTAACACTTGTGAGTGCGCGAGATTTAGCGGATCGGAACGGAACTGACGGGATTTCCAGAGTGTCCGGTATAAATTTTCTGTGTATATGCGTACAATGCATCGGACGTTCTGTTTCTATCGTTCGGCATGGCAATTATTATGTTTATTTGCAGTTTCGTTTTTGAGGGGGCGGCGAAATTAGAGGAAAAAATCTCCCCCCCCCCCCCCTTAATCTCGTTTTAGTTTTAGTATCTATTATTTATATGACTATTTTTTTTCAAATTAAAATGTCTGAACTGTGTAGTCAAAGGAACGTTTTATTGATTATATTTTATAGGTAACATTTATAGAAAAAAAAATGTCAACTTGTACATTTGTATTGTTTAAACGAAACCTATCCCGAACCATTCTAATATAAAAAAGTTAGATTAGCACCTAACTAAATAATAAACAAACTAATAATAATTGTATACCTGCCGTATAGTTATTCGATTTCAGTGTTGATTTTAAGGCACATTGAATAACCTACACGAAAATTTAATATAAATAAAACGATTTTTAGCCAAATATACGATACGATTTCCAAATTCAAACATGTCTCCTTCCTCGGTAAAATGTTAAACGCGCCACCGCTTAAAGACTAAAAAGCCGATACTGAAAATAAAATAATACTACAAACGAGTTACGGATTGTCTGTAATGTGTGAAAAAAAAAAAAAAAACAACCAAAGTCGCACAATAATTTACCGGGAATGTTCACAATACAGCAGGCTCTATTACGGGCGCACGGTCGATTTTCACCTCGAGTTTTACGCGTCCCGGGGAGCCGAACGAAACAAATACGCATACAAAACCGGTAACGATAATAATACAATAATTACGCTAACGTCATTCGAAACACGTATGGCGTTATTATTAGGCAGGCATATACCGACACTTCCTAGCCGCCGATCGACGGTCCGGATAATACCCCCATCCGTTATTGGTATTTATTGCGCGGCGAAAATACTAATTTTTTTTTCTTCTTTTTTTTCCAATATTGGTTTTTCGCGCGCTCGCGCAAATTATTCGACGAGTCCGCTGCGGTACTCGCGGGCGGATTCCCCGGCGTACATGGACAACCGTTACCGTAGATCATACGAAGTTCGACCGGCACTTACCGTCGGGTAGTACGTGAATTATTGCCCGGGGTCCGTTGAAATAACGCGACGTTCCGGTCGTCGACGGCGACGCGACGTGCTGGCGTGGCGGCGAATTGTACGAATTCAAATACGAATAATCGCGTTTTGTGCGTTCGTATGATCGTTGTTATGCGCGGGCATACGTTGTTGTTTTTGTTGTTTTTGTTGTTTTTGTTTTTTTTTGTATTTTCCTAAACCGGCGAGCGCGTCTTGTGTAGCCACGCGGATAATATTACGGATAATATACCTGACCAGCGTTACACGTATTGTTGTTGTGTATACACCGGCTGTTTACCGTAGGTACGCGTGTACGTTCGCGTCCGCGCATCCGCATTGGAAATAATAATTGTCACGTTACGGCGGCGGCGGCGGCGGCGGGAGTATGAAATTAGAAAAAAAAAATAAACCATCAGGACGAACACAATCCCCGCGCACCGGTTCTTACTGCAAACGGGTATTATATTTCATATCGATCGCGCTTTTTATCGGCATACCGACCGGATAAGGCGATTAATTATTATAAAAGACGATACAGACGCGCGACGTAAAAACTAATTATATTACATACGTTACGCGCGGTGTAATTTGTTACGGGTTTTGTTTTTAATTATTTCCCATACACACGCGGAGATGACTTTTAGACCGCGAGAGAGATTGGCACTTAAAGGTATAATAATAATATTAGGTACTCGTACGATATCGTAATGTTATCAAAAGTTTACCGTTTCTTTTTTCGGTCACAAACAGAGCATCTACAACGAAAAAAAAAAAACGTTTTTTATTGAAATCCGGGATTCATTGCATGGTTATCATTAAAGGTACCTATCCAGCATTTGTATATATCAGTATATATCCAGCATTTGTTTTAAACTGTGGTTGATTAGCTACTATAATTTCACCTAAAATATTGTACGTTTTATTTTTTGAAAACAATTTTTCAATTTAAGAACGTTCCTGTTTTTTCATAGCGAATCTACTTTATGAAATATGCGGACTTTTTGGTCGGTGATCGATGGTAAATGATTCAAAACATTTGTCTACATTCCGGACAGTTTTGGAAAATTTATACTATATAATATATACTATGTATATAAACTATAATTCCAGCATACA